GTAATGAAAATACAACAAGATTTACCAAGCGTTAAAAAAAATGGTGGTTTGGGTTAGGTCTAGGTTTTGTTTAGAAAAGAGTAAAAAAGAAAGAAATTCTTAAACCCAAAAGATAAGAAAGCATATTATATGGTGGAATTAGGTTCTTCTTATAGCAGGAGGATCGTTCGAACTGCTCTGGGCGGCGTCTGAACGGTTAAGGGAACGGTAGTTTGTAAGACGAGCAGAGAGTTATGTCCTTCGAAAACGATCCAAGTAGAGACAGATGAGAATTTTGAATAAAAACGGTCGAGTTCGATTCAGACAGCGGCAGTATCTTCTCCGGGCGTCACGTAACAGGTTTTGAATTTCGGTCCCGGTACACATGTACACGTTCGGGCCACCCTCGCGTACCTGTAAACGCGCGGCGTGCTCGCGCGAACGAGACAAGAGATGAGAAGAGAGCGCGAGAGAGAGGCGACCGACCAACACGATACAATGGCGGAGCGTCTTTCCAGGCAACGTGAGTCAGCCTTGTGGTAGGGAGTAGCGAGGTTAGTGCATTCCCCCTTAGTCCTTTACCCACACACAATCACCGATCACACGGGAGCGTTGTTTTCCTCCGAGAAACCCTGGCCACGGGGCGAACTCGGACTCTCGGGGCTCAGTGTCAGTGTAGCGCGATCGCGACGAAGGTGGTAGGTAGGGAACGTGGAGAAGCGCGGTAACATCTCTCTCTCTCTCTCTCTCTCTCTTCGTACGCTCTCTTCCTTCCCCCCTTGCTTCGCCGTCTCGCTCGCTCGAACGCGAGATAAGAACGCGATGCACGCCCTCTCTATCCTTGTTCCGCAACATACTTAGCGCCTCGCACCCTCTCCATCTTTTCTCCCATTTCGCGTTTCCTCTTGGTCGTTTTTCTATATGCAAGAGGACTCTCGCGAGACGCCATCGGGGTAGTAGATAGACAACGGTTGCTCGATACCACGCGGTGCGTGATTTCCAATCGATGCGCGAGGAGGATCGACCTTGTCTCACCTCACCTCACCTCGAAACTTTCCTATCGAGCTCTCTCGCCTTGCGTTCGTTTGTTTCTTTTCGCAAGTGCGTCTCCTTCTGTGCGTGTGCTCGCTCGTACTTCTCCGTACCGTAATTCGTGTCGGTGGCGGCGACGGCGGCGGCAGCGGCGGCAACTAAGTGCCTGTTGACAACTCGTTAGTCGCCCCTGGAATCTTGGTCGGTACTGCCACGGAAGTGAGAGCCGGCTCAAAGCGCAATCGTTTTTCTACGCTCTGAAGAAAGAAACGCGGCGGCGATTTCTTGAATAGGTTATGTCGCGCGTGCCAATCTTCTCTCGCGCTCCTCGTTACACGTGAATCGAGAGTCGCGTACACGCGAGTGTCGTTGTGATTTTTTTCTCTTTTTTTTTTCTTTCCTCAAGACCATTCCTGTCAGCGCGGAAGGTCGAGGTGATATTTGACACGCGATATTCCGACGCTTCGTTTTTTCTCATTTTACTCCGAAAAAGGAATCGAATCGTCGATTGAGTGTGTGCCATAAAAATGCAAATGCCCTGGTGTTCAAGCGTGAGCTGTATATCGATTCTGTTTGCGCAATTATCGTCCAGTTTCCTAAACCGCTAATGCACGAGGTTCGTTGGCTTCTTTACTCTTGCGCGTTGTAAACGCTCGCTCGAAATATTCTTTCGCATATCTGCGCGTTAATGGGTCTAATCGCAGAGAAATCTCTACTACCATAAAGGGTTTTCCACTGCTCTGTACCATCTACACGCTGTGTAACTTAATAATTATACTCTACTTTTACTTATTATTACATAAAATTCTTTTCTCTCAAAATGTTCATGACAATAATCTCTGTTTTATTTCGTTATTTTTGCAACTAGAAAACGGTTACTTTATGTCATGTTTCTGGATAAACAACCAAGTAAGGTTTACTGCGTTCACGGAAGATATAAATTAATTACCATTGATTTCAATGATTAATCACGATGTTGTATGAATTGCTATATCTTTAATCAATTTTATGTTAACACGTGGCAGAGTTGGAAAAGAAACGTTTATGAAAGATACAATCAACAGTTGTTTCACAAGTTTTGTGGACTATTTTGTAACAGCATGCGTAAAATCCGATTATACGAATTAAATACTTTCGCGTCCTTATTTGATGTGTCAATCGCGTTGTTAAAAATCCAATACCGACAATATTTTTTTTTTGTATCGATGTAACGCGCGCAAAGTGGATCAGTTTTATCGAAGTGATTCGTTGCTTTCAACGCGTGTACGTGTAATTTACCATTTCGGGAACGGCACAAAAAATGTAACGCGTGGAAAAAAATGCCTCTACAAAACACAGTCAAAAAGTAATTCTGCCGTGACTTATAAACCGAAAGCAATTTCTGGAATTTACCATTAGACGAAATTCAAATATATCGAGGCAGCCAAGCCATTGCTTAAACATTAATCTTCACCGTTCCCTTATATTTATTACGTAACTGAACGATTTAACTAGCGGCACTGTACCCGAAATAGGTTAAGAATCACGTTTCTCCATTATAAGCTAGAATAGATTTAGTAATTGAGACTTACTAAAAGGCAATTTTATTAGTTTAGTCATGAACAACATTTGGGTTTAATAACTGAATTTTATGTTATTCACTGACAAACAATGTGAAATTAATTAAATTTTTTATTCACGTTGTTTCATGATATCGAATGATCCTTTCGATGTACGAAATTATAAAATATGGAACGATTAATTGAGCAGATCAAGAAGAATATAAAATTCCAAAATATAATACACTAAATTACAATTCTTTTCTAATTTTAACAATTGTATAGAGAGTCAACCGTGGGAAAAATTTTAATCGGAGATTCTAAGGGCCAAAATAAGACAAAACTGATGAATACTAATTTGTTGATGGAGGATTCGTTAAAAAGTTATTAACGTTTAAAGTTTCCAACCGTACTGAATTTTTTTCGAAGAAGTGGATAGGATTTCGAGGATAGGTCTATTCACCAAAAATGCTTGTAATTGACCCCTGTAACTAAATATAATTTTTTTAGTATGATTTGAAATTTTTTAATTTCGTCCAAAAGTTTCAGTACCTACTCGAATTTTTTTCTCGAAAGTGGCTAGGATTTCGGGGATAGGTCTATTCACCAAAAATGCTTGTAATTGACCCCTGTAACTAAATATAATTTTTTTAGTATGATTTGAAATTTTTTAATTTCGTCCAAAAGTTTCAGTACCTACTCGAATTTTTTTCTCGAAAGTGGCTAGGATTTCGGGGATAGGTCTATTCACCAAAAATGCTTGTAATTGACCCCTGTAACTAAATATAATTTTTTTAGTATGATTTGAAATTTTTTAATTTCGTCTAAAAGTTTTAATTCCTACTCGAATTTTTTTCTCGAAAGTGGGTAGGATTTCGGGGATAGGTCTATTCACCAAAAATGCTTGTAATTGACCCCTGTAACTAAATATAATTTTTTTAGTATGATTTGAAATTTTTTAATTTCGTCCAAAAGTTTCAGTACCTACTCGAATTTTTTTCTCGAAAGTGGGTAGGATTTCGAGGATAGATCTATTCACCAAAAATACTTGTAATTGACCCCTGTAACTAAATATAATTTTTTTAGTATGATTTGAAATTTTTTAATTTCGTCCAAAAGTTTCAGTACCTACTCGAATTTTTTTCTCGAAAGCGAAGGATTTCAGGGGTATGGGTATTCACCAAAAAATGATTGTAATTGACCCCCGAAACCGAAAATAATTTTTCCAGAACGATTTGAAACCTTTCATATTCCCTGAAAAATTAAGGCACCTACTACCCTGTCGATTTTTCTTAAAAATTCGTTTTTCATTTTTAGCAATTTTATTTGACGCCCTACAGAAAAGTTGTCTAATACTTTTTTGTAGATACCCATGAGCTCTACTTAAAAAAAAAGTTTCAATGAGATACGTTCACTATTGTAAGAGTTATGGCCTTTTGAAAATTGGACCATTTTTATGGAGTTTTTCTTATTTTGCGGGATCAAGGAATAACTTTTTGAATATTTTTAGAATTTCTACATATTACAATCCGTTTAGAAGTTATGACATTTTAAAGATTCGCATGAAATTTCGGGGGTACATTTCTGGCCTCACATTAGATTTTCGATCAAGAGTTTTTTTTCTCGAAAATGTGAAGGATTTCGGGGGTAAATGTAATGACCAAAAATGATTCTAATCCACCTCTGCAACCGAAAATAATTTTTTTAGTGTGATTTAAAATATTTTAATTTCACCTAAAAAGTTCAGTACCTACTGGAATTTTGTTCTCGAAAGTGGGTAGGATTTCGGAGGTATGTGTAATGATCAAAAATAATTGTAATCGAACACTGCAACCGAAAATAATTTTTCCAGAACGATTAGAAATTTTTTAATTTTGTCGACAAATTTCACACCTTCTCGAATTTTTTACTCGAAAATGGGTAGGATTTCGAGGGTATGGGTATTCATAAAAAATGATTGTAATTGATCCCTGCAACCGAAAATAATTGTTTCAGAACGATTTGAAATTTTTTGAATTTAATTGTTAATAACTTTTTAACGAAGCCTCAGTCAAGAAATTGATATTCTTGATTTTCGTCTTATTTTGGCCTCTAGTATCATTAAAATCAATTTTGTCAACAAGAACTATAGTTTCTGTTGTATAAAACGATTCCGAAAATAGCATTTTTTGACCATTTCTTTCATGATTGATAACCCTTAACCACTGTCAACCAATAATATGAAAGAATCCATAATCCAGAGTATAAAAAAAAAATCGGTGTCCTTTGTTTATCGAAAATAAGTTTCGCTGTAACTGTCGGTTGGAGAAACCGGCACCGTAAACTTGTCGAATTGTAAAGGGAGAGAAAAATCCCGTTAGAAGCGTGTCGTAATAAACGAGACAAGTTGCTCGTGAGAATCGAATTCGCAGAATAGTTTGTAACCGTTCCGAAATACGTTCTGTTGTCCAGGACATTGACTAGAAGTACAAGGCAATTAAGAAAGAAGAGAAAAGTGTTCGCCTAAGAGGAGAATTTTCGGAGGAGGATGCTCGGCAGTTGGGGCTGGGAAGAAGAATTGGAGTTGGGAGAGGGAACAGCAACCCCGTCGCAAGATAGACAAAGACGAGAGAGCCCAGACTCGACGCATCCTGTCCCCGACAGCCGGGTGCTGAGGTATGCACCCAGCCGGTGTCACCACCCTCCCAGCTTCAACTCGCCACATTTCAGCACACAGCCTCCTCTCGACTGTACGGACTGTAAGTATACCTCGATACGCTTTAAAACTCCAATTGCATGCGTTCAACCGCCCGCGCACACACGTATACGTATATACGCATATAGGAAATATCGAAGGTCGAGTAAAGTAATGATTCTTTAAACGAATATCGCGTTTCGGATTGCCATGTTCATTTTTCTCAACTTCTACATACACAGCGACATCGTTGAACACACTTGGAAATTCTTTATTGAAAAGATAAGAATTCTTCTTATGCAAATAAATCTGAAAAATATATTTGGTAATTGTAGTATCCAATTCAATATTTTCGATCGTTTATCTTGTAACGATAATACAATTTGTTTATAAATGTATTAATGCAAAGAACAAATAAACATAATGAAATATATTTCTAAAAAAAAATTGTTATATTCTAATTCTAAGCTTTTCTTTTAATTGGGATATGTATTCATATAGTAACAATAATCACATTCAACAGAAATTGCTAACAAAATAATATTTACAAGTTCTGTAACTTTAAGTATGGAGTCGATATGACGAGTTCTATAAATCTAAGGTTAAATATATTATTAAATAATCTAATTCGTGGTAACGCATTGTAACAGCGTAATAATAAATAGTTTTAAATGTCCAATGAATGAAATATTGATAAAATACTTTTAATTAACATTTTTAACCGTTGTTCTCGACCCATCCATTAATTCGTGGCTTTTTGTAAAAAAAATGGGAGGGAAGATGAGGTGATTGAATGGAAACAATCGCATTTTAAAAAAGTACCGAGGTAAAATTCTAATATATTTAATATTAATTTGCAGAGCAGCGTGAGGTGGCCAAAATGCTGACTGCTCATTCTGAGATGCACGAAAAACGGGATCCCCTTGGAGGCGGACAATATGGAGCAGGCGGGGGTGGTGGCGGAAGTTCGATTGAAAAAAAATCTATTCTGGAACAACCACCCCCGCCGCCGGCGCCTCCTCAGCGGGATCTATCCGATCCAACGATCAGCGCTAAGAAACTTCCAAAGAAACGTAAATTCGATCCATCGGAACTCGAGGAGATGGACAAAATCAGCAATGTAACAAGCAATATAAACAATATGGTGAACATTCGGGCACCGAATATGCCACTCGGTCAATCAGGTTTAGTTCAGCAGTCAACCTTAGCAACTCGGCAATCTCCACAACAACAAGAATCCGATTGTTATCAAGTACGTGCAAGCATTCGTGTGAAAGAATTGGCGGGAACGTTTTACTATCCATAACCCTTGCAATGCCAAACATTTTTTTACATGGACTGCCAACAGGGAGGTCTTTGTACTCAGAAAATATAAACTATAACGCTTAATAACTTGGTTAATTATTTAAATTCATGCATTTAATATTCATTTTAATTCAACATTATAAATAAGATTTTTTCCAAATATATTACATTCCAAAATGTAACTATGTCTTAAATGAGCCGGTTATTATAAATGTGGTTGACGTCACGAAATCAAAAACTTGACATTAAACCTTTTAGTGCCGAACGACGATATACATATCGTTGCGTATGCGATGGTGCCTTATTCTTCGCATTAGGAGAAAGATCTGTCTCAAAAAAAAATTTGTAAAACATTATAAAGGGTCTAATTTTATTGCAAAAGCATTTAAAAAATTATTTTTGGGTTTAACCCTTTGCCCAAGAAGCCCTTTTCGCTCGGGCGAACCAAGCAACTCGACACTACTTTGTGGCGGAAACGTATGTATTCTGGAGTCGTCATATTATACAGGGTGTTCGGCCAACCCTGGGAACAAATTTTAATAGGAGATTCTAGAGGCCAAAATAAGACGAAATTGAAGAATATCAGTTTCTTGACTGAGGCCTCGTTAAAAAGTTATTAACAATTAAATTAAAAAATTTCAAATTGTTCTGGAAAAATTATTTTCGATTGTGGAAGTCAATTACAATCATTTTTGGTAAATACACATACCTCCGAAATTCTACACATTTTCGAGAAAAAATTTCTTACCGAAAATCTAATATTTCTTCCAGACCTAACCCAGACCTGACCCAAACCTAATCCAGACCTGACCCAAACCTAATCCAGACCTAATCCAGACCTAACCCAGACCTGACCCAAACCTAATCCAGACCTAACCCAGACCTGACCCAAAACTAACCCAGACCTAACCCAAACCTTTTCTTTTTTTTGGGTCAGGTCTGGATTAGGTCTGGGTTAGGTCTGGGTTAGGTCTGGATTAGGTTTGGGTCAGGTCTGGATTAGGTTTCGGTCAGGTCTGGGTTAGGTCCGGGTTAGGTCCGGGTCAGATCTGGGTTAGGTCTGGATTAGGTTTGGGTCAGGTCTGGGTTAGGTCTGGATTAGGTTTGGGTCAGGTCTGGGTTAGGTCTGGATTAGGTTTGGGTCAGGTCTGGATTAGGCCCAAAACAAATCCAGACCTAACCCAGACCTAACCCAAAACTAATCCAGACCTAACCCAGACCTGACCCAAACCTAATCCAGACCTAACCCAGACCTGACCCAAACCTAATCCAGACCTAACCCAGACCTGACCCAAAACTAATCCAGACCTAACCCAAACCTTTTCTTTTTTTTGGGTCAGGTCTGGATTAGGTCTGGGTTAGGTCTGGGTTAGGTCTGGATTAGGTTTGGGTCAGGTCTGGATTAGGTTTCGGTCAGGTCTGGGTTAGGTCTGGGTTAGGTCTGGGTTAGGTCCGGGTTAGGTCTGGGTCAGATCTGGGTTAGGTCTGGATTAGGTTTGGGTCAGGTCTGGGTTAGGTCTGGATTAGGTTTGGGTCAGGTCTGGATTAGGTTTGGGTCAGGTCTGGATTAGGCCCAAAACAAATCCAGACCTAACCCAGACCTAACCCAAAACTAATCCAGACCTAACCCAGACCTGACCCAAACCTAATCCAGACCTATCCCAGACCTAACCGAGACCTGACCCAAACCTAATCCAGACCTAACCCAGACCAAGGTGCCTAAATTTTTCGACGAAAAAAAAAATTTCAAATTGTTCTGGAAAAATTATTTTCGGTTGTGGGAGTCAATCGCAATCATTTTTGGTGAATAGACATACCCTCGAAATCCTGCGCGTTTTCGAGAAAAAAATTCGGTACAGGCTCCACTTTAAACGTTAATAACTTTTTAACAAAGCCTCATCAAATTTTGAATCGAGTATTTATTAAAAAATCATTGAAAATCAAATACTTATACTTTCTGCTACGTGACCTACATAAAACTGTGATCAAACAATGATTATTCTTATGTGTAAATATTGTTTGTAGAAGAGAAACTTGTTTCTATGCTTTTTATCATATTTTATAATTATGTTATTTATATGATTTGCAATAAATATTGAAATGCAATCGCCATTACTTTATTCTTTCTTTATTTCGTAATATGGTGCTTTTTGAATTTTGTAAATATCATTCTTAGTTTGGTTTTTCGCTCGGCACTAAAAGGGTTAAGGAAAAACTTTTACTTGCTGTAATAAGATTTCTAACAAGGTAGATAATATATTCTTGCAGAACTATTTGCGTTATCAGAAACAACAGAAATATTTAGGATCATTATGACAACTGGACTCTCTATGTGTTTGTGTATTGTGTGTGCATATACTTTGTAAATTTGACTTTTATAAATATGTATATAGGAGTATGAACCCAACCATGTCTACATTTCTATAAATGTATTTGTCTAAGCCTGAAAGCATTCGTTTAAGAAGAAAGAAAATTAATTAACAAATGACTAGACGTGCCAGAAGTTGTAAATTGTTTTCTTCTCTATTACGTTTTTTTTTTATTTTAAAAAGTTAAACTTTCATTTCGTTGCTGTCATAAATTATTATAATAATATGTTTGCAGTTGTGATAGGTCTCATTATTTCCAACAACATCTATTGGAAACACTTTTTATTAGGTTTCGTGATTAAAAAAATTATAATGGAAAACATTTATGTAAGAGAAATTGTAATGTGGCGCTATGAAGTGATAATTGCTTTACGCAAAGACCGCGTCTGTAGTATTTCAAGCCTGTGTACATTTACCAACACTGGCCACCTTAATAGACATAATTTACGTTATTGGTCGTCTGAAAATTCTCGTTCGATTCGATCAGGAACGTTTCAGTATCGATGGTCTCTAAACGTTTAATGTGGCATCATCGGTAACGTAATTATTGGACCACGCTTCAGTAAGCGTTTCTTAACCAGTACAGTTTATTGAAGTTTATCAAAGTTTTGTTAGAAAATGTATCCTGCGATTAAATAACGATATAAATAATTATAGTATAACGATTATTAATTATAATATCCAGGTGTGTTAATAACGATAAAAATGTTTCAGATATCCTCGGCACATTCGGTGGTAGTTTTACCGCCTCAAAGTACAGCAGTGGATTATTCTCTTAGAGAAGAACCTTTACGTTCTCGTCCTCGGCCTGCTACTGTTGCTATTGATCTCAGTGAGTGGCGCGACCACAGAGTGTTAGCTTTAAGGGATTCATATTATTATCCAGGTGTTATTCGTAACGTTGTTCAAGGAGAGATTTACATAGAATTTGACGGGGAAAGGAAACTAGTGCGTTATACTGACGTTTTGGGTGCGGGAAGGTACGACGTTATAGGCGACGCAAGCCCGTCCGTAGGGCAAGTGACTTTAGATGCAAAAGTTTGTATCAGGTGTCCAACATCAAACAATCATTCTGATGCGGCTAAAGTGTTTGTAAAAGGAACGGTGTGCAAGATTTTAACGAAACCTAAACGTTTTGTTGTTAAGATACCAAGGGAAGATGATCAGAGTGATAGTTATGTTGTGAAACGTGCAGATCTGCGATTAGTGCAACCTCCTTGGTGGGATGAACTAGAAGAGGGATTGGAAGACTGTGATTCTTCAAGGGTTGAAGGAATTGGTATGGCTTCTCTATATAATACAGTAATAATTAATGTGTTTTCCAATAAGAGCGATAGCATTTTGAATTTAAATAAAATTAAAACGATAATCTGATGTTCATTATACAGTACCAATAGTTTCTACCCTCTTACTCGACCAAGTGAATAACAAATGGCGACTATAATGATTGAAAGTTTAATCTTTCTTATTGGAAAACCCTATATGAGCCGTTTATTTTGAAGGCCGCATGCATCTTCGGTAATCATGACACTTTCATGGTGAAACCCTAACCTAACTTATCGCCTCCAATTTTAACCTGCTCTTACAGAATGCTAACAGATGCTTTTGTTTTTCGAAATTTCTATATTCCTTGATTTAAAAATTATTTTCTTCTTAGCAATGTACGTCTATGTTTATTGGTAATAACAATAATAATTTTCTATTTAACAGGTTGATTCAAACTACAAAATTTAAAGATGGATCAATACTGAAGAAACTTGTTTCTGAAATATCACTTGATCCAATTGCTCATAGAACTTATTAATTTATACAACATCATAGGCAGTAAATGCACATTGTAAATCCTTTGGATGACAATATTGTGTTTTTTAGTTGGTCTAGGTACCAGTATATTTTCCATAGATGCTCACTTTAGCACCAACGATTTAGTTTTACTTACTATTTTGGCATAGTCAGGATTACATAATGCCAAAGAAATTCCTACAGGAATTTGTGCTGAATCTTTTCCAGTGTATAATCGTAGCAATTTAAGAAAGGAGGCCAAATTTGAGAGACAAATAATTTACTGTAGAACGAACCAAAGTACAATATTGATATCGTAGTGTATTTAAGTCCCTAAAATCCCTGGCAACCTTCTTAAGGTTCCGCTTCCTGCATTTTAAGTCCATTTATCTTCAAATCGAGATATTTAAGGGTTTGCGTTTCAATGAATTTAAAAATATACGTATAGGATACTAATGAGTCGTACTGCTTAAGTGAATCTAAGGGTGTTAAATTTATAGTTCCTATTAAAATAGTGGCAATTATTAAGTGAATAATATGCGTTTTCTTATCAAGAATGGAGTTAGGCCACTTTCAAGATAAATGGCTCATATATGTATATACGTATACTTCTCTCATTAATTTCACGGAAATATTTTGTTAGTTACAGAACATGGCTATCGAAATTCTTCGGAAGCTCCAACAGCAGTGCCAATTTTACAACTCCATCACACTCCTCAACATACATCTCATATATCAACTCATAATGACACAAGCAGTTATTACAGAACGACTGGTACTAGTCCTCTCATGACTTTAGGCACTTCTGCACATTCTGCCAGCATAGCATTAAGTAATGGAAATCGACCATACGATGATTTAGAAAGCGAAGATGACTTAGATAGGGAAGATATTACATTCCCTTCGGATGCAGGTTAGATGAAATTCTGCTATGTACATTTAAAATGTAGACACTCCTTTAATAAAAAGGTTTAAGAATGACCCTATAACAAATTTCTATGCTTTGAACGTTTCAATGTCATGTTTAAAAAATTATGTTGTTTCGAGTTGTAAAAATACATGAAATATTAAAATATAATACTTTTATGCATTAAGATCGCCAAGGGTTAAACATATTTTCATATATTGTATAACTTGTGTTGCATGTATTATTAAGTACATATTAATAAAAACAATAGTGCAGTAATTCAAATATATTCAACTGACAGATGCAAAATTATCAGGAAGCAGTAAAAGGAGCAGTATGCAAAGTCGGGGGAGTACCAGTAGTCTAGTTGAACAACGCAGTATAACTCCTCGTTCTCAAGCAGCCACGCCCAGGTATCACTGATAGTAGTTCGTATACAATAACTTGGTTAACCTTTGAAAAAAAAAATACTATAGATGCATGAATTTTTTATTGCACGTTAAATAGATCTCAGGCGGCAACGCCACATAGATATAAAAAAGGTGATGTAGTGGCTACACCAAGTGGAGTTAGAAAAAAGTTCAATGGTAAACAATGGCGTCGACTCTGTAGCAAAGAGGGATGTTCCAAAGAAAGCCAACGAAGGGGATATTGTTCTCGTCATCTTAGTTTAAAGGGATCTGGTCTTAGGGGTCCAACAAATACGTTTCCTGGGTAAGAAAATTTGCAATAATTTTAACAAATCGTTAATAAAAATTGGACTGGTCGCGTAACAACGTGTTTCTGCAGTAGTAAAATGGATGGCGAAGAAACATCGAGGGACTCTGATACTTCTCCAAATTATGGAGATAGAAGAGTTGCTGGTCGATTTGATCAAGACGAAACTGAAGCTGCTAATATGCTTGGTGAGTTTTCTATTCGTAATATTTTATATGTAAAATTTTATATGAAATCTTTCAATATTTTAGACTTTTGAGTAGAAATGGAAGAGAATCGAATGACTGTTTAGTTATGCAACAATAAAATATTATATTTAAACGGCATCATCTAGCATTCCTACTCAGTAATCTATAATATTGAAAAATTCAAGTGGTGCTATAGTTATGCACCTATGTGTATTAACGATAGTATTCTATTTTAATTGCAGTGTCTTTAGGAAGTTCTAGATCAGCAACACCTGCCTTTTCGTCGCCAACAGGACAATCTTCGATATCCCCGTGTATCAATCAGTCTCCAGTCCCACCATTGGGTCTTAATCAAAACAATGTGTTTATGCCTATTTCAAGTCCTGCTCATCATGCACCTCCATTGATTTCGCCTGGTGCGAAATGGAAGCATTCACCAACTCAATCCACGTTTCTTACTCAGTATCAACAACAGGTGATAAAACCTGAACCTAATCGAGTGGTTAGATCAAATCGACCAGCTCCAACGGCCCCTGTCCCTGCTAGTATAGGAACAAGCGTGATACGAATCTCTCCCGTAAGCCGTGGTATACCTGGACCTAATTTAACGTTGGCATGGTCGGAACAAAGCCCACCACCGCGACATCCGTCGGTTGTGACGACTATAGCTCAACAGCAACAGGGCATAATTCTTCAACACGCACTCACGACAAACAATGGTTTTCCCAATCATTCTGAAATTCCAGAGCAAAATTCACAAATATTAAAACAGTCTCACTCGCCTCACATGCCACTGTCTGCGCCAGCACCGCAAAACTTAACTCTTTTGCATAAACCTCTGGAACAGCCAGTTGATTATGCACAACCGCAAACGCAAAGCCAGCCAATTTATGTGATGCAGCACCAGCACGAAAAAAAGTATCTTGTGATAAAGAATAGTATGGATGTATCCGCAGCAGGTCACATAACTAATCAGGAAGATAAATATAGGCCAGGATTAATGAATCACTTAGGTCAACTTCCGCCATCGTTACATCAAACGCAATGTCAGCCTCCACAGTCACCTGCTGTTTCATCCGTCCATATCGATAAATTGTCGGTTTTACAGCAAGTAAGTGATTCTAGTGAAATATTATAATTAATTAATGGTTGACATGTTGACAGTATTTCGTCGTTATTAGGCAAGCAAAGTGGCCACTCACGTATCCACGCATATGGATATGCAGAGAAGTCAACCACCACCTACAAGCGTAGTAATGACAACTACCGCAGAAGCTTCAAATCCACCTACACCAACAAGCGTCTTCCAGCATGTAATCGTTCAACCTGGACATTTGGTACAGATTCCAAAGACTCAACAATCCAGAGAAGAAAATTCAAAAAACAATGGAGTATTGTGTAAGTTTAGAACGTATACTATATCATACTCTTCCTTTAAACTTGTATTTTTATTACATCTCTTCTCTTTTAGACTTTTCTAATTAAATATTTACACTTACAAAATATAGTTCAATGTTAGGTGTTAGCAAAAAATTGTTTTTACGCGACACAAATTAACTTTCCAAAGTGGTTAAACGCGTATTTAGTTTCATCATTTTGCATTAATATCTTCGTAATATTAGTGAATTTGACTAAACGGAAAGGCTTTCACAGATGGCAGCCATGATGTTCCTCCTGTATACCAGCCCCATCCCCCATCATTACTGAATAATGCAGTGCGCAACTGGAAAAAAGGTTTGAATTCTCATTGCCAAAACAAAATGTACGATTGTGTTCATATTTGTTGTAAAGTATATTCTCATTACAACAAATACCAACTAATCAGTTTTTTGCTTGTATTTCAACTATGTATTACATATTATCTTACTTTAATTAAAATGCAAATCATATTTAATATTTAATGTTACTTTAATGTTGGGGAAGGGTGATTTCTTTTAGATTTTTGCTGTAATTTTTATTACTTATTGGTAAATTACCGTTACGATATTTTAAAGTTACTTGAAATGAATAACATTGATTATTTCGTTTATTTAATTTGTAAAGCAGTTTCTATCACACACATTAACACACTTCTTTGTGAATTCAGCATCAAGCTTAATTTATTTTATTGGTTGTTATTTCTGTATTATTATTAACCAGTCATCTGCTCGACTAACGTTCAAATTTCATTTGCAGCCTTTTCCTGGCAGACGACAGTACTGGATCAGTCGGAAGTAAGTCCTCCTCCATCTGCATTGAGTCCGCCTTTGAGCGCACCGCCAATTCCACTAAGCATGAGTACACCTGGTGAAGACGGGCCTGGTCCAGGCCCAGATCCTATCACACCCGCCGAAGAAGAAGATGACGATGTCTTTGAAGCAGAACCAACAACACCTGCAGAAGTCGAGGCTAATGCCAATAAGAGACGCAGTCAGTCCCTTAGTGCGTTGCATTCCAAAGAGCCTCAGAGTCCACTTAAAGTAAGTGAAAATTATTACATTTATTATAAATGGTAAAAACTTTAATTTCACAATAAAATTTTACAGACTAAAGATAGGATACGCCGACCGATGAATGCATTTATGATTTTCTCAAAACGGCATCGTGCAGTGGTACATCAAAGACACCCGAATCAAGATAATCGTACTGTATCGAAAATATTGGGGGAGTGGTGGTATGCTTTAGGTCCGGAAGAAAAGCAAAAATATCACGATCTTGCATCGGAGGTTAAAGAAGCGCATTTTAAAGCACATCCGGATTGGAAGTGGTGTAGCAAAGATAGGCGGAAATCTTCGACAACTAGTTTCAAAGGTAGCGAATCTCGAGGGAAATTGAACAGTACTGGCGAAGACACAGATATGGGGCCACCGACAGAAGACGTACCATTAACGCCGAGAGGTACCGACGAAATCACTGTTCCCGTTACTACAGTCTATAACGATGTTCCTACCATCGAGGTAAAATTAATTTAAATCACTGACAAAGTTTAAATTATAAATGATCGTTTGTTGCGTAAAACAATTTATTTTTGTCCAGATTATTAATCAATCGCACACACATCGGATAATGGAAATGCCTGTACCGGTCGAAAATGCAGAACCTGAAATAAAGCAGGACGAAGATGGTAATGCATCAGACGAAGATCAAATGGTAATCTGTGAAGATCCGCAACCAGAAATTGATTTGAAATGCAAAGATAAATTAACAGATAGCGATAACGATGTACAAGATGAAGACATCGAAAAGAAATGTTACTCGCAATCGCGGTTCTCGCCTATGAGTGGTCAGAAAAGAGAAGCAATAACCGTAAAACAAGAAGTCACCTGTAGGCCTAAACCTATAAAAGGTTCGTTTCGATATACAATTAAAAGTTATAATGTTTAGTTACGTAGTATTCTATGGTAAAGTAAATTTCTCCGTTTGTCTAGCACGAATACCTTCAACAGGTATTGAAACTACGACAAAGTACCATCACGCATCTATGGACAAGGCAGGAACAGTGTCCGTTTTATCGAGCACCTATCCTTATCATAGTCCTGTCAATCCGACTGGAGTATCAGGTTTCCAACCTACTGGTGGAGCATTCATAACAATGCCAATATCTCCGAAAGTTATTAAACCGGAACCAGTGAAAAACGAACAGCAGTACAGTACTCAATATAGCATGAGCAATCTGGTGGCAAGCATTCATGAAAATGGAAGGAACATGCCTAAATTTACAGCTGCTCCGGTGTTACATTCTGTAAGTCCTATAACTATAAATAATTACAAACATTTCATGGTAACATGCATACCTAAAATAACCCAGACGAGGTAGGAATATATTACATACAGGGTGTCCCAGCTTTTAAATCAAACTTTGTTAGTACATTTCATAGAATTAAATAAGAAAAAAATCTTACATAAAGATAAGTTGTATTGGACTTGTTGCAAGTCTGCAACTGCTTCAATGCGTTTTTTTGTTTTTTTACTACAAACTGTCTCTGTCCAAAAAAGTGTCCGATTTCGGGTGGAATGTCCCTGTACACGAGGTATGAGTGTAGCATCTGAAACGTAGAAAAATTTTCAAGATTCAATCTGTTTTTTAATCTTTTTACTTCCTTTTTTATAATTACGTTGCCAAGATATAAATTAAAAATTATAGTTATTATATTTCGAATTTTCGTTTGTACTCGAACGATTAATATTTTATTACGACTAGTTTTCTTTATAAATAAATGTTTGGGAATAAGGTTAGTAAAATTATTAATTAGTACAATTCGAGTGCTATTCGCACGTGCCTACTTGCATTGCTACAATATCATTTAATTTTATTTTTATTTGAATTTTTTTTTTTTAATATCGAAACCTGAATTGAGGGAGCAATGGACCCTTGCATTTCCAAAGATTAACATGTAAACACATGCGAATAAACTCAAAGATTAAGTTATAAATTTAACAATATTAACAGTGTGGGTCAAAATCCATGATGGCTCTGTTTAAACAACAGCAGCCGTTGCAGTCCTTAGGCACTATTCTTCGCCCCCTTACTTCAGCTGTCCCTTATCAACCATCGTTCACTCTAACATTGCTCGATAACGATTTGGTGGCTGTTTCCAAACCGCAGCAGGGATCGCAGTACCTTGGTCCAACACCGCCACATCCCCGGATGTACTGTGGTTTTCACATCCCAATCTCTGGTAAGTCTATTCTATGAATAATCAATTTAGAATTAACATAGTTTTATGAAACTTTTCTGGGTACTTCCATTTGGGTAACAGCAATTTTTAAAATAAATTATTATTATATAATTATACAGACTGTTCAGCTATCCCTGGAAAAAGTTTTAATGAAAGGGTATAGCCGTATAAGGGGGTCAAATGTGACATACGATGGATCCATCGATAGAGCATCAAGAAAAAACGTTCTGTGCCAAATCTTCACCCTCTATCTTGTTTGGAAGGGTAGTTATTGAGAAAATTTGGATCAACGAATTTCTGCCTATTTCCTCTATTTAATCGAGTACAAAAATTATGAAAAAAATCTGGTGCATCGTGGTTATTGAGATACGTGTTTGAGAATTTTGTCCGATTTTTCGATTCCAAATCCTAGGTGTGAAAAATTGAAAACGCAAAAAAACACAGAAAAATACGGATTTCGTATTGAAGCTTTCGAGACACTAGATTTCTATAATTACTGTAAATGCGTATTGTCATTGGTTATCTTCCTGAATTTTTTCAGATTTTTTGCTAGGGTGCGCCGTAGTAGCAAAAATGAAAAACCGATTTTTTCGACGTTTTTCGCGTGAAAAAGCATCTTATACTTTGAATTTTTGCATTCTCTTTAATAGATAACTATATTGTATGGTTTTAAACATTTCTATGTTGAGCAGAACATTGTATACAAGAAGAAAAGCAAAAATAAGTCACGAAAAAAAGTGCTATGCGCGATATATTGAGAAGTATCAACGGTATTTTCAAGAGCTGCGATGGTGCAGTAAGTAAGATGCTTGACTGTGAGGCTGCTGCAAACTTTTTGATGCGCGTTCGCGCCCTGCTAAAGTACATTTTTTTTATTATATTAATTTTGTTTTTTTTTCAATTTCTAACTAAACGACAGTGAAAAACTATTTGTTTATTATTTAAAAAATATTTTCACCTAAAATATATGCAAAAACAATTATGGAGCAGTTTCTATTCCATCATTTCTCTAGTCGTGTATTTGCTTAAATACCCCACTGTTTAATTTTTTCTACGTTAAATGAATATACGTAGTTAGTTTTAAAATTGCAAACCTTTAATAACTTTGAATAGTGGAAGAAGATTAAAATGTTTAAAACCATACAATATAGTTATCTATTAAAGAGAATACAAAAATTCAAAGTATAAGATGCTTTTTCACGCGAAAAACGTCGAAAAAATCGGTTTTTGATTTTTGCAGCTACGGCGCACCCTAGCAAAAAATCTGAAAAAATTCAGGGAGATAACAAATGACAATACGCATTTACAATAATTATAGAAATCTAGTGTCTCAAAAGCTTCAATACGAAATCCGTATTTTTCTGTGTTTTTTTGCGTTTTCAATTTTTCACACCTAGGATTTGGAATCGAAAAATCGGAAAAAATTCAGGGAGATAACCAATGACAATACGCATTTACAGTAATCATAGAAATCTAGTGTCTCGAAAGCTTCAATACGAAATCCGTATTTTTCTGTGTTTTTTTGCGTTTTCAATTTTTCACACCTAGGATTTGGAATCGAAAAATCGGAAAAAATTCAGGGAGATAACCAATGACAATACGCATTTACAGTAATTATAGAAATCTAGTGTCTCGAAAGCTTCAATACGAAATCCGTATTTTTCTGTGTTTTTTTGCGTTTTCAATTTTTCACACCTAGGATTTGGAATCGAAAAATCGGAAAAAATTCAGGGAGATAACCAATGACAATACGCATTTACAGTAATTATAGAAATCTAGTGTCTCGAAAGCTTCAATACGAAATCCGTATTTTTCTGTGTTTTTTTGCGTTTTCAATTTTTCACACCTAGGATTTGGAATCGAAAAATCGGAAAAAATTCAGGGAGATAACCAATGACAATACGCATTTACAGTAATTATAGAAATCTAGTGTCTCGAAAGCTTCAATACGAAATCCGTATTTTTCTGTGTTTTTTTGCGTTTTCAATTTTTCACACCTAGTGTTTGGAATCGAAAAATCGGAAAAAATTCAGGGAGATAACCAATGACAATACGCATTTGCAGTAATCATAGAAATCTAGTGTCTCGAAAGCTTCAATACGAAATCCGTATATTTCTGTGTTTTTTTGCGTTTTCAATTTTTCACACCTAGGATTTGGAATCGAAAAATCGGAAAAAATTCAGGGAGATAACCAATGACAATACGCATTTACAGTAATTATAGAAATCTAGTGTCTCGAAAGCTTCAATACGAAATCCGTATTTTTCTGTGTTTTTTTGCGTTTTCAATTTTTCACACCTAGTGTTTGGAATCGAAAAATCGGAAAAAATTCAGGGAGATAACCAATGACAATACGCATTTACAGTAATTATAGAAATCTAGTGTCTCGAAAGCTTCAATACGAAATCCGTATTTTTCTGTGTTTTTTTGCGTTTTCAATTTTTCACACCTAGTGTTTGGAATCGAAAAATCGGAAAAAATTCTCAAACACGTATCTCAATAACGACAATGCACCAGATTTTTTTCATAATTTTTCTACTCGATTAAATAGGGGAAATAGGCAGAAATTCGTTGATCCGAATTTTCTCAATAACTACCCTTTCAAACAAGATAGAGGGTTAAAATTTGGCACAGAATGTTATTTCTTGATTCTCTATCGATGGATCCATCGTATGTCACATTTGCCCCCCTTATTCGGCTATACCCTTTGTCTTATCTTGATTTCTAGAATCTCCTATTAAAATTTTTCCCAGAGGTGATCGAACACCCTACCACACTCTCTAAAGTGCATAAAAACTAAAAGCATATTATTTTTTATAGATGCTGGCAACCGCAACATATCTGCGCAAGGTTTAGTTTCTGGTAATAAACTGGAAACTCAAAGTGTTATTGTGAGTAAACCTTACTCGGTTTCGACAACTTCTACAACGTCGACTTACCGAGGAATTGGTCATCCGATAGCACGTCTTGCAGAACCTGAAAAGAATGAGAACCAAGTAGGAAACAATCACGCTCAGTTTTATGGTAAGGTATAATATATGTTTTGATTTATTGATATATTACATTGTACGTTTTCGAATGTTTTAAACTGGAGATCAATCTATTTTTGTTACAGTAACTAATATAAAATCTGAACAAGATAGAAAAGATACAATGAGTATTCTTCTGCCTGCTACAAACGATAAACATAAACAGCCATCTACTCCACATACTCCTCATACACCTCTCAGTAATCACGGTAGTAGCACTGACGTCTCAGCAAATAAATCATATTCGATGGATGAAGGCCAAAATAATGATATAGGTCCAACCAAAGGTCCATTCATGCTTGCCCCAACTCCGGCACAACTTGGTCGAGCACCATTACAAAGGAGACAATCAATGGGTATAATTTTCTTATAGTAATGTCTTAATCATTATCTTTACTTTATGTATTTTTATGAATTTCGTTATATATTTTATGTGTAGTGAGTATATGCTTCTTCGGACAGATATATTTGACTTTGATTAAACTAACTTTAACGAGTAAAGTAGTTAAATGTTTTATGCCTTTGTAGCAATGCCTCCCACATCGAATGCAGGAGACCATGGGCCTCTGACGTCTCAGCATTGTGACAATCGTCCACAAACAAACACATCTCAAACCACAGAACAGATACAACAGCAACAAAATTTTTCAGAATCTCATGCGTCGCCTTCGCCATCCACGAAAAAGGGATCTTTCTTTAAGAAAAACGTTGAAGATGGAATGGACAGGTGTGCAAAGCTTAAATTTTATAATTATTTCAATTACTCCAGTGTGTGTATATTAAATAAATGATTGCAGAGTTCTCGAACAAGTTAATTTCCAAGAAAAATTCTCGTCCTTGCCGGAATTCAAGCCAGAAGATATACAAAGTCCAAGCGCAATCAGTATCAATACAGCAGGATCATCTGGTCACGGTTCAGTAGTAACGACAGGCTTGCATTCATCAAATTTACAATCGTCGATGCAAATGCAAAGTTACCGAAAGAAATCTGCGCAAGGACCTCATAGGCCTACAAGTAGTTATTTTAATGTCGTTAAATTTCTTTAAAATTGTTGTTCATTTTAATAAAAATGTTATATTTTTAAACAGTGAATGAGGAGGACATTGAGTCAGATGCGTCAGTGTCCGCTACTCCAAAATCAACTTCCAGTGTCAAGTTGACGGGAAACACATTCTTTGGTCCAGATTTTAACGTTGATGCGTATAGAACTAACAGCGACATAGTAGGAGACGTTGACGCTAATTCTCCTAGAACGCCAAAGACACCTGGAGGAGGTGCTGTAAACTCAGTCGGAATTGGTAGAAGTGAGAATGAACGTGGCCATAGAAAAGTGTTGGAACAACGTCGGCTTCTTGTAATGCAACTGTTTCAAGAAAACGGTTACTTTCCTTCGACGCAAGCAACCACAGCTTTTCAAACGAAACATTCGGATATATTTCCTAACAAGTCGAGTTTGCAATTAAAGATCAGAGAAGTTCGACAAAAATTGAAAGCTAATTCAACGCCAATGAGTGCTAACAGTCTAGTTAGTCCATTACCAGTTTCCGAACCTTCACCCAACGTGACTGGTAATTATCGAATTTTCTAGCAATATTCAATGAGAATTGGTATTTTGTAAACGTTACTCTTACAGGACCATTGACTGCTCCACCTACATCGATGGGAGCTCCACATTCACTGCCTGTAAGCAGTAGTGGTAGCTAGCACCCACGTGCCAACTGTGATACTATGCATCCCCTTACTCCACAGCACGAGTACATCATTATCCATTGAAAAGGAAAGTTTTATTGGGGAAATTGTTGATGTACAAGTTTTTGCGAGTTGTAAAGTGCTGCAAGGCTTTAGTGCAATTCAAACTTTGATGTAACCTGTTGCAGGTAATTTAGACAGGCATATCAAGGTGAGTTGATGTACACATATCAGTAAATCTTTCGTATTGTATATAAAAGTAAAAAAGCTGGATAGGAATCGAGTGGTTCTCAACATTGCTGACGTTGACTCAATGATCGTGTGTTCGAATATCTGTGTTCCATTGGATAATGATATGTAAAATTGTGAAATGTTCGCCTGGTAAAGAATTTACTGTATTTTAGCAAACGATAACGTTCATTAGAAAATTAGAGGCTCAACTTACAGGCTTAATTATATTATATTGTTTGATAACAATATGAAAAACAAATAATATAATCTCATATTAACTGTTTCGAGACGTGTAATTTGAAGAGAAAGCTTTCTTCTCTCCGAAGGAAAGACAATACTATTCTGCATTCTAAATCCAAAGATGACTTATAGAAGAGGTTAATGATAGAAATGCGGAAACTATTTTACTACGTTATGAAAATCATAGTTACTTGTACAATTGCAAATACGTGACCGATATTTGTACATCGAAACACCTTGGCAGGATTATGGAAGGCCTAAGCCATTGTTAAACATTGTTAAAAATGCTATGAGATCCAGGTAGAAAGAAATAGAGAGTATGTGTGATATAGAACAATGAAGTTGCGCGCATGTGTAGATGTGTCTGGGTGTGCTTGAAAGAAAGAAGAAGAGAAAATCGTAATTAGAGAATATTAGAATTAATGAAGCATTATAAAATGAAATCAGAGTTTATATACTTTAGTTATACTTTATATATGATATAGATGAAAAAGAAAAAAACTATAGAATGAAAACTGCGATAAATATTGCACAAAATTTATGTAATGCAGTAACAAATATGTTTATTTTACTTGTATATACTATAGCATGACTTGGAATGGGAGATATCTGGAGAGTTTGAAGTATCTATGATGCTATATGTCTGAAAATTTTAAGGCGAAAGCATTCTTTGGTGATACATAGAATATAACAGTGGAGATAAAAATCGTGCCATTGTGCGGCGACAAACAAGGCAATGCATGCGTAATAAGTCCCTTAAATAGTAAAGAATTAATTGTTAGACACCACTTGATATAGATAATATCTAATATGTTTCCAATATTCTTGAAAGTACTTATCTACTGTTTTTAGAACTCTGCTGAAATTCAACGCGTTCCTCGTATATGCATTTTATAAATATTTTAAAATTGGTCTGCTTGTTTCTTTATTTCTTCCTTGGCCAATTTAGTTGTAAGCGGTTTTATACAGGCCGTATTTTTTTTTTATTTCTTTTTTTTTTGGCCCTGACAAATTTATTTGTTTTTATCTTCAGCTTAATTGCCAAATGCGTGTAATTTAACAAAGATAAAATATATTTGCAAATCGAGAAATGAATACACCGAGCGTCGAGGAATTAACGTTAAATCTATTTGAATACGTTGTTGCGATTCGATTTTTTGTTACTACGTTTTTACTGGAACTCGTTGTTCATTATGCAAATTCTATATTGTATTCCATTTATTTTAACGCATTTTATCGATAAAATGATTATATTTTTATGTTACAGAGGTTTTTGAAAATTATCTTAGGCAATGCGCTGAATTTTAGCAGGGATTGTTGAATTTGGCTGTAAAATAGATTATGTAATTAGTGATATGTTTATAAAAAGCGCACCTTGAAAGGTTTAAAGTCTCGCGCCACGGCACGCATATTGTAGTTAGGATAGGAACAATGTCTATTCTACATATTTTGTAAATAGAAAAAAATACAATACACTAACTGAATATATATTATAAAAATCTAGGGTAAATCCGAAGTGGTAGAATATAACATTGTAATTTGTAGAATAATAATTATAATGAAATTGCGCGGACAGGATTAGGATACAACAATTACAGATTGTGGGCCTTCGTATGTCGTGGACTTTTGCGCACGGGACGGTCCCCCCACCCTCCTCCAAAGTTAACCCTTTCCTAAAGTGTTAGGATATTATTATTTGTATATAATATAATTACATTAATCTCTTACCATTTCTCGATTTATCATTTTTTTTATGGAGCGTTAAACGCACCGGTGGCAAGCAATAACTTAAGGAGAAGAGACACTTGAAATCTGCACTGATCACTTCTGTGAGAAAAAAAAAAAACGAAAAAGAAAAAAAAATTATTTTCCTCCAGATGGAAATCTTTTTCTAAAACTGTATTTATTATTTAAAAATATAATTTAATGTTTATATTCAAAGTGTTCATCGGTGAAACTTGTTAAAAAATATTATACCTTTTAAAACAACAATGTTCTCGATTGATAGATCGTAAGGTGTTTTGTATCCATCGTTGCATCTATTTTATTATACATAGTATTTTAAAAATCGCTACGTTATACTTGACAATAATACGTGAACGAAAAATTTCAGCGCACTTATGATTTACAATACGCTAGATCCATTTAAACAAAAACTTTTTTTTAAACCGATGTTATAGATTATATCGAACCACAAGTTTTCTTGACCCGACGGTATTCAACATTTTTTTGTAAGTATATTATTTTATTATGGAAAATATTTTAGATGTATATCTTTATTTTAGAGTTCCGGTTTCCGCAATATATTTTATGTTAGCTATATATAATTTAATTTGTTACATATACGTATAAAATAATGAAATAACAATGGAATGGAAATAGTCGTTTTTTAATTTATCGTACACTCCAATCTGTATATCATGAATACTAGAAAACGTTTTGAACATATCTCGATTCGTTGTTCGATCAATTGTACATGAAGAGATCTTAACAGGGATCGAGTGTCTCTCACACTTGCCCCTATCAAAGAATTTAAATGGAATATTATATTTTGTACTTGTATAAACTAGTGAACTATTTTCCAGTATTGATAAGATTTTGAAAGTACTTTCATATTTTCTTCCTCTTCACCTTTTTTTTTTTTTTTTGTTAGAAATGGTGATGAAACATGGTCCGTGATTTAGCAGCCATACATGTGACTGTGATCTAGGAAAACAGAAGTAAAGTAAAATGGCGGCTACTCTACTGGCATTTTCTTCACCGCGTATAATTCTCTTCCTAACTCCTTCCTCACCCCCCCTCTCCGTGTATAAAGAAATACGCACCGATCAAACCCCCTATTTGCACCTACATCGTAATTTTTTTATTACTATTACTATTATTATTATTATTATTATTATTATTATTATTATTATTATTATTTGGAAGTAATGTATTTTTACTACGTTCTAAGTTGCTATCGTCTATTATAGTCATTTTATTATTTCTTGTTTAATTCTGAAATATTTTTAAAATTGTTATATAATTCTATATCAGTCACCGAACGATGTAAAAATATACCGATTATATGAAAAGTAATACTATACATAGAAGTGGTAAAATGACTCTGCGTATAACCATACAGTGAATCTTTGTTATGTACAGCATTGGTGGCACTGTACTATAGAAAGTACACGCATATACATGCGTAGGTAATAAAGCGTAATTTTACTAAAAAAAAAATGATGGACACAGTCAAATACTTAATATTTTAAAATGCATATAAAACATATACCACATACATATGCATATAAATATATTACACATATTGTAGGAAAAAAAAATAATAAGGCTGAGGTATTAAAATCTGTACCAATCTAGACAAATGCGGTTTGCGGATGGTTCATCGAACTCTGGAAACGATTCTTGTTAATAATTTTCAATTAAACGCATCGTTTCGTATTAATATTCTGCTTTCATTAACGAAATTTATTATAGGAATCTTAACAGAATTTCATCATGTACATAACTTAAATTCCGTATGTAAATTTTACTTAAGACCGAGAAAATGTGATTATCAGTGTTACAATACATATAAAAGTATGTAAATATTGTTCTGCGTCTTCAACGTTTGCATTTCAACAAAATCTTTTAATTACAGAAGTAAATAATCAGTTGCTTATGCGTTAAAATACTCGTTTTAGAGTCATGCTTTCTAATATCCGCTACGTTTCAACCCGTTTATACAAAGAACATCCGCTGTCTTCGTTCGCGACATCGACGATACACTTTACGAGCTTATTACACGATCTAATAGAAAGAAAAGAAACAAGTATTTTTCTTATTAACGATATATTTGATATGCGACAAAAAAAAAACCGTTCTCTCGATTTTTTTTTCCTTTAAAATTCGCTGATGTCGCGTGCAAATTACGAACGAAGATACGCGGATATTCTTTCCTGTTTCTCATTGCTTGCGCGTCGAAAAGGAGGAAAAAAACAATATGTAATCGTAAGTTTTAAAAGAAATTACAGAACCAAAAATATTGCCCGTGATAGCGATATTGTCGCGACGCACCCTGTCGCTAAAAGTTGGAACTCTTGAAAGTAAACTTGGTAGTAAAACGATAGAGAAAAAAATTAATAACATTGGCGAATACGCAGATCGAGAATAATCTGACAAATACTCGTGACAGCCAGTGTTGTGCGAAATTATGCATAGAATACTAAGCGTTGACAGTTTTGGATTCAAATGGCACGGATAATACACGCTACACATACATATCCAGTGTTGCTTTTTTAAAAGGAAACAAAAAAACATTGTGCTAACGTTTTAATGGTGAATGAAATGTTAATGTTTTTAACTGTACCATGTAAGTGATGGGGGAAAAAAAAGCACTATATATGTATATATCTATGCACATAATATTTTAAGTATCGGAGACAGTTAAACGTACAGGTCGCTTTTTAGAGAATTCTACTTAATGATTTGTTTAAACATTATTTAATTATTATTATCTGTTACGTGGAAGCTGTTTCAAAATGAGTATGCAAATCGAACATAGTATTGTTATTGTTTCACAACGCCAATATACGCCAGCTAACCTTAATACCAATTATTTCGAATTTCTCTATTTTTCTGAAACATCCCTCTTTGTTGGCGAACATTTGAATTACAGTATCTCGTGTAATTTCGTCGCTCGATATACTCATTTTGGTACATACTGTATTACATGTATAGATATATGAATTGTAAATGCAATGTGCGCAGACGGTTGGTCACGATTGGCAGATTTTAACTCCGATGCCCTTATACGAGAACCAGTTGTTGGACCAAATTGCCAGTGCGGCCATTTTGACTTACAAATGCGTTACATTTTTTAAAGAATCGATTTAAACGATACGAGGCATTAGTATAACAAAAGCAATACGTAATTTATTCGAGAGCATTTTGACATTTACGACGAACTTGTATTTAGATCGAGAAGAACTTTTTTAAACAATATATATATATATGTATTGTATATATATGTTACCGTGAATGACCGAAATTGGAGAATGTCAACTTTCACCGGTGAATGTCAACAGATACCAAATACGTCGGTGAAAGATCGAATATTTCATTACATTGTTGTACATTCGGACCCTCTCCGGTGTGTGTCGACAATCACAGATATGCTCTGGTGGCGGTCCAAAACAGAAGAGTCAAAAAACAAGCGACTGACTCTCTCCTGCCAAATCCTTTGTTCTGCTCGGAGTCAATCAGCTTTGTCAGTCTTATGCAAGCTTTGATAACGCGAGCAACGTTTTCTTAATTTTTCCCCCGATACCCTAATTTATACTAAATGGATACTGCAGTAAATCGTGATCTTTTTCTAACCCAGACCTAACCCAGACTTAATTCAGACTTATTCCAGACTTATTCCAGACCTAACCCAGACCTAACCCCCGTTATCAGCGATGAATTGGTCTGGGTTAGGTCTGGAATAAGTCTGAATTAAGTCTGGGTTAGGTCTGGGTTAGGTCTGAATTAAGTCTGGGTTAGGTCTGGGTTAGGTCTGAATTAAGTCTGGGTTAGGTCTGGGTTAGGTCTGAATTAAGTCTGGGTTAGGTCTGGGTTAGGTCTGAATTAAGTCTGGGTTAGGTCTGGGTTAGGTCTGAATTAAGTCTGGGTTAGGTCTGGGTTAGGTCTGAATTAAGTCTGGGTTAGGTCTGGGTTAGGTCTGAATTAAGTCTGGGTTAGGTCTGGGTTAGGTCTGGGTTAGGTCTGAATTAAGTCTGGGTTAGGTCTGGGTTAGGTCTGGGTTAGGTCTGGAAGAAAAATTAAATTTTCTAATTAGCAAACTCGTCTTTTTAACAGTAAATTAAGACCTAACCCAGACCTAACACAGACTTAATTCAGACCTAACCCAGACTTATTCCAGACCTAACCCAGACCTAACCCAGAGCTAACTCAGATCTAATCCAGACCTAACCCAGACCAAACCCAGATCTAATTCAGATCTAATCCAGACCTAACCCAGAGCTAACTCAGATCTAATCCAGACCTAACCCAGACCTAACCCAGACCTAACCCAGATCTAATTCAGATCTAATCCAGACCTAACCCAGACCTAACCCAGATCTAATCCAGACCTAACCCAGACCTAACCCAGATCTAATTCAGATCTAATCCAGACCTAACTCAGATCTAATCCAGACCTAACCCAGACCTAACCCAGATCTAATCCAGACCTAACCCAGAGCTAACTCAGATCTAATCCAGACCTAACCCAGACCTAACTTAGATCTAATCCAGACCTAACCCAGACCTAACCCAGATCTAGGGTCTGGGTTAGGTCTGGGTTAGGTCTGGGTTAGATCCTTTCAGAAAGAGAGGCGAAAAAGTTACGTCACCCTTGTGACGTTTTATAGCGACTGAATTACGGAGAAGAAAATATAAATCTCCAACATGTTCAACACTCACCATTAGTGCATGGTGAACGTCAACATTTACCGGTGTAAGTCAGAAATAAGGGTGTTTAGCAAATATTTCGGGCATACACTAAGCGACTATGTGAATGTTGACATTCACCGGTGAAAGTCGACATTCTCCAGATTTCGGTGTTTCACTGTAACATATATACATATACTTTTTAGGACGGTGTGTACAGTAGAACCTTGATAATTGCATGGAAACAGAGCTAGAAGCTTCTGCAAATATCGAGGTAAAAAGATTAATGGAGATTTTTTGTTTTTTATACATATATTATTTTATTACGAATAATTTAGGCGTAACACATTTAAATGGAAAGAAATTTCAGCTATATAAAATCAACTAAATCCCTAAAATCACTCTTCCTTGTAGAAATATTAACCTTATAAAAAAAATAGAACAACAATATACTATTTATCAAATATAGCAATCCTGTACAAATTGTAGGTAAAAATAGAGAAAATTTATTCGAGTAATCGATGAATAAAAGTAATACGAGAAGATTTATTTGCATTTAGTCGATTGAATTTGTTTAGTTTTTATTCGTTTAATACGTTGACTGCTATGGTGGTCACTGGAGACCGTCGATTCAAACTAACAACGTGTCTTTAAAGCGCTTAGGATAATTAATATTTGTTAGATTAAACAACTCAAGTATGCTTCGGATAGATCGTTATATATATTATACGCACTATACACAGTGTTTCTTTGCCCACTATAGCCACTGTTACCTGTTCCTTTCAACTTAACGAAATTCTCCTGTAATAATCAAGATTCTACTGTACATACTGAAAAATTTTAATGGGAGATTCTAGAGGCGTCGTCGAGATTAAAATCATCAGCTTTAACCATAAACAGCGTATATCTTTTTTGCTTTTCCATTGAAAGAAAAGAATCAAATGCCTATTAGGCTAATATCAAACTTTTTTTTAAATATTCCTGAAATATCATATGTAAATTGTTTATTTCAGATCTGTACTAACGCCACCTATCGAAAATCGGCACGAACTTTCTGGACAATTCAATACTACGACTATAAAGAGACCTTCGACAACACGTTTTTGTCATTTTGATGGAATCGAAGCTCGTTAAAAATTAACGCTCATTTATCGTAATTACTCGTCCGTGTTAAATGTCACATTGCTCGTACAAGAGATACAATAGGTAATTTGACCGATTGTATAACAAGCATTAGAAGTGAATCTCAATCTGTCCAGTACAGAGTGATTTCTTGGTTAAAAAATCGAATTTTACGATTATAGAAACTGAATCATCCTTACCACCGTTTATGATTCGTTACTCGATGAAAATGAGTCGAAACGCAACCACGTTCAAACTATTTTTAGTTATACATAATTAGAAATTCGAATAAATTATAATTAAAACTAGTTCGAATGAAAGCGTGTTTGAACTCATTCTCATTGTTCCAATAAAAAGAAAAATAATGAAAAATATTAAAAGATTTTAATTCCCATTAGTGTCAACACAACATTCGGAATCACTTTCAAGTTTTTTATTGAATCCGGCCAGTTGCAAGGAAAAATGTCGATATTCGGATTTAAGCGAAGAATTACTGTAACGAGAACCGAATCTACGTTCTTAAAATCGTAACCATTCCGCGGTGTTACATCACTGTATGATAAAAAAACCATCGTTGTAGTCACCTATTATAACGAATCGTAAACGTTGTATGCAGTAGAATGCATAACGTTACGTTCGTTTTAGTAGGGATTTTGTATCGTTTCTCTGTATAGTCCGCAAGTAATACCGCAAGGGGTTATTACAAACATATATATATATATATATACATACATATGTTGATCGATGCGTCGTATTTCAATGACAATTTATTTCTTTGTAAGAGGTCTTGCAATGCCACGCATTGGTGGACTATTTCATTTGCTTTTTTAGAGGCTACGCATACATAAATACGTTACGAATAAGATACATTGAATCGATAGCCATAAATAGAAATATTTAACGTGCTATCGGGGCAGCGCTTTAACGAGACGAATTCTGTGTCAAACTAAATTTTATTATAATTTTAATACAAATTGTCGGATAACGTGTACCGGTGAGTATAACGTTATCGTTGTATAAAATATTGTATTAGTGTTTTGTATTAAGATTATAATAAAAATAATTGCTGATCAATCAGGAAAATAGTCTATTACAATCGACGAGAAGCTTCTAGGTGCAAAGAGTTCATTGATTGCCAGAGATGCCTGAGTACCCGATCATTTTTTATCGAACGATTAGGGTTTCGAAACATTCTTGCCACATACGATTGGTCGATTATCCATGACAAGTGAGATAATATCATTTAATATAAAATTAAAATCTATGCATATTGTATATTTCCCATGTAATTTTTTAAAACCAACTGTGTTTTATCTAGCAGACTAACCCAGACCTTGCCTTAGACGTGATTAGGTGTCAAACCGATTTCCTGTATGCGTAACGTCTGCTAGAACAAGCCTTACCGAAGGATACAATTCATGTGGCCATAGTTCCCGCGCTCGCCGGAAGAGGGACCGCTTTCTCGCAAGTACTCGTCACGAAACGTCATGGCGCCCCAAGGCAAGACCTGCTACGATTGCCTTTTACTCATGAGTAGACTGCGGATCTTTATGCAAATTCACATTTTTATTAATAGAATTAATGAAACGGAAGCTCCGCAGAGGGCTGTCTCAACCCCTAAATATAATAATTCGTATCTTACTTTAAGTATTTCTTATACTTTTGCATATTAAATGCATTCTGTAGTTTTTTGAGGATTAAAATTTCCCATAAATGCATAAACATCCGCAGTCTACTCATGAGTTTGCCAGGCCCAGGACGAAATGCCACCTCTCCCCTTTCCTTTCATCCTGTTATTTCATTCACTCGCTTCTTACTCACTTTCCTCGCACAACAAGCCACCATAAACCATTCTCGAGCCTACCCTAAAATGACACACGTATGTTCACCTCGTGTGTGGCAAGAAATCGCGAAAAAAATTTCGGTTACTCATGCACCCCTGTTATGATTAGCTTTCTATCTTTCGAAAATATGTAAATCTAATTAATGGGCGAAGGCGCTGATACTTTCAGCGATGTGCACAAAGAGATGTTGTTGTTACAACATACACGAAGATGCATTGTTCTCGGGGATACATTATTTAAGGGCCTCTGTACATTAACATTATTATATAGAAACAGCATATATATATATACATGTATATATGTATATGTTACAGTGAAACACCGAAATCTGGAGAATGTCGACATTCACCGGTGAATGTCAACATTCACATAGTCGCTTAGTGTATGTACGAAATATTTGCTAAACACCCTTATTTCTGACTTACACCGGTAAATGTTGACATTCACCATGCACTAATGGTGAGTGTTGAACATGTTGGAGATTTATATTTTCTTCTCCGTAATTCAGTCGCTATAAAACGTCACAAGGGTGACGTAACTTTTTCGCCACTCTTTCTGAAAGGTTCTAACCCAGACCTAACCCAGACCTAACCAAGATCTAGTCTAGATCTAATCCAGACCTAACCCAGATCTAATCTAGATCTAATCCAGACCTAACCCAGACTTAACCCAGACCTAACCCAGACCTAACCCAGATCTAGTCTAGATCTAATCCAGACCTAACCCAGATCTAATCTAGATCTAACCCAGACCTAACCCAGACCTAACCCAGATCTAGTCTAGATCTAATCCAGACCTAACCCAGATCTAATCTAGATCTAATCCAGACCTAACCCAGACCTAACCCAGACCTAACCCAGATCTAGTCTAGATCTAATCCAGACCTAACCCAGATCTAATCTAGATCTAACCCAGACCTAACCCAGACCTAACCCAGATCTAGTCTAGATCTAATCCAGACCTAACCCAGATCTAATCTAGATCTAATCCAGACCTAACCCAGACCTAACCAAGACCTGGTATACAATAAAATTCTTATGAAATAATTTTATATGACTCAAAAATCCTATTTAATAATGGAGTGGACTGGGTTAGGTCTGGGTTAGGTTTGGGTTAGGTCTGGATTAGATCTAGACTAGATCTGGGTTAGGTCTGGATTAGATCTAGACTAGATCTGGGTTAGGTCTGGATTAGATCTAGACTAGATCTGGGTTAGGTCTGGGTTAGGTCTGGATTAGATCTTGATTAGATCTGGGTTAGGTCTGGATTAGATCTAGACTAGATCTGGGTTAGGTCTGGATTAGATCTAGACTAGATCTGGGTTAGGTCTGGATTAGATCTAGATTAGATCTGGGTTAGGTCTGGATTAGATCTAGACTAGATCTGGGTTAGGTCTGGGTTAGGTCTGGGTTAGGTCTGGATTAGATCTTGATTAGATCTGGGTTAGGTCTGGATTAGATCTAGACTAGATCTGGGTTAGGTCTGGATTAGATCTAGACTAGATCTGGGTTAGGTCTGGATTAGATCTAGATTAGATCTGGGTTAGGTCTGGATTAGATCTAGACTAGATCTGGGTTAGGTCTGGGTTAGGTCTGAATTAGATTTTGATTAGATCTGGGTTAGGTCTGGATTAGATCTAGACTAGATCTGGGTTAGGTCTGGATTAGATCTAGACTAGATCTGGGTTAGGTCTGGATTAGATCTAGACTAGATCTGGGTTAGGTCTGGGTTAGATCCTTTCAGAAAGAGAGGCGAAAATGTTACGTCACCCTTGTGACGTTTTATAGCGACTGAATTACGGAGAAGAAAATATAAATCTCCAACATGTTCAATACTCACCATTAGTGCATGGTGAAATAAATGCAGAAATAAGGGTGTTTAGCAAATATTTCGGACATACACTAAGCGACTATGTGAATGTTGACATTCACCGGTGAAAGTCGACATTCTCCAGATTTCGGTGTTTCACTGTAACATATATACTGAAACAGTAGCAGTATATATATGTATATATATGTATACTGTTTGTTGTATAATAAAGAAAAACAAAAATCTTAGGAGATAACCAATAACGAATTTCCAGAAAGCAGATAAATATGGAATATTATTCGCAAGAAATATTCTTCATGAAATATATACATATATTAAAGAATGACATATATATTATATACTGATGTCTGATTATAAAATATTGAACAAGTGTTATAAAATAAAATGTTGTAATCTGTGTTGACAATCGCCGACGTTCTGAGTTCTGAAAACCATCGAACAGGTGAGCATTACGTCTCGAGGATAATTGAAATGTTTAATTGCGACACAAGAGGATACGTAACGGACACTTTTACGTGTTACTCTTCAGACTGCAAACCTGTGCAGGGATTGTCCTACGTCTGACAAATAAACGATCGCGATCGAAGAATGTCGAAAATTATTCGAATAATTCCAAGAAACAGATACTAATTGTTTATACGTTTGTTTGTACGTTTCTGATCAGAGATTTAAAATATTAATCTGTAAATAGTTCGGTTATTTACTTCAAACGAACACGTTATTATCTGTGGAAAGAAAAAAACAATAAATTGCTATAATTTATGAAAGACTATTGACATCTTCGAAGCGTACGATCTTGATATCTATACATATACAATCGATATTCACGTTTATCAAGGACATTATCGATAAGCTGTTCAGTTTTTTCACCGAGAATTTGCTAATACATGCCAAACGTCGTCACGTTTAGTCATTCTTTTTGTATATAATGCACGTAGCATAAAACTGGATTATAAATAAACACGACGGAATATGTAAAGAACAAAAAAAAAAAAAAAATGCGTATAGAAATTTTTGTTATTAATTTTGAAGTAGTCGAATCTAAAGTAAAAATAAGAAAACAATAAACCACGAGGAGCATTTAAGAGTTATTCCTTCGATATCGAAAACATAAGTTCAAATATATAGTGGCAATGTTATTAATCAATGTATTAAAATGTACATCGTACTTTGTACAACGTATGTCAACAAAGAGCTTCATTTTCCTCCTAAGTTGTCCACATTTGCCAATTATATAATTGTAAGATTACAAGTAATATAAAAACAATGATAAAGTTTCTATATTATTGTTCTCCTAGATCTGATAAAAGAGTGCATGAAAAATTCTATTCTAAATAATGTCTCACTTCGTCCATATTAATGTTTTTATTATCACTATGACCCTCAGTCCATGAAATTGTAGTAACATTTTGTAATAATATACACGTATTAAAAATAGAAGGTATAATTTACATGTACATATTTTAGTAGAAATTGTAAAAATCTTTGTTACAAATATTTTATCTAAAAATTTTTACATTAATTTGTCGTATTTTTTTTTTTTTTACATTTCATAATGTTAAACTATATACATAATATAAGGAATGTTATATTATTCTACAACGATTCTATGTCCCTTTTGGTTAATTAACAATGTGTACACTAAGGAAATAGAAAAATTGAAATCGTTGCTCTATTTAAAAAATTAGTAACAAATTTCAAATTTAATTAAATACAATCAAGTAGTTGAAGTTTCTAACAAGTTAGCTAATAGTCTTTTTCCTTTTAACAAATTTCTCATAAATGTTGTTAATGCTTTATTTTATTTAATTCCTCCGTAGTAAAACGTAATACAGTAGAAATAGCATTCAGCATATGACGTTTGCTGGAAACATCATTTGTTGTCAAGTAGTTTATGAAAACGTTTTTCAAATATTCGAGATTAGCGCCTTCTCTGGATTTACACGCTTCGAGCCTACAACATTAATTGCGCATATAAATATATATGTCTATGAACTATTAACATTCTAATATTTGTAGAAATTGCGAAATTTACCTTGCAATCTGTGCGTGAAAAACTTTTGTTTCTTCTTTTTGTTTCTCTTTTACGTGAACGATTTCTCTTTGTTTCTCTCGTAACGCAGCTTCCAACTCTAAGATTTTCCTCCTAGAAGCTGATACTTGAACCTCCTTTCTTGCTAATTCCTGACTGTAATGTAATATTGGTGGACTATCGCTTGTCAATAATCCTGTTACTAGGTCAACGACCTGTTCTCCTCTCCTCTCATACTTTGAAACATTTGTCTCATTATCAGCAATAGTATTTTCTTTCTTGGGCAATAATGCATGAAATGATGTTTTCAAAGTTAATATTTCCTTCTCTTTCTCTTCGATCAGAGCCATCGATCGTTCTCGTTGACGTAATAATTGTTGTTCCAATGTGGATATTTTGCTGCGAAATTCGTTGTCTTTTTGTAGCAACGTGTGTTCCAATTTCATGCGTTCATCTTGAAACGACTGTAAAAGTAATACTTTTAATCATGTTCAATGCTTTTTCTAAATAGACTGTAATTAAAAACAATAAATAGAACTTGCTTTTTTCTGATGTTCTAAGTTTAATCGTAATTCGGTTTCTTTATTCAGAATTTCATTACTCAGAATACGTATCCTCTCTTCTAAATTATTATTGTGTGCTTTCAGAAGGTGCAATTGCGTCTTATTATTTTTATCGTGGGCTGTCATATTTTGGCTCTGAATATTACGAGCCATATTTGCATTATTGTATTTGTATATCATTTGCTGTTTGTAGTCTTCAAATTCCTGTAATAGGTTTTCATATTTTTCCTTATAATCGACAATTTGTTGCTTGTCATACAAATCTAAGCTATGCAACAGTGCTAAAAAGAAAATATATTAGTAATTTTGCGCGTAACAGGGATTCTCTTTAATAAATCCGTTTATATCTTCGGTTATTCGATTTAGAATCGACTCACATTTAACGTGGGCCGATTCGTTCTTTTTATTATCTAAATTTAACAATTTAGTATAAAGGTTCTTTATTTTAGAAATGATCTCGTCCGGTTCGTTGTTTAAAGTGAGATAATCGTTCCGTTCAGTGTCTTGCAAATTGATCAACTGGTCTTTTAGTTTCTGAATAGCTTGTTGATCTTGTTGCCTGAGTCTATCATATCCTCCAACGATATCAGAAAGTTCGGCAAGTCTTGCTTCTAACACTGCTACTCTTGTTTCGTGAGTCAATACCAAAACTCTGGCTTGTTGCTCTGCAGCAGCAGCTCGCTTTTGCTCCTTAAAAATAAACCGATAATTACCCAGTTTCAATCAGAGAATATCAATTTAATAGAGTTTCGAATTACTTCGTGTATTGCATTTAGATGTTGTTTTTTCATAAGAGCCATTTCAGATTGGAGCGAGAGTAAAATTGGGGGTGTCTCTTTGGCTGCTTCTTCTGCTTGTTTAAGCTTGTTTCTAGTTATTTCCAATTCAGCTTCAAGTATTTTACACTGTGTCTTATTTGCAAACTGACTTTTCAATTGCGTTTCTAATTGTTCCTTGCTTCGGCGCTCGTCGTATACCAATTTCTGTAGTTCCCTATTAAAAGAAAGAAAAAAAAAAGTTAATATCTTCTTTGCATAACAGTATTTCCGAATGCTATATTTTTTATTTACTTTTTTTTATATTTGCCACATACTTTATCATTTTGGCATGATCTGCTTGTTCTTTTTCCCTTTCGTGACGTTCCATAATTAATTTACATTTTATGTGTTCAGTGTCTGAATAATTTGTGTTTTGCGTTTTCTTTAATTTTTCTTTCAAATCTTTCACTAATTTCTCATACTGCAAAAGTTTGATATTTAATATACGTATATACGTATTAAGTACAATTAATAAAAATGGTACAAACGTACTTCATCTCGTTCGTTTCTCAGCTGTTTTTTATCTACTTGAAAATTTGCTTCCATTTTCGATTTTTCGGCCGAAAGAGTAGCCAGAGAATTCATTAGAGTACCCAACTGATTCTTCAATTCCTGTACAGTTTCTGTATTTCCGGTGTCCGTTTGAATTCCGCACGACTGAAAGTAAATATTCAAAATTATTATTTATTTTGAATCATTAAAACCTTTTAATATTGTCATACCTGTACAATTGTTGATTCGTTGTTTGCAGTATTTGACAGAGTCTCGACATATTCCGCTTTTTCTCCTTGCGAAGGCCCATCTGACTTCTCTAATGTACAATTATTTATCAGTATTGAAAAATGATAATACTTGTTATAATACCATTATACATTAAACGTACCATCCAAATGATCTTCTAAATTTAGTTCTTCAATTTCTCTCTGATCAGTAAGATTTTCCATTGTATCTCATTAAAATATTAATAGATTGAAAAATTCCTAAAAGAAAATATTTAAATTGCTTAAAATTAAAATTTACAATTTTGAGTTTAATTTTTATAATTTTCTTTATACAGGGAGTCAAAATAAGACGAAAATTAAGAATACCAATTTGTTGATTGAGGCTTCGTTAAAACGTTATTTAAAAAATTAAATTGAAAAATTTCAAATCGTGCAAAAAAAATTATTTTCCGTCGCAGAGGTGGATTAGAATCATTTTTGGTCATTGCACATACCCCCGAAATCCTACCCACTTTCGAGAAAAAAATTTGGGTAGATGCTGAAATTTTTCGGCAAAAAAAAATTTTTCAAATCGTTCTGGAAAAATTATTTTCGGTTGCAGAGGTGGTTTACAATCATTTTTGGTCATTACACTTACCCCCAAAATCCTTCACATTTTCGAGAGAAAAATTCTTGATCGAAAATCTAATGTGAGGCCAGAAATGCACCCCCAAAATTTCATTGGAATCTTTAAAATGTCATAACTTCTAAACGGATTGAGGGATTTTAATGTTTCAAAAAGCAAACAACGCGTATTTTCGCGAGGAATGTGTAGAAATTCTAAAAATATTCAAAAAGTTGTTCCTTGATCCCGCAAAATAAGAAAAACTCCATAAAAATGGTGCAATTTTCAAAAGGCCATAACTTTTACAATCGTGAACGTATCACATTGAAATTTAGTAGGAAAATAGAGTTCATGGGTACCTATAAAACGGTATTAGACAACTTTTCTGTAGGGCGTCAAATAAAATTGCTAAAAATGAAAAACGAATTTTTAAGAAAAATCGACAGGGCTCCTATAATAGTGAGTGTATTTCATTGAAACTTTTTTCTGAAGTAGAGCTCATGGGTACCTACAAAAAAGTATTAGATAACTTTTCTGTAGGACGTCAAATAAAATTGCTAAAAATGAAAAACGAATTTTTAAGAAAAAGTAGGTGCCTTAATTTTTCAGGAAAAATGAAAGGTTTCAAATCATTCTGGAAAAATTATTTTTGGTTGCTGGGGTCAATTGCAATCATTCTTGGTGAATAGCCATACCCCCGAAATCCTACCCAGTTTCTAGAAAAAAATTCGGGAAGGTATGAAATTTATCGACAAAATTCAAAAATTTCGAATCGTTCTCGAAAAATTATTTTCGGTTGCGGAGGTCAATTACAATCATTTTTGGTCATTACACTTACCCCCGAAATCCTTCACATTTTCGAGAGAAAAATTCTTGATCGAAAATCTAATGTGAGGCCAGAAATGCACCCCCGAAATTTCATGAGAATCTTTAAAATGTCATAACTTCTAAACGGATTGAGGGATTTTAATGTTTCAAAAAGCAAACAACGCGTATTTTCGTGAGGAATGTGTAGAAATTCTAAAAATATTCAAAAAGTTGTTCCTTGATCCCGCAAAATAAGAAAAACTCCATAAAAATGGTGCAATTTTCAAAAGGCCATAACTTTTATAATCGTGAACGTATCTCATTGAAATTTAGTAGGAAAATAGAGTTCATGGGTACCTATAAAACGGTATTAGACAACTTTTCTGTAGGGCGTCAAATAAAATTGCTAAAAATGAAAAACGAATTTTTAAGAAAAATCGACAGGGCTCCTATAATAGTGAGTGTATTTCATTGAAACTTTTTTCTGAAGTAGAGCTCATGGGTACCTACAAAAAAGTATTAGATAACTTTTCTGTAGGACGTCAAATAAAATTGCTAAAAATGAAAAACGAATTTTTAAGAAAAAGTAGGTGCCTTAATTTTTCAGGAAAAATGAAAGGTTTCAAATCATTCTGGAAAAATTATTTTTGGTTGCTGGGGTCAATTGCAATCATTCTTGGTGAATAGCCATACCCCCGAAATCCTACCCAGTTTCTAGAAAAAAATTCGGGAAGGTATGAAATTTTTCGACAAAATTCAAAACATTTCGAATCGTTCTCGAAAAATTATTTTCGGTTGCGGAGGTCAATTACAATCATTTTTGGTCATTACACTTACCCCCGAAATCCTTCACATTTTCGAGAGAAAAATTCTTGATCGAAAATCTAATGTGAGGCCAGAAATGCACCCCCAAAATTTCATGAGAATCTTTAAAATGTCATACCTTCTAAACGGATTGAGGGATTTTAATGTTTCAAAAAGCAAACAACGCGTATTTTCGCGAGGAATGTGTAGAAATTCTAAAAATATTCAAAAAGTTGTTCCTTGATCCCGCAAAATAAGAAAAACTCCATAAAAATGGTGCAATTTTCAAAAGGCCATAACTTTTACAATCGTGAACGTATCACATTGAAATTTAGTAGGAAAATAGAGTTCATGGGTACCTATAAAACGGTATTAGACAACTTTTCTGTAGGGCGTCAAATAAAATTGCTAAAAATGAAAAACGAATTTTTAAGAAAAATCGACAGGGCTCCTATAATAGTGAGTGTATTTCATTGAAACTTTTTTCTGAAGTAGAGCTCATGGGTACCTACAAAAAAGTATTAGATAACTTTTCTGTAGGACGTCAAATAAAATTGCTAAAAATGAAAAACGAATTTTTAAGAAAAAGTAGGTGCCTTAATTTTTCAGGAAAAATGAAAGGTTTCAAATCATTCTGGAAAAATTATTTTGGTTGCTGGGGTCAATTGCAATCATTCTTGGTGAATAGCCATACCCCCGAAATCCTACCCAGTTTCTAGAAAAAAATTCGGGAAGGTATGAAATTTTTCGACAAAATTCAAAACATTTCGAATCGTTCTCGAAAAATTATTTTCGGTTGCGGAGGTCAATTACAATCATTTTTGGTCATTACACTTACCCCCAAAATCCTTCACATTTTCGAGAGAAAAATTCTTGATCGAAAATCTAATGTGAGGCCAGAAATGCACCCCCAAAATTTCATGAGAATCTTTAAAATGTCATAACTTCTAAACGGATTGAGGGATTTTAATGTTTCAAAAAGCAAACAACGCGTATTTTCGCGAGGAATGTGTAGAAATTCTAAAAATATTCAAAAAGTCGTTCCTTGATCCCGCAAAATAAGAAAAACTCCATAAAAATGGTGCAATTTTCAAAAGGCCATAACTTTTACAATCGTGAACGTATCTCATTGAAATTTAGTAGGAAAATAGAGTTCATGGGTACCTATAAAACGGTATTAGACAACTTTTCTGTAGGGCGTCAAATAAAATTGCTAAAAATGAAAAACGAATTTTTAAGAAAAATCGACAGGGCTCCTATAATAGTGAGTGTATTTCATTGAAACTTTTTTCTGAAGTAGAGCTCATGGGTACCTACAAAAAAGTATTAGATAACTTTTCTGTAGGACGTCAAATAAAATTGCTAAAAATGAAAAACGAATTTTTAAGAAAAAGTAGGTGCCTTAATTTTTCAGGAAAAATGAAAGGTTTCAAATCATTCTGGAAAAATTATTTTTGGTTGCTGGGGTCAATTGCAATCATTCTTGGTGAATAGCCATACCCCCGAAATCCTACCCAGTTTCTAGAAAAAAATTCGGGAAGGTATGAAATTTTTCGACAAAATTCAAAACATTTCGAATCGTTCTCGAAAAATTATTTTCGGTTGCGGAGGTCAATTACAATCATTTTTGGTCATTACACTTACCCCCGAAATCCTTCACATTTTCGAGAGAAAAATTCTTGATCGAAAATCTAATGTGAGGCCAGAAATGCACCCCCGAAATTTCATGAGAATCTTTAAAATGTCATAACTTCTAAACGGATTGAGGGATTTTAATGTTTCAAAAAGCAAACAACGCGTATTTTCGCGAGGAATGTGTAGAAATTCTAAAAATATTCAAAAAGTCGTTCCTTGATCCCGCAAAATAAGAAAAACTCCATAAAAATGGTGCAATTTTCAAAAGGCCATAACTTTTACAATCGTGAACGTATCTCATTGAAATTTAGTAGGAAAATAGAGTTCATGGGTACCTATAAAACGGTATTAGACAACTTTTCTGTAGGGCGTCAAATAAAATTGCTAAAAATGAAAAACGAATTTTTAAGAAAAATCGACAGGGCTCCTATAATAGTGAGTGTATTTCATTGAAATTTAGTAGGAAAATAGAGTTCATGGGTACCTATAAAACGGTATTAGACAACTTTTCTGTAGGGCGTCAAATAAAATTGCTAAAAATGAAAAACGAATTTTTAAGAAAAATCGACAGGGCTCCTATAATAGTGAGTGTATTTCATTGAAACTTTTTTCTGAAGTAGAGCTCATGGGTACCTACAAAAAAGTATTAGACAACTTTTCTGTACAGCGTCAAACAAATTTATTAAAAATGAAAAACGAATTTTGAAGAAAAATCGACAGGCTAAGGTGCCTAAATTTTTCGGTGAAAAAAAAACTTTTCAAATCGTTCTGAAAAAATTATTTTCGGTTGCGGGGGTCAATTGCAATCATTTTTGGTGAATACACATACCCCCGAAATCCTACCCACTTTCGAGAAAAAAATTCGAGTAGATCGAAAAATTGTTCGGCAAAATTGAAAAATTTCAAATCATTTTTGGTTGCTGGGATCAATTACAATCATTTTTGGTCAAAATCATGTTATTCAGTCCTGTAGAAGTACTAAGGTTTTCGTAATTTTCTTATCGTGTTAAAGCGAAACCGTGTTGTAGGAGGGTTCTCGCAATTTATGAATCGTGTTATAGGATGCCGTGTTGCAGGAAGGCTCCCTTTTTTTTGTTTTTATATTGTTTAATAGGTTTTAGAAAGGGCTAAAATTCAGTAAATGGATTCCTAATAATTTATTTTTCAATTTTTATCACGAAGTTTTAGAAGTTTACAAAACAATGCAAGACCTTGAAGCTTCACGATAAATCCACCATTAACTTTGCACGATGTAATCAAAACTTTGACGAAAATTTTCAATGAAAAATATTTCTTTGCGAAATGCGACTCCTTTTATACTTATTAAATTTGAATAGAAATTTCCATCAACCCAGAACTATCGATTTGTGTGTGAAAGTTGTGTTAAATATGTTTTACACGTTCTAAAAATTTTTCGCGAACTTAGGTTTGATTAAATCTTTTATGATTATCGACAAGCAAGAATTTTACACATTCCACCTTGATTATATAAAAATTGATGACGCAATATTTGTTAGCTGAATTTGAAATTTATTTTCTACCAAAGACGGAAGTTGGTCTAAGTGAAAAATACCGCATTTGTTACTTACTTCGATATTGTCGAATCGTTATCCGGATATGACTTCCGCACCCAAAATCCTCAATATTCAATGTTCGACGGCGTACTTATCGTTTCTTTTGATAGATGAAACGATCTTCTAAAGATAAACACATTTTTCTATGACAAATAACATTTATTTTAACAATGCGATGATATAAGAGATTAAAGAACAATATTTCTAAGTGTTCACACTTCCATTTCTAATGGTAAAATGCATATGTTCTTCAGCTGATTAAATGTTATGCTACGAGCTTATTGTCGTAATGACGCGCGCTATATAAACTTGTTAAACTACAATTCTTGTTCCTGGAAAATATGTAAAAGCGCTAATAAATATAAAGATAAATGAAATATAATCAAAAATTATTTCGCACGTTAAGACAACACTTTTTTAAGAAATTGATGACGATTTAGTATTTGCACTCGCAAAATTATGTCGCTTTTTATCGAGCAATTGTTGATAAAACTTTACTAAATCGATTATTATAAGTAAATTTTATTAAGATTCATTAGATCAATTGGAATTATTTGTGTTAATCGGGGATTCTATTTCTAATGTTACAGGCCCACTGTTTTGTATATTAACTTCCATCATTGCACCGAATTTACCATCTGTAGAAAATAGGTAGAAGAATAAATATATTATTACTAACAATATGTAATATCTTTGAGTTATAATCAACTATAACGATGCATTATAATTTGCTTATATTGGTTATTACCTTTAATTAATTCTGGTTTATAATTTGAACTAAGTTCTGTAAGAAATTTATTATAAAATGATTCTGAATCTTGTGCGGGCATAGCCCTATGGAAATCTAATCTATTTCCCTTTAGGCTATGGTATAACGTGAACTGACTGATACACAATATTTCATATTGTTTATCCATTACATTGGCACTCCATTTTTTACCATTATCGTCATCAAAGATTTTAGTATTCAATATTTTTCTTACTCTAAGGACAACAACATTGCATTTCTTATCTCATACAACAAGACTATGTACTTTAGAATTTTCTAATTACAATATAATGAAAAAGAATATTATTCATTACATATATTTCATATCCACCATTGAGTCGTCTCTTTTGATACCAATTAAGATGCAAAGACCTTTCCCAATGTTACTAATAATTTCACCATCAACTGAAACATTATGCCATAATCATATCGCTGCTATACGAATATAGAATCATAATAACACAAAATTGTACATACACTACCGGCCATAAGTGTTTGCCCACCTTCAAATATCGTTACTATTCAAATGACAGGCATTTTATTGTTATGAAAATGTCCGTATCATTAAATCCTAATTATAAGACTAATAAAAACCATTCAAAAATTTCTGTACATATACAATCAGGTGCTGTAAATGAGTTTACAATTTTTTATGAAAAACGACAATTTTAGAGTTCAGGTAAAGAAACCCATTTTTCTGAAGTTTTTATAACGGTTACTAGGGAATATGAACGCAGGTAGTACGGGCATCTTATTCTTCTTAAATTTCCTACTGCATTTCATTCTGCGTTAAACTTTCGTAGAGTAAACAGTTGATTTTCACGTGCTTAAAGAATTTTGCGAAAATTTCAAACAATGTCGGGGAGAAAAGAATTATCGATTGAAACACGCGCTCTAATAGTGTCCCATCATAGTATCGGAAGAAGTAATAGAGAAATAGCAAAGCTATTGAAGTTAAACCGTAAAACCGTGGACTATAATGTTAAAAAATATAAAGATACTGGTAGTTTATCCAACAAAAAGCGATCAGGACGGCCAGAAATAACCACACCAGCAGAAGATCGGGTAATTACAATAATAAGCAAACGTAATAGAAGAAAAACGGCACCGGAAATTACAGCTGAAATAAATGCATCTCGCCCTGAAACAGTAAGTTTGACAACAGTTAAAAGGCGCTTACGGAAAGCAAAAAACAGGTTTGCATGGACGAATTGCTATGCGAAAACCCCTTCTACGCAAACAAAATAAAGCAAAACGGTTAGCCTGGGCAAGATCGCATAAAGATTGGACATTGGAAGACTGGAAAAAAGTGCTCTGGACCGGCGAGTCTAAGTTTGAGGTATTCGGCAGGAGAACGAGCCCTTGAATCCTGCATATCACCTACGGTAAAACACGGAGGAGGATCGGTTATGGTTTGGGGTTGTTTCGGAAGCACATCAGTGGGCGACTTAGTCAAAATAGATGGCATATTGAATAAAGAAATTTACAGAGGAATTTTGGAGACGAATGCCCTTACATCTGGAACGCGACTAATCGGTGAAAACTTCGTGTTTCAACAAGACAATGAACGAGAAAAAAGAATTGTACGTACGATCTGGCCTCCTCAAAGCCCCGACCTGAATCCCATTGAGCTTTTATGGGAAGAACTAGACAGACAGGTACGAAAAGCAGCCCCAACATCTACACAAACCCTCTGGCAACAACTACAAGATGCATGGTCCAGAATAGAACCACTCACACTTACAAAATTATTGAACATGATGCCGAAATTATGCAAAGCAATAATAAAAGCTCACGGTGGAAATATCGACGAAAGTAAAATATAGATATAATTGTGATAATTTTTGTAACGAAATTGGAAAAAAACTGTTTTTAGAGATATAAGTTGTACTATTAAAAAATAAATTAAAAAAAATTGATTTTTTATTAATATTTCCTTTGCTTTTGTGTTATTTTGAGGGTGGGCAAACACTTATGGCCGGTAGTGTATCTCCTAATGTAAAATGTATTGGTAAAAAATCATGAAATATTTTGTAACTGATATTTATATTTCAATTGTCTACATAAATTGTTATGTTCGACATTCATTAATTGTCGTGTTTCGAAAAATGAAAAAAAAGGAAATACGTACGGTAATTATGTTTTATTAAGTACAACGTAACGTAACATAATTTTTTTTTATTCTATAAATTAGATCACGTATAATTTGCTCTTTGACTCCTACTTTGATTTTGGTGGACGGCAATTTGGTTATTACAATAAAACATGTATAACCTTAATCATTACCTGAAACACTTGCATTTGTCACTCGTTGTATTACTGCTTTCATATTGAACGGAACGTCGCTTCGTTATATCGTGGATGTAATCGTTGCCGTATCGTCCGAAATTAATTCTTTATTGTTGTATATTTTTTTAAGAAAACACGCTACTACGACTAAATACGCTACTACTAGTAATATTTAACGAACGAGCCAATAGGAAAGTCGGTGTATTCGGAAGGCTTATTTCCGCGTATAGACTTCCTGTAGTGCAGTTTGACTTTTCAAAGATTGTTTACAAGCAAATTACAGAGGGCATAAATCGTTTAAAAAGTTTAATACTCACGGAGTTGTTTCTAGCGAACTTGTCGAGATTAATAAAAAATGATCCCGTTAAGACTTTGCGATCTATTGCTGAACACAAGATGGTAGTTGAAATTAATTTTCTGTGACCCACTTGTTGCGTTTAGGTTATGGTGTTATAAACAAAAATATGTTGGGTATAAATGTTTGGTTTTCATGATTAGTTCTTGTATGCCAGACGTTAGGGATGGAGGGCCCAGGTCTGAGCTTGTTCCAAGGCTCAGAAAGTATACGATTAAATACAAGTACACAAGGCTTAGAAGAGGATGAAGAACAAGAAGATATCAAGCGACGTAATAAGGAGGTGTATCTTACTTTATCCTAACTTATTCCTGTTCAAGATGTTATCTTTGATCTTCTGTTTGATTTGAAAGAGTCCAATTATAATACAAGTTTTAATGTTTTAGATCAAAGATCTCCTGACTAATGCGTTCAATGACTTGGAGGAAGATGATGACATTAGTTCTGTGAATAGCAGTCATTATAGAGATAGTACTAAAGAAGTAGACGATTCGAATACAGGGATAAATTCCTGTATTCAACAAGCTGCGTCTCCTAATCGCCAGACTGTATTACAGTTTCAAAAAGAATTTGGGCTCTATGATCATGTTGAAAATTCAAACAACTATGATAATGCTATGACAAATCATAGATCAGAGTTAGAAATTAGACCTTCGATATCTGATATACAGAGAGATTTCGATGTATACGATCAAACAGATACGCCGTATTCTAAAAGTAACAGGAGTAACGACAGCCATAGTATTGTTGCAGAAACACCACACGAATCAACAAGACCACCAAATTCGGGATTTACTAGAGATTTAAGATCTCAAGCCGACGAAGAATATACGTTTAACGAAAATTATCCATATAATTATCAAACACCAGCTAATCATTACGATGCTCAAAATAAAGCTTATTCAAATAATGGTTATATCGACGGTTATGAAAATAATGTACAATGTAAACAAATTCGTGATTTCGGAGGTGAAGATAATATTACTTCCGATCATTTAAATCACTGTTACAAGTCAAGTCCGAATGGTAGGCCGCAGGACAACAGTGTAGCTTATAAAACTGCTGAATATGAAAGTAAAGAACAATTGGAAGTTTTATATACGGTTCGAATGAGAGAGATTAAAAGATTAACGGAAGAAATGCAACAACTACAATTGGAGAAGGAGGAAGAGAAAAATCAGCTTAGCAGAAGAATTACACTTTTACAAGCGGAAATTGACAGATCGAGCATGTCAAGAAATCAAACGCAGCATGCTTTGGGTAAGGTTTAATGAAACATTACGATAAGCGAATACATACGAAAGGATTATAAAATTTTATAATTTCTTATAGTTGATGCGAAAGCAGAAATCGTCGATCTTTACAATCAAATAACATCGTTGAAAGAAAAAAATGCAGTTTTAGAAAAAGCTAATGAAAACGTAAGATTGTATAACCATTGATATAATCGTTGTCTCTTAATTCTACTGCTAATTTCAATTATAAATTGTAGACAACAGTGGAACTGAATGTTGCAAGAAATTCTGTGATAGAATTGCAACAGAAGATATCTGTATTAGAAAGAGTACAGGCATTACAATCGAACGACAAGACGCAAGAGAAATTTTTAAAACAGGCGCAAGAGAAACACGCAGTTGAAATGAGAAATATGCAAACTCAAATAAATGTCCTTACGGACAAGCTTAACGCAAAGGTATTTATAAATTTATATTTAAAATTTGTACATACGCATTTTTAATTTAATGGTATTGTCATACTTGAATGAAGAACGATTTTTGTGTATTTGTAATAACAATATTTGTCATAGCTGCTCAATGTGGATACCAAGACTCATTGTACATGGGCAAGTTTCTGATATTGTATTTTTTCACACGGTATACTATAATTGTCTTCTCGAATTCCAAACAAGCGTTAATGTTTTTACAAATTGTGTTATTGGTTTTCAATGAATGAATGAATTCTTCGATGAGAAATGTTGCATGATTAAATTATCGTAGAAAAATGTCAGGGGTGGTGCGGGATTCTAGAATATTTTCAAGAATTCCAGACTCGACTGGAATTTAGAGGATCCCGCACATAATTTAATTTATTTCATAACGCTTGGTATCTACTATGTGTTTTTTTTTTTTTATCAACAGGAAACGTCATACGTTGCTTTGGAAAATAAATTAGTCGATGTGAGAAGAGCACACGAGATGCTTATGGTGGAGAAAGGGGATACTATGAATCGTCTAGCACAAGCGTTAGAAGAAAGCCAAGCACAATGTCACAACCTCATGGCCACAAATAATACTCAACAGTTAATGCAATTTCAAGCACAGATTAAGATTCTGACGCAAGAAAAGGAAGAGATGCAAAAATTGGTTCAAGAATTACAGGTATAAATTAAATCATGATAAGAACTAAGAATATAAAATTTATTTATAAAAATTGTACATGAATATAAATGTATTTGTAGAATAAATTGGAAGTGGCAAGAGGCGATGTAGTACAATATGATTCGTTGCTAACAACAACGTTAGAGGAAGAATCTGATTCTATTAGACAAATGAAATTAGGTGATCTTCACAATAGATCAAAATCAAAGCCATCCGATGATATGATAAATAAATTAAGGGGGGAATTACAAAGGTAATTGATATTTACTTAAAATAATATTATGTTAGTTAATCGCTATTTCTAATACTTTATTATTAATTTTTAGGTGTTTAGCTGGGCATGCTGTTAAAAGAAAGGAAATAACTCGATTAGAGAATACTTTGTCGCAGAAGGAAAAAGAAGTTGAGAAAGCTTTAACGATAGCTGATACGTGCAGGCAAGAAGCGGCACGATACGCTAAACGCGTTAACGAGTTGGAGCAAGAACTTAAATCTGTACTCACAGATCAAGCTATAAAAGCGAATGCTCAAATACAAAAATTATCCGATCACTTAAACGATGTAAAAAAACAACACGAATTATTGCGAGAGGAAAAAATCGGATTAGAGCAAAAGCTTGAAGAAACATTGGCAATCAATGAGGAGACGCTTAAAAAGTTACACCAGGAAAGTATAAATCAACAAGCAAAAGACACCATCAATGAGTACAATAAAGAGTATTTAGAAATACATGCTAAGTCGGTAGAGAAAGTTCGACAAGAAGCACAAATTGAAATAGTGCAATTATCGTAAGTATGAACATGGTTATTTGTAGTAAATTATTCGTCTTCCTGTATAGTAGAGTTACAATGTATGTTAGAATATTTAATAATGCACTCGTATCTAAGGAATGTTTTAATTTGTAGCGTGCAATTAGAACAAACGCAAAAAGAGTTGGATCGTGTTAAGGAATTGTATATAGACGTCTGTAGTACAAAGGAACAGTTAATAAGTGAACACAAGTCTGAAATCAAAATGTTAAAAGAGAAATATACTACGCTAGAAGAACGTGAAAAGGACATTGAGAAATATAAACATGACTTACAGGTACAAATAAAAATAGCAGAAAGATTAACAGAAGAATGTGACGCGTATAAAGTTAAAGTAATCGAATTAGAAAAAGATTTGAATTACGAAAGAAAGAAAAAGGAAGAGTACACAAAGAAAATTCATCAAGAAATTGAAAGAGGTAAGCATTATTTAAACAAATAAGACTGAAATATTCTTTATTGTGTTCGATATTAAAAAATAATTTGATGCAATGTTTACAGCTAAAGAGGAAGCGTTAAAAGAATTACGCAATGCTCATCCTAATCAAGAAATAAGTGTTCTTTTGCCAGATCATTGTTCTGAACATTTAGAAAAAATTAATCAGGTATGTATATTTTAATAAATATGATATTATACGTGTAATTGTTCAATTTTTTTAATTTGGTATATTTACAGCTAGAAGAAGACTGTACACGTCTAGAGGAAAAATTGCATGCTGCAGTCGATGAACATAAAAAAATGTCGGAATATCAATCTGAATTAGACGATAGTAGATTAAAAATAGCGCAAATAGAAATATCTCAAGAGTCATGGAAAAAGAAATACGAAAATGCAATTAGCGAGAAGAATGATCTAGTTACTAAAATTTCTCGGCTCGATTCTGAATTATCGAATATTAAGCGAAATTCGAAAATGGAGGATTCCGACGATGTAAAACTGAAAGTAGCTCGATATCAAGTAGAAAATGAAGCTTTAAAAAATAAATGTGAAAATTTATATAGCGAAAGAAATATTTATAAGGATAAAATTTCACAGTTGGAGGCAGAATTGTCAGAAACGAAGAAAATAATTGGAAATTTTGAAAGTAGATTCAAAAAAAGTAACGAAGTGTCTTCGAAATGTGAACCGGAGAAAGAACTCGCTCATTACAAAGATTTGGTGGCGCAATTAAGTAGTAAAATAAATATTTTAAAAGCTGGAAGAAAGAGCGATCTGGTTATGGAGCAAAGAATCAAACAATTGGAAAAAGATTTACAAGGGAAGGACGAGAAATTGGAAAGATTAAAAGACTTCGAAAAAATAAAAGATGAGAGGGAACAACTTGTCATAAAATTGAAAAATCAAGCCAAGCAGTTTGAACAATATGTTAAAAATCAAAAGCAAGTATCTGCAGAATTGAATTTGTCACCGCGCAGTTCGAGCGATGGTACAGATTTTCAAAAGTTAAAAGAAATTATGATAAAAGAGGTGCGCGAAGAGATGGAACAAAAAGTAGTCGAAGAACTTAGGGGCATTGAGGAACAGCATCGAGAGAAGAGAAAGGAACTAGAAGAAAGGTATAAGACAGTTTTATTGGAACTACAAACCAGATGTAATGAAAAGGCGCAGGAAGTGGAAACTTTGAAAGAAGCTATGCTCTCGGAAAAGGTAAAAATTCATTCGTCTTTCAAAGCAAAGGAGCAATTTGTTAGTCAAATGATTGAAACAAAACTTGAAACTTACTACAAAGAATTGGTAGCTCGAAAGTTGAAAATCGAACAGTTACAGGAAGAATTAAATCAAAAAGAAAATGATGTGGAGGAGGAGAGAAATTTAATGGCCCAGGTAATGACTAAATGGGCTACAGAGATTAGGGAAATAAAAGATAAAGAAGTGGAAATGAATGCTAAATTACAACAATTAAAGGAAAGTGAAGAGAATTTGAAAGTGGAAATGGACACACTGAAAGACAAGGAGAAAGAAATGAAAAATAATATTGATGTATTAAAACATAAGTATCAGTCGGCAAAGAAGACAGCGAATAATTACAAGGTAATTCATAATGCAAAAATAAACAGAGATTTTTTTTATGTAGTTTGTTAACTTTCTTTCTATCGTTTCAAATTTAATGCACGAATTATTTTAGGAGCATGCGGAAAATAAAGAAAAATTCTTATTAAGCGAATGTAAACGTATAGAAGAAGGGTACAAAAGAGCCATGAATCAAGTACAACAAAAACTTGACGCAATCGTTAGTACTCAAGAAGAACAAGTAGCGACAAAGCTTAAAGAACTTGAATGTCAGTATACAGAAAGGATAGAACAAATGCGACTTACACTGAAGTACAAAAGTAAATGTTGAGATATGTATTAATATTTTAGTATGCAATATAGCTTTCGTAGTTTAAAAGCAAAACGTAGTTAGAAGAGGCTAGATATTTTTTAATTTAAAGCACTTTATTGTACAACACTGTATTAGAAGATTTTTATTTTAGGGACCAATAAGTTAAAATTGATATATGTACATTAATAGAATTATTAATATTTGTTTGCTGTACCGCAGTAAATACTACAGCAAACATTAACGTAATTTTAAAGGCAAATACGAAAGTACAATTTCCCGGTTAATTAATAGAGAGTACTAGTTAACTATTAAAATCTACGTGTTAGTTGGAAAAGAAGTGAAATTGTAAAAAGAGAAAATAACTATACATTAATCATTTAATAATTTTATAAGTTATCTGGATCTAAAGCATAAACGAGTACTCCCGAATAAGTGAGATAGAAACTCTTAGTCACGTGTTTTCATTAAACATTATGACATAATATTATAATGCAAGACTGGATCATTACTAGATCTTTTTCTCTTATGAAATAGGTAGAGTTCTCGTAGACTTTAAGGAAGATTAAGTTGTTCTAGCGAAATAAATGTACTTTTCTTATGGCTAAGAATGTCAAAGTATACCCTTGAGTATTAAGAAATTGTTCTCAATTTGTACATTGAAATTTCAAATGGTATATTAATATTGAAAAAGGTTATATTGATCTGGAATTCAGAAATTTGAAAGAACGTAAGCCGAGTACAACAAACTTTTGTTGATTTTATCTAATTTTTGAGCACATACATATAAAATGTTTTGTACAAACTGACACATGTAAACATTTTGTTGTAAATGAAGTAAGAAGCCATAATTTTCTCTAATCTTATAATTTATTTTATAAGATTATCCATGCGTGTAATATACTCATAATTATCAAAGTACAGACTGCTGCGATTACTTTTGTTTTATGAAACTTTTTATAATAATTTTAAGGCTAGTTTTTAGTAAGCTTTCTCTTATTCTCAAAAAAACATTCTCAAAAGAAATGTTATGATTTAAAATATATATTTTGGAAATTTATCTTATCTTGATTAAAACTTGTGACATTTATGCATTATCTATTGTACATTATATACTATTAATTTTACCGGTGTCATCATCGTTATGTTTTGATAATAATGATCTTTGATAGTGGTATAATTATTAAATCATCACTGAATAGAGAGTATTATTAATATTAGTTATGTATTTTTGTATGTAGAGTGAATTAATTTATTTTTTGTAATAAAGATTTTATGTCAGTGTCTATTAAATTACTCGATTTAGATCAAATAAAACCCTACAGTTATTTTTATAATATACTAACGTAATATAATAAAACCATATATTAATGGATATGAAAATCATGTACTTTTAGTAAATAATATTGTTAAAAACATTTTATTATAATGTATTACATCTTTAATAATAATGCAGTCAAGCCTCCTATATGATAACATGTATAGTCATATGTAAATTTATTCCATAGTATATAAAAATTAAATAATTTTACACCTAACAACTGCAATATGTATATCCATTAAATTCTGTTTGAAATGATATTGAAGACAGATTAGTAATATTTCATGTATTATTTAATAATTTATTAACGTAAGAAGATACTTTACAAAAATTCAAATCGTATGCCGTTGACGGGAGATCGGATTTCAATTGTTCAAGAGCGAGAAGGTAAGTGTGAGCCTTTCTCTCTCGACTCTCACGAGACGTCCTGAAATTACCTCGAGCAACTTAGGAGAATCGAGAAAGAGAGTATGTGTCAGTTTGCACCGTCGGGTGCCCTACTCACACTATGCCAGATACGCGTACGTGAGCTCGTGGAGTTTCGGAAAGTCGACAAAGGCAAACTGACGCATGCTCTCTTTCTCGATTCTCCGAAGCTGCCCGAAGTAACTTCGGATCGCCTCGTGGGAGTCGAGAGAGAAAGGCTCACATTTGCCTTCTCGCTCTTAACAACTGAAATCCGACCTCCCGTCAACGGCATACGATTTGGATTCTCGAGCCGAGATTCTCGACTGCCCAGACATTTTTACTTTCCGACCTATGTAGGCGCACATAAGCAAAGTACCCATAATGAAAAAAAAATTTTGTAAAATTTATTTTACGGAAATACACGTTTTAAGACCTCCTGATCATATTTTAATTATTGAAAAAAAAGAAATTTATTTTTATTCCCATGTATGAGCAGTACAATTATGTTATAGTAATGAGGGGGCTGGTGGTTCAATTAACAATCCGACTATCTACCCCCAACAATTATTAAATATTTATACTTACGCAGGTCTGGGTACACATAGCCACACGTAGGTTAACATAAACTCCGGTAATACCACACCGTTAACCGACTGACTCTTACCACGACAACGTCTTTACAAAACTCAGCTTAACGCGTCCCTAATAGGACTATAACACACTGAGTGTCTTTCTTAAAGCCTCCCTTCAATATGTATGTACATCATTTCAGATATCACTTCTGATACATCTGGCAACGTATAACCATTACTGCTGGCTTCTGCTGGCCTCTACAAACCTCTGCCAACATGTGCGGGCTTCTGCCTGCCTCTGCTGGCCCCTGCTGACCACTGCTGACCACACCTGATACTTCCGACAACGTATAACGATTACTACTGGTTACTGCCAGCCTCTCCCACCCTCTGTTGGCCTCTCCTGACCTCCGCTTATATTTCTGACGACGTATAACAATTACAACTGACTTCTGCCAACCTCCGCTGGCCTCCGCTGACCACTGCTGACCACCACCGATGCTTCCGACAACGTATAACGATTACAACTTGCCACTGCTTGCCCCTGCTGGTCTCTGCTTGCCACTCCTTGCCACTGCTGGCCTCCACTGGCCTCCGCTGGCCTTCGCTGACCACTGCTGACCACTGCTGACCACTGCTGACCACCACTGATGCTTCCGACAACGTATAACTATTACTACTTGTGCCTGCCCCTGCTGGTCTCTGCTTGCCTCTGCAAGCCTCTGCTGTCCCCTGCTGACCACTGCTGACCACTGCTGACCCTTGTTAACAACTTCTGCCATGATATATATGTATTAAAACATTGTATAATGTAAATCTATGGCAATAAATGATATAATTACAGAGAATTCTATGTGTTCTCATCATTTTTTACCTTTCTTTTCCTCTCCAAATCATTACCTTAGTTATAAGACTCCCTGAAACTCCTTGGTTGTCCCTGAACTCCTTTGGAAGTCCCGAACCAGCTGGAAAGTCCTGAAACAACTGGAAAGTCCTGAAACAGCTGGAAAGTCCTGAAACTCAGAACTTTGCTAAAAATTCAGGGTTCCCAAGAAATTCCAGGTCTTTCCAGTTGTTTCAGGGCTTTCCAGCTGTTTCAGGACTTTTTAGTTGTTTCAGGACTTTCCAGTTGTTTCAGGACTTTTTGGGAAATCGGCGAAATTTTCGAGCAAAAATTTTTTGACGAAAAAAATGAATTCTCGATTTTGCCAGCAGGTACGAGAGTGACGGTTACAGAAAAAAAATTTAAAAGTTAATTTTTGATTTTGGCAGCAAGTACGAGAGCTGGACACTTTGGGAATCCAATTTTAACCGGAAAAACGGTCTCTTAAAACTAAGGCAATGATTTGGAGAGGAAAAGAAAGGTAAAAATGATGAGAACACATAGAATTCTGTTAAATTATATCGTTTATTGCCATAGATTTACATTATACAAGGCTTGAATACATCATGTCAGAAGTTGATAACAAAGGTCAGCAGTGGTCAGCAGTGGTCGGCAGGGGCCAACAGACGTCAGCAGAGGGATGTAGAGGCATGCAGAGACCAGCAGTAACAAGTAGCAATAGTTATACGTTGTCAGAAGCATCAGGGGTGGTCAGCAGAGGCCAGCGGAGGCTAGCCGTGAACAGCAGAGTCCAGCAGTGGCAAGCAGTGACAAGCAGCGGCAAGCAGTAGCCAGGCGTAATCGTTATACGTTGTCAGAAATATCAGGAAAGGTCAGCAGCGGTCAGCAGAGTTCAGCGAAGGTTGGCAGAAGTCATTAGTAATCGTTGTGCGTTGTCAGAAATATAAGCGGTGGTCAGCAGAGGCCAGCAGAGGCAGGGAGAGGCTAGCAGTAGCCAGTCGTAATCGTTACACGTTGCACGAAGTACCAGGAGTGGTCAACGCCGGTCAGCAGTGGTCAGCAGTGGTCAGCAGTGGTCAGCAGAGGCCTGCAGGGGCAAGCAGTAACAAGTGGTAACAGCGGAGGTAGGAGGCCAGCGGATGCCAGCAGTGGCAAGGAGTGGCAAGCAGAGACCAGCAGGGGCAAGCAGTGGCAAGTTGTAATCGTTATACGTTGTCGGAAGCATCAGGGGTGGTCAGCAGTGGTCAGCGGAGGCCAGTGGAGGTTGGCAGAAGTCAGTTGTAATTGTTATACGTCGTCAGAAATATAAGCGGAGGTCAGGAGAGGCCAACAGAGGGTGGGAGAGGCTGGCAGTAACCAGTAGTAATCGTTATACGTTGTCGGAAGTATCAGGTGTGGTCAGCAGTGGTCAGCAGGGGCCAGCAGAGGCAGGCAGAAGCCCGCACATGTTGGCAGAGGTTAGCAGAGGCCAGCAGAAGCCAGCAGAGGCTGCGAGAGGCTGGCAGTAGCCAGCAGTAATGGTTATACGTTGCCAGATGTATCAGAAGTGATATCTGAAATGATGTACATACATATTGAAGGGAGGTTTTAAGAAAGACACTCAGTGTGTTATAGTCCTATTAGGGACGCGTTACGCTGAGTTTTGTAAAGACGTTGTCGTGGTAAGAGTCAGTCGGTTAACGGTGTGGTATTACCGGAGTTTATATTAACCTACGTGTACCCAGACCTGCGTAAGTATAAATATTTAATAATTGTCGGGGGTAGATAGTCGGATTGTTAATTGAACCACCAGCCCCCTCATTACTATAACATAATTGTACTGCTCATACATGGGAATAAAAATAAATTTCTTTTTTTCCAATAATTAAAATATGATCAGAAGGTCTTAAAACGTGTATTTCCGTAAAATAAATTTTACAAAATTTTTTTTTCATTATGGGTACTTTGCTTATGTGCGCCTACATAGGTCGGAAAGTAAAAATGCCTGGGCAGTCGAGAATCTCGGCTCGAGAATCCAAATCGTATGCCGTTGACGGGAGGTCGGATTTCAGTTGTTAAGAGCGAGAATGCAAATGTGAGCCTTTCTCTCTCGACTCCCACGAGGCGAACCGAAGTTACTTCGGGCAGCTTCGGAGAATCGAGAAAGAGGGCATGCGTCAGTTTGCCTTTGTCGACATTCCGGAACTCCACGAGCTCACGTACGCGTGTTCTGGCATAGTGTGAGCAGTGCACCCGGTGCTTAATCTGGCATTACTGTGGGACTGTTGGCCACACTGCTCTGGACTCTGCTCGGAGCTATAGTAAATTCATCATTAATATTGTCGTTCTCGATACATTCAATTGAATTTTGCGGGATCTGGGCACGCTGGTTTAAAGTTTAAACATGTTTTGATAGTGTGGCGTAATGGCATGATATTATCGGTATATGTATATAATTTTTCTTTATAATCATAATTATAATTGAATTATTCTATAATAAATCGTAATAATAGAGATTTATAATATGTATCGGCACAAATCACATTAAATGTGTCATCAATTATTAAAACGATGTTTGTGAAAAGTTACGCTTCTCAAAATTATGATCTCTAACAAACGATGCGTAAACAATGAATACGAATAAAAAATCGAAACAATGGCGGCAAATATATCTGATGAATTTGACAGCGTTAATTGTCAACGTAGTTCATTGGCAGTCAATCTAAGTTGTGTCTCAAATTTAACAGACTCTGGCAATGGATCACTTAGACATATAGATGTCGGATATAATAATAGTACGTCAACTAGAATTAACTATGATAGAAATTCGAAAAATGGTAAACTGCATAAAAGTGAACGAACAATCATCGATGGTGAATGTACATCCGATCAGATATATCCTATAAAAGATGTGCGAATACTTCTAGAGAAAATCAGTAACGAAGATATAATGTTGAACAAAGATTGTGAAAGGTTGAAAGAAGCTATTTTGACAAAGACTAAACAAGTCTTTGATACACAAAATGTGTTATCTGTTAAGACACAAAAGATTTTAAAGACTAAACACGATCGGTCAGATGTAACTGCAGAAGCATCTGCAATATCAAATAAAATTAATCAAAAAAAGAAACAATACAATGCAAACCAAACTATTAATAACGCACCAAAAGAGAAACATGAAAATAAAAACACAGATGAACAGAGAAAACAATTCAAATTGAAGAAAAGGCGATTGTTTGATATAAATAAATCCTTGAGCAATACGAAAACAAGCAGTAATAATGTTAATTTAAAATGTAATTCTTCGAAATTGTATTTGTCACAAATAGAAAATAATAATGATGAGAGTAGCATTGTGTTAGCTGGAAGCAACAAAAAATCTGATACTTTAAATTTGTTTTCAAATAAATCACGTAAATTAATTGTTCCGAGCGAAACAAAAAAACATAGAATTATTGATTCTGTTTCTTGTAAAGATCGATCTGTGTCTCCTTCAAGTATTTCAGAAGATGAAAATACATTTATGGCAGTGCCAATCTGCTGTTCTACAATGATAAATGATCAAGCATTAGACACACAGAATGAACGTTCTCAAAGTGTACATGATTCGTCTACTTCTTTAGATGATAATACCAAAAAAAGTACAGTCCCTATGGAAATAACTTGTCTGTTTGAGAAGTTAAACAATGAACAACAATCTTTAGAACAAGTAGTCAAAAATATCACTGGTAATCTTTCCCAGCAAAAATTATTGGGAAATGACCATGCTCCTGTTTCTTTGGTACATGCAACTGTGAAAGTTCCTGAACCATTGTATGAAAATTCTATAAATTTAAGAAAATCTGTTTTATATAATAACGTCGATGAACAATGTACTGATATACATTATAACGATCAAAGTATAGAGACAATTGCAGGCAGTAGTGCAAATACAATACAGACTTCTTTGAATGTGAACACATCGGTTGATGCACAGAAGAAATATAACAACAACAAAGATAAGTCTAAACAAAAAAGCTGTAGAGAAAGAAAATATAATAAAGGTGTTGAACACAGAGAAGGAAAAGATATAGATTCCTCAGTCTCTGAAAAAACACAGGAAAGCATAAATACAAATTGTACTTCGTTGGAAATGAATACATCTTTGGATACATTGAATAGATTACATTTAACAAATAATAATAGCAAAAGAAGATCGTTGGTATTAGATGGTATGGCAAACAAAAACACAGATAGAGATGAAAATAGTACTAACACCGTTAATGTACCTAAGATGAAAGATAGACTTGAAAATAAAACTCCAGATAGTCGAAGCTACATAGAAAGTACTCCTTATCCAAAACGTCATCCTGTTTTATTCAAATCACAATTCATACAAGACATTAATAATTATCATAATGATAAAAATGAATCGAGAGATCCTACTAAAACAAATTTTCCTAAAAATAAATCACATTTATCGTAAGTACATTGTTCTTTTATTTTGAAGAAATCAATTTTCAAATTGATTATAATTACCTTGTTTTTACTCGTTTAGGCTAAAAAATGTGTCTACGGAATATACAAATTCATGTTACGAACAAGAAAAAATGGAAAATGAGACAATTATTCGTAATAATTCATCAGTTACACGAGAATCGACCAACGAGAGTGAATCAGAGAAAAATGAAAATAGAGAAAATCCAACAGTACTTCCTGTTAAAAGGAAATTTAAAAAGAAACTATTACCTCTTCGTGAATGTTCGCAATTATTATCATTTTCCCCAGTGGACGGAGACATTTTTCCACCTAAGGAACCTACACATATAAAAAAACGTAAGAAGTTGAAAAAAGAACATATAAAAAATATAGTTAATTTAAGAAACAATGAAATTAATATGAATCACATTGAAAGAAACAATAACGAAGAATCACTATTAGATAATGATTGTACATTTTCTAATAAAAAGAAGCCAAGAAAGATTATTAGTAAAAAAATTACCATTAAAAAAATTGTCGATGAAGATATTCTAAGGAGATTACAAAAAAACAGAGAAAAAACAGTTAAAACACGTACTTGTATTTCAAATAGGAATTCGTTAAATGATTTTGAAGTTACTACTGGGCTGTCTACTGCAATATTTACAAAAAGAAAAGTACAGACAATAAATATTGTTGCAACAGGTCTATCAAATGAGTATGGAATGTTTTTGTTCCCTACTTCTTTATAACTTATTCCTTTTTCTAACATTCCACTTTGTTTTAGCGATAAGAATATGATTAGGAGCGTTATTAAAGCTCTTGGTTGTGCAAAGCTTGAATTAAATGTCACAAAACGGACAACACACGTTGTAACCACGGGGGTGCGTACGATAAATCTGCTACATGGAATTATACGAGGCTGTTGGCTCGTTAAACTAGAATGGGTCTTAAAATCTTTAGAAAGCAATAGATGGTTAAATCCAGGAGAGTATGAAATGACACATTTTTCGAAAGCAGCGCTGGTAAATTGACTATAATGTTCCATACGGTTTACGCGAAACGTGTCGTATAAAATTCTATCAATGATTTATGATTTCAGGAAAATCGTAAAGACAGACAATTATTTGGAAGGTCCTATGTTCCTGAATTGTTTGCTGCTTGTGGTTACATACACATCGAAAACGATACAATTCCTCCCTGTAATGTGTTGAAAGATCTAATAAAAGCTGCAGGTGGTCGTATTATTGAAAATCCAGAAACAGCAAAAATTGTTATTGGCACGCAAGGTTTAAAAGAAGCTTGGATCTTAGATTGTATTACGACCGGTGAATTACAACCATACACCCAATACCAACAATGTCAGAGTAGATACAAAAAATGAGACAGTATTTGATTTTAAAATAATACTTTCAAATAGAACTAAGCAATAATTATGTGTATATAAAATATTTTTACACGTTTAATCAGCTTTATGGATATAATTAAATTATATATAAAATAAACAATTGCTTTTTTTTTTCGTAACAATTAAAAAATAAAATGAAAGGTGCAAGTGTCCTTGATATCAACATGATTGCACACAAATGATTCATCTTATTATTCATATAAGGACCATATTTCATATATATGTATTTAATAATTTATTTTACAAATATTTCTTTAAATATATTTTTTTGTAAATTTATGCCTATTTTTTGTGTCCAGTTTTATTATCTAGGCTGTTGAATTTAAAATAACTGAAATGGGAGAATTCAATTGATAATTAATCATGATGATATAAAACTTTTCCAAAGAAAGATTAATCTTAATAAGATCTGGTATATGTGATACCGTGTTATCTCTTACAATCACGGCGTTCAGGTTAGGTCAGGTTAGACTACGTCAGCGTATATATTTGTAACTGTTTGTAACCAACGGCATTCGCATATGATGTGTCAAATTGACATACTTTTATTAACATGCGCTTTTGTGTTTATTTAACCATAAACTAATATAAACTAATTAAAAAGCATGGGCAGTGTTTATTTACCGTAAGTAGCAAACTTCAAATCTTTGCTAGAACCGATTTTACAGCTGGCTTTATTATTACGCGACATTTCTCGATTGTTAACAAGCTTATTGTTTCTCGTAAGGTATCGAATACGAGTGCTATTTGAATTTTTTATTACATTTTTCAATATTTATCCTAAAGATCTTTTTATTATTCACATAAATGCATATGAACATTTTTAATTTTGTCAAGTTAATTTATTATTCGTTGTAATAGAATTTAATAAATTTCATATTTGTTTAATATACTCTTAATGACTTTTTTAACCATTTATCAATTTCTATACCAAGCATGCATATAATCCTTTATAATGATTCCTAAAAAATATATACACAATATATAACGCCGAATAGAAAGTTCTGTTTGTAACCGAATACTTATAAAACAGTTTTTGTATAATTTTTATTTATTAAATTTCAGATCACGTCTTCTACGCGAGACCCCAACTGTAAATTCATGCATTCCAATAGTAAAGTATAATACAACAATAATCACTGATGTTTATGCAGGCATTCCTGAAAATTTATTACTAAATCTTTTTGGATTTTTGGTAAAAATTACATTTGCATACATAGCATATTTGTTCTTGCGCTCGAGTAATAATTATATTTTTATGTATGTGGAAATTATAGAACAGCTTTGCTTAATGTTGCAATGTCTTTTTACAGTTCCTTGTTGTACTATTCGGTTTATTACGTAAGAGTGCATGGAATTATGGACGTCTTGCGTTATTAAACAAATCGGACGAACGATGGATGGATATATTTTATGGGGACAATGAAGACAGAGATACAGATGCGATATGCATAGAATCTTCAGTCAATTCACAACTATCACAGGTTGATAAAGGCTTTCTGTCATGGATTGTTACTGCGTTCAAAGTTACGTAAGTATAATCATTTAATATTCCTTTTGATTAATCGGCTAGCGGTAGATAAAGTGTTAAAATACATAAAAGTTTTTCACCTATTAATTGCTCGTGTATAGATCTAATACACACGATAAAACAATATTCTGTAATTGTAATTTTAGCGACGACGAATTGTTAAAACGAGCTGGACCCGATGGTTTACTATATATATCATTCGAGCGTCACTTAATCATCTTAACAACTTTGATGGTTGTTGTATCCTTGTGCATAGCTTTACCAATTAATTTTCATGGAAACATGCAAGGAGACAATGCAACATTTGGTCATACAACATTGTCAAACATAGATCCGATGTCTACATGGATTTGGGTGCATACACTGGTAATCTTATCCTATTTACCGATTGGTGGCTATGTGATGAGGAATTTTTTAAAAAAGGTATAATATTTCAATTGTCATTTTCAATATCTTTAATGATAATACAAGCAATCAAATTGTTAAAGCTATAGCTGCTTTTACATTTTGTAGGTGCAAGATGCTAGGCATGGTGGTGAATTAGCAGCTAGGACATTATTAATTACAGAGGTGCCGAAGCATCAGTGTAATGTTCAGACTCTTATTGATTATTTCAAGTATGTGAATTCATATTAACACGCAGGTCAAAAATATCATTTTACACATGAAATATTGTGCTTTTCTTATAGTATCGTTATTTTCAGAGAAGCATTTCCTACTTTAACGGTGGAAGATGTTACATTGGCTTACGATATTAGGCGGCTTTCAGCATTAGATGCTGAAAGGGATTGCGCCGAGCAAGCTTGTTTATATTGTGAAAATTATGCAAAAAAAAGGGAACCATTAAAAATGTATCCATATCCGTGTGGCCAAGTGATAGGTTGCTGTTGTAAACATGTATGTAACTTATAATTAGAAATATTGTAACGAATCCGCGGACAAATATCTAATTTATTTTATAGCAAGTTGATGCTTTTGAATTTTACCACAACGAATTAATACGATTATCAGTGTTGGTCGAAGAAGAAAAAAGGAAAACACTGTCCAGGCCTATAGGAGTAGCTTTCGTTACTTTAGGTTAGTTGCTGGGTTCCGATTATTTATATTATTACGCGTTACATACAGGGTGTTCGGCCACCTCTAGCAAAAATTTTAATGAGCGATAGTAGAGGCCAAAACAAGACGAAAATCAAGAATACTAATTTGTTGATGGAAGCTTCGTTAAAAAGTTATTAACAATTATATTCAAAAATTTCAAATCGTTCTGGAAAAATTATTTTCGGTTGCGGGGGTCAACTACAATCATTTTTGGTGAGTACACATACCTCCGAAATCCTATCTACTTTCGAGAAAAAAAATCGAGTAGGTGGTGAAATTTTTCGGCGAAAGAAAATTTTTCAAATCGTTCTAAAAAAATTATTTTCGGTTGCGGGGATCAATTACAATCATTTTTTTATCGTTACACATACCTCCGAAATCGTACGCACTTTCGAGAAAAAAATTCCTTACTGAAAATCCAATCAGGTGCGTAAATTTTTCAACGGAGAAAAAAAATTGCAAATCGTTGTGGAAAAATTATTTTCGTTCGCGGGGGTCAATTACAATCAGTTTTTGTCATTAGACATACCCACGAAATCCTGCCCACTTTCGAGAAAAAAAATAGAGAAGGTGTGAAATTATTCGAGAAAATTAAAAAATTGCAAATCGTTGTGGAAAAATTATTTTCGGTTGTAGGGTTCAATTACAGTCATTTTTTGGTGAATAGGCATACCCCCGAAATCTTGCGCATTTTCGAGAAAAAAATTCAGTAAGGGCGGCACTTTAAACGTTAATAACTTTTTAACGAAGCTTCCATCAACAAATTGGTATTCTTGATTTTCGTCTTATTTTGGCCTCTACTATCGCTCATTAAAATTTTTGCTAGAGGTGGCCGAACATCCTGTATAATGCTAAATACAAGTAAAACGTTATTATAACAAAATAACGACAATATTACTATTAATCACAATGAAAAGGTACATCTGGTGCAGCTAGAACTATGCGGAAACAACTAAATTCTTCGCCTAGTATAAAATGGGTTGTAAATTATGCACCAACACCATCTGATATTTTCTGGGAGAACCTAAGTATACCAAGACCATGTTGGTATTTAAATGCTGTTTTAATCAATTTTGCTCTGGGCATTGTATTATTTTTCCTTACTACACCGGCTGTAAGTCATTTTCCATTAGTAAATCTTGTTACATTACTAATTACAGGTGTGCGGTTATTCGTATTTTTGTAATAAAATTCTTGATTCAGGATCCGATTATTCAATTCGGGATATGATTTTTTCATTAAACTTCCAAACTTAAAAATTTACTAAGTTTTCAATCTTGAATAAAGAATTTTATTCTGAAAATATGGGTACCCGAACATTCAAGATCTGTATGACTCTACTCGATGCTTGGGTACTCGCACATCTGTACTAATTATGTTGAAACCTGCTTTAATTACATTAACATTTGATAAATTTTTGATACCTGATTTTAGGTAATAGTATCTGCCTTGAATAAAATACCGATTACAGGGGACATAATGAATCTTAGTCCAGTAGTTTCATCTTTCCTTCCAACTGTTTTACTAGTCAGCGTGGCTGCTTTAATGCCTGTATTAGTAGCAAGAAGTGAATCGTTAGTTAGACATTGGACTAGAAGCGGCCTGAATCGGGCAGTAATGACAAAAACATTACTTCTTTTATTGCTGATGGTTCTTATATTACCTAGTTTAGGCTTAACCAGTGCTCAAGCATTTTTAGAATGGACTGTGGATCCTACGACTGACGCAGGAAATTGGGAATGTGTGTTTTTACCTGATCAGGTGAGGTTGCGTCAATGGTACGATTAATGCATTATAGAACCACATTATAACTACAAGATTATTGCGTTTATATAGGGTGCTCTGTTTGTAAATTATGTTATTACCGCGGCCTTACTTGGAAGTGGTTTGGAGTTGGTCAGATTCCCTGAATTAGCGTTGTACACCTTCAGGCTGTGCATAGCTCGTAGCAGGGCGGAAAGAGTACACGTTAGGAAGGCAGTATTATGGGAGTTTCCACTAGGTGCTCATTATGCCTGGTTGCTCTTAGTTTTTACTATGACAACTGTGTACAGTTTAGCTTGCCCGTTAATTACACCCTTTGGATTGCTGTACCTTGTAGTGAAACATCTGGTATGTTAAAACGTTTTTAAAAAAATGTTAATAAATAAATACGTTACATTTAATTTCGCACAGGTGGACAGGCACAATCTATGCTTCGCGTATGGGCCAAGCGTTGGTGGTGGCCAGTTAGCAGGGGCAGCGGCAAGCGCTACCGGAGCGGCTCCAATTTTGGCCCAAGCAGCATTATTAGCTTTAGGCTTGGTAAGAAGAGGTTTGTCGCCATTAGCTGCTGTACAACTTAGTGGTCTCGCTGCAAGCATTTTAGGTCTTGTTACCGGAGCTACCTTGCCCACATCAAAGTCTAAGGTACCGTTGACGAACGTTGTTTTCATGTACATGTAGAACCAACTGAATCGTTGAAAGTAAATGTTTACAGACGCAAGCGTTGAAAAGAGACATGTCGGCTGGTCAAAATTTTGTGGCACCCGTGTTGCGAAAGGAAGAGATTACTTTGGAAGAAACTGTACCCGACGGCGTGGGTTCTGATCACAATTTGTCCAGTTTAATACTAAGTACTAGTACTTCATCGGTCCACGAGAGTCCAAAACTTTATCAAAATTATGGTAAAGAATCGGAAGCATAATATTTTTTTATACAAAAAAATCGAGGCTTTAAACGCAACTCCATTGTGATGTTAGATGCATAGACGGTGCATTAATTAATAATTCAGCGGAAACACCAGTGAAATATATCGAATGCCGTAACCGATCATTAAAATTAAACATATCGTGATATCGTACGAATACGATAAAGCTATTCATTTGTGAATAAAATCGAATTCATTTATGATGCATCAAGAGTTTTAAACATGGAAGTTTTAAATTCACCATAATTAATCTAACGTTCCGCTTGAAAAAGCATAATATATTGAGATTAAATTACCTGGCGCCAAGAAGGGTGTTTAATAATTTTTAATTTGTACTTATATTAGTGAAATGTAAAAATAAAGTATTATTCAAACAATAATAATAATAATAATGATAATCAATATTAATCATCAGTGTTACTTACTTTTTACCATTCACAATTTTATATTGCAACATTAATAAATACGCGTACTTTTGTAAATAATCATCAGCACTAACTATACCAGAACGTTATATGTATTTATGTCCATTTCTTTGAAGTAAGTTTTCCTTTTATTACACTTTCAGTTAAGAAAATCGTACTAAATGTATACTAAAAGTTTGAACTTAACATAAATAATAATTTTCGCTTATCTTACATCAAATTCTTTTGTTTGTTTGCATTCAATGTTTGTCTCGTATTTCAACCAACGATGTAAACATATTTGTATATACAATTTGAAATACATATAGAGGTGTAAGCTATTAACAAATTTATATTATTTTTTCCACTCCACGGCATTCGTAATTAAATATTTTTCTGGCAAAAAATTCTGCTATTGACCATTATCAAATTAGTTTAAAACGAATCTTCGAATACAATTTAATTGAGAGCATGTAGAAAAAAATAATTTCACGATGTAGTTATGGAATATGTATACTGATTTCGTCTGATTGACGTCTTAATATTAAATACGGTAAAGTCTCTCTATGTGTAAAATTTTTGTTCGTCGCAGGATTGAAAAAAACTAGAGAACAGTTATGGAAAATTCGAGAGTATATTTTTACGATGAAATTGTTGATTTCGATACATAGATTTTTATAAAATATTTGAAAATAAAGAAAATGAAAATAAAACAATTTATAAAAAATATATATAGAGCATTACTGTTATATAATAATAATTAACAACATATTATTGCAATTGATCAGATCCAATAATGAAGAATAGTTTAATAATTATGTATTATATAACTGTATGTCGTTCGGATTATATCGTGTTTAAATTCATTTTAAACAGAAAAGTATGAGGAATATGTTAAAAAAAAGTTTCATTAAAAATAAATAAAAGATAATAAAGTTTTGTCATTGCATTAATAATGTGATTATCTTTTCGGCCCGACATTCGATCGCGGATCGGACTATGCCCGGCAACCGAACTCCAGGTGTGTATCCCTCTAGTGGTGTGAATAGAAATTATACTTAAAAAGGTATAGATAGATATCTTATGCATATGTAGAGATCTTTTTTCACGCATAAAGAGACCTTACTGTAACTCTAAAATAAACATACTTTGTCTAATACAAATTTTTAAACATTTACAAGGCAGTGTGAAGGTGTAATTGCTTTTACGGCTGATAAAATATCACATGGCTGACGGAAATTAATTCGATACAACGAATATGAAATTTTAAATGAAAAGCAGAGGATAAAAAGAGACGTATTTAATTGATTTAATTGGCACACAGACACCTTTAAAATTAAACATTGGGCCCTCGTTAATTCATTCGTCTATGAGTTCAAATTAATCTTGACAAGGCACTGTATTAGTATGCCACACTTTCAAATAAAATATTCATACAATCGATTAATACTTATAAAAAAAGAAATGTACGATTATTGTAGGCGTATGTTGCTTTACTTCCGGATAAATAAAAATATTCCATGTCTATTAGAATCGGTGAATAACATTCGCGGAAACAAATATTTAAGAACTTTAAGAAATGTTACATTATACATATACCTATAGTTTAATGCAAGATCACAGAAGGTTATTATATTAAAATTGAATTTTTTTTATTTTCTCGATAGTAGAGATAGTTCTTTGAATTTGTTATTTAATCGATCTAATTGACATGGAATAATGTCTTGCAAGTAATGAATATTATTACATATACTATTATTTTATATTGTGATCTACAGTAATCTCCCATCATCATCATCATCATCATCATGATCATCATGTAATTGTATGTTCGAAGCTATGCATGCATGGTATGTTTCACTATTTATGCCTAATCGGGGATGATACATTGCTCATTCGAACAAACTGCCACCGATTATGGCCTCCAGTTGACTAGATGTAAGATTATTTAACTCTTCTACCCGATCTTCCTCCTTTTTCAATCTTAGGGACAATCGATGCAATGGTTTTTTCTTCATACTTTTCAAACTATACTCGCACGGCATAAAATCAGCAGACTGCGTTACATCCTCGTCGTCCTCTTTCTGAGATTCTTCGCTTTCTTCGCTGCTCGGATGAACCTACGAGGCATATTGCCGTTCATGAGGTCTATTTCATTAATCTACACGATATATTTAAATAAACCATCATTCAACTACTTTCTAAGAAATACTACTTCTCCTAAATACTTATTAGGAAGCATAATACTCTACGCGAATTGAAAAAAACAAACAGGTTTACGGCTAAATTACGTGCACTAAAGTGCTACAACAAATAACACGAATGCCCATAAATAAAAATATGCAGTGTTTAGGGTAACGATCGCCACGATTTTTTAGACAAAGATTAGTCAACATTCAACTAGCAACAAAATATAAAAAAATACAAATGGTCAAAATTTGATATTCGATAACAAAAAAATTAATCGCCTCATCTTTCAAACGAAAACAATTTCTTCTATGTATCATTGTAGATGGCATTGAGACAAATTTACTTTTTTTAAATTATTCTTAAATGTTTCATATTTATACGTAAAATGAAACATTAATGCAATTCAATTATAGTTTGTAATTGAATGTAAACTGTAAACGAACGTGTCGTAGATTCGATTTCTTGTTGCGTGTAATAAGTAACTTATCGTATTTTAAAAAATGATCTTTTGTGCAAATTATAGAAGGAAAACATTTTATCTGATTTTGCTAAATTTGTGTTTATGCCATCTTGTATAATACCGGATATAAAAATGATACGATGCCACTTGAAAAATCAAAAGTATTAATTATATTTGATAGGAGAAAATTATCGCCAATTGAGTGCTAACTAATTTGTAATATTTTCTTGTCAAATTTGTCGGAAATCTATATAAAAAAAATTGTGGTGATTATTATGATGAACGCCTAAATAAAAACTTTACTCACCAATATATTCGTAAAATTTAACAACTAACAAATGATAAATAAATTATTTGTTAACTGGAAGTTTGGAGTTTTTTGATTACTACGATTATACTATGGATTAGAAAAAGTCCAAAGAGATAATAACAAAAGTATACACTCACTTGAACGTATAAACTTAAACAGAACATGTTTGTTTGTTACTACTTCTCACTACTGCCAATGTCAGGGAGAGGATGCTGGGAACAATGAAAAATAATTAAAAAAAAAAAAAAGTTAATTATCGTTATTCTCTCTTTTTTTTTTCGTTTGGAAACATACTAACTGCGAATGTTGATTACATTAACAGTGATATCGTATCATTTGCATAAAATTGCAACAATAATCACACGATTTTTTTTTTTAGCAAACGCAACGTAGCGTTAAATCGAATTTGAAAATGTAAATTTAGAATACACTAAAATCGTCGATTGCGTGTAGAAGTTAACATAGTATGTATAGTATATTCGTTATACAAACATGGAAAATTATACATAATCGAAATTTAAAAACTCCGTAAGTACAACTTCAACGTAAAAGGAAATATACATGTGTTTTAAAAGAAAAACATCGAAAAATGCAATCATTTCTTTACACATCTTTAACGTCGCGATCGATAGGTCGTTCAGTTCAATATTCTACTATTTTTAAATGCATTATATTGTATGAAATCATCGTCTCATGCTTACCACCACCAACGCAATTTATTATTAACTTGCTTTACGTTAATATACTATAAATAATATAAACAAAATAAAAGAAGCTATCTATGCCCGAAACATAAAATAATTTCGGATGAAAGCTTAGGATGAGCATCAGAGAGCTTGTATTGCTTATCTCCCCTCATAATTTGCAACGACGGCACTTTCATTACAGGGTTTCATTAATCTCACCTCTACAATGGAAACTCTTGGCGAAGGTTCACGTGGTACAGCTTTTTCCATTATTACGAGAGGGCTACCGGAGTCTGTTGACGAATAATCTTTATCTGTTTCGGTATCGTTGTCCGAATAATCTTTTTCGTCTTCGATAGACGACGATCTTTGCATTTCCATATTTTCGTGTAATTTACAAACAAAACCGGCCTTTTCGCCATATTCAAATAAGTTTCCATCCAAATGTACTGTAGACAACGGTAAACACATCGATATAAATACATACAATAAATACAGATGCATTTGAATATGTAAATTAATGCACGGTAGAATCATTACCTTGACAAAAGGCAGCACTGCAAAATGCACAGTGCGCTGATGTTCTACGACCACACTCTGTACAATGATGCCAAGGGCAGCTAAATCTTGAATCCACTTCGTGAACGTTCACGCATGCCTTATGATATTTCTTATTGCATGTTTTTTGATCACAAACCGCAAAGTCGTCCAACTTTTCGATTTCTTGACCGCAGCTCCAACACATCGCGCGTTTCCTCGATCTAACATGCAGGAATGGAAATCAGTGACAATGTAAAGAAAAGACAAGAAAAACAGCTGATAACTGTGTGCGTTGCTCACCTCCTCTGACGTTTCATTTTGTCAATTTTCTCAAATTTTTTCTGCTGAATCGAGGGTGTCGTTACTTGCGATTTTTGTACCTTTAAACCTATAAACCCGCTACAATTTGGTGCGCCGCAGAGGCAAGGCTTTCGAGTTTCACCATCGCAAGCTAAATTATAATTAAACGTTAATTCTTCACCGGGGTCTATATCGCATAACGCAAACAGACCTATACGCGTATCTCCATTCACAGTCCACTTTTGTGTCTCGCAGTTCGGTGAACACGAATGATCTGCATTCGAAGAACAGTAACATTTCAGAGAAAGTTCAAACTTTATCGTTTGATCGTTTACTAAAAGTACGAAATACTCACTCATAAATCGACTTAAATTGCCCTTTGGCTCAGCGTCGATCATTCTATTATTATCTATGGTTAAAAAATAAAAATTCTCGTTCTTTAATTCCTTTTTTCTATGCAGCCTTCGTTTGTATTCCGCTTCGTCTATAACTTCACCCACGTACTCGATAACAAACTGTCCCGCGAAAATGCACTCTAAACTTCTAAGACCCCAACCGCGGCCCGCAGTATGAAACGGTTCCATAGCTGGATATTGTCTTCTTACAAATGCCTGATTGTTACACTTGGAGCCAGCTGGACAAATACCAGGACTACACTCGACCAACAATATTCGATTTAAACAATCTGTTCCCGGTGCACACGGATTCTCCCACTCTGCGTCGCAATCGCACGCGACGATACTTTCCACTTCTGTCGGTTTCACATTGCCAACCGGTTTATTAACCTATAAATGTAACATTATTGCACATTCATATAGACCAACTTATGAAAACGTATGAAAACAACAGAGGAAAATGAAAACAATTTTACTTTTAACTTAACATAAGGCGGAGGTTTTAGGCCTCGTGGTCCATTATCCTTAGCAGCCGCTCTTTCAATTTTTAAACGTTGATGAATTTCATTAGCTTCCTCCAACGCTTTACGATATGTATCGTCCCTATTATTTTTCTTACCAATCGGTGGTTTTATATTTGCATCGCCATCCTGATAAAGAAAAGCGCGACCTCTAAAAATAAACAAATGCTTAATCGTTTACACTTTGCAACCAACGTGTCTATCCATAAGAAAATCCAGACACTTACCTATGAACCCAATAATAATTATTTGATCCCAAGAACATTACACAAAATTTACCAGAGCTATGAGGTATAGCTTCTATGTTTTCAGGAATTTCATGGGGATAACAAATGCGGGATGGCCACCAACGGTAGTTACCAAGTTTAACCCACACTACTTCCCCGTACAAAGGGAGTCTGCCCGTTTCACAATCTTCACAAATAAACGCACCATCCGGCGCATCAATTCCTAAAGTTATTGTTATTTATAGTACGCATTACGTTGTTGGCATTAATACTATATTCCTACCATTGTTACCACCCACTACTACTATCCTTATACAGGGTGTTCGGCCACCTCTAGCAAAAATTTTAATGAGCGATAGTAGAGGCCAAAATAAGACGAAAATCAAGAATACCAATTTGTTGATGGAAGCTTCGTTAAAAAGTTATTAACGTTTAAAGTGCCGCCCTTACTGAATTTTTTTCTCGAAAATGCGCAAGATTTCGGGGGTATGTCTATTCACCAAAAAATGACTGTAATTGAACCCTACAACCGAAAACAATTTTTCCACAACGATTTGCAATTTTTTAATTTTCTCGAATAATTTCACACCTTCTCTATTTTTTTTCTCGAAAGTGGGCAGGATTTCGTGGGTATGTCTAATGACAAAAACTGATTGTAATTGACCCCCGCGACCGAAAATAATTTTTCCACAACGATTTGCAATTTTTTTTCTCCGTTGAAAAATTTACGCACCTGATTGGATTTTCAGTAAGGAATTTTTTTCTCGAAAGTGCGTACGATTTCGGAGGTATGTGTAATGATAAAAAAATGATTGTAATTGATCCCCGCAACCGAAAATAATTTTTTTAGAACGATTTGAAAAATTTTTTTTTCGCCGAAAAATTTCACCACCTACTCGATTTTTTTTCTCGAAAGTAGATAGGATTTCGGAGGTATGTGTACTCACCAAAAATGATTGTAGTTGACCCCCGCAACCGAAAATAATTTTTCCAGAACGATTTGAAATTTTTGAATTTAATTGTTAATAACTTTTTAACGAAGCTTCCATCAACAAATTAGTATTCTTGATTTTCGTCTTATTTTGGCCTCTACTGTCGCTCATTAAAATTTTTGCTAGAGGTGGCCGAACACCCTGTATGTATATGTATAACTATGACTACTACTCACAACTACTACTACTACTGCTACTATTGATGTTATTACTACTGCTGAAAACTATTACCTAGACACTCGAGATGAAAAGAAGTTGGACATGTATCGCAACAGATAAGACTTCCTCCTCTTGTGCATAAAAAACACCATGCTGCATTTACCGGAGGATGCGGTGCCTGATAATGCTTCGGACAAACTATTTGACTACCGGTTAAAATCACTGAACCAGCGGGCAAACAAGACGTGGATGTATGGTAAGATGAAGGACAGCGAACGCATCGTGCCAATTTCTCGTTTGGTGTTCTCGAATGACTATCCTGAGGATTATCCGAACTGCACGTATGACACACGTGGTACGGGCAAGTTAAACGGCCTCCCTGCCAATGGGACTAACAAGAAAACAGAAACATTTTTTATTAAATTTTTACAATTTACGAATTAGATAACATTTTTGCTATTACCTGTGGCCACGATTTCAAGCAAGACGAATGATAATGTTTTCCACAGGCTAGTACAGTACATCTTATTCTATCTCCTTCTCTTTCATTGCATATGAAGCAAGCAGGCGCGACGCCTGACAAACAATCGATACATTTGAACAATTCGTCTTCTTGTTCTTCGATTTTTCCTGAAATTAAAAACAATGTTCGTGTGATCGAATAAAATAAGATCAGTATAAATAACTTAGATCGACATCAGTACCACTGTATTCATCGTCGTCGGCATTGCTTTGTTTAATTTCCTTTATATCGTCGAGTATCTTATCGTCGGTTGTGTTCTCGTCGATGGAATGTTCCGGGCTAGATTCTCCAGGTTTCACGCAAGGTAGATGAAAGTATGAATAACAAGGGCCTTTACATCTGGTCAGTTTTCCAGTTTTTTCACAAATTTGACAAACTTTTTCTTGCTTCATTCCTTTAAAGAGATTATAAGGTCTGCTTCGTTTTATTTCTGAAACACTTATCTCTTCCTTTTCGACTTTGATTCTCGACTTTTTACTATCCTTTATATTTACATCCATATCTATCGATAAATCTTCATGATCCGACAGACTCTCTTTCGTATGACTACTGGCACTGTCTGATGTTACATACATTCGATATTTTTTACGAAATGCGGCATTCATAGTATCCCAATTCTTCCGCAAATATCTTCTAATATCGTGTTCCGATGCATCAGGATGTTCATCTTCCAACATATCTCTATTTCGTTCGTAATAAACTTCGAAAACACCCTTTTCGCTCTCTTCAGGTTTAAATTCAACTTTTTGCATAATGGGAAGTTCGTCGTGCGAATCCTTTTGACTTAAAGGAGACAACGGAGGAGTATCTGAATTGAGTCTTGAACCATTTTCTGCATACTTCAACATCTTGGATTTTATTTCATTGGTTTTGTATGGTGGTTTATCCAATTCATATGCCTGCAACAGTATTAAATTAGACACTTATATAATACTTTTATTTCATTTTAAAAATTTCCTTCTTACGTTTACATTGTCCTGCTTCACACGCTTCACGTCAAGTCCACTTGAATCCGTTGAATACTTCCTTTTGTTAGTTTTGTTCTTTTCATCTAATGTAGTCATTTTTGGTGATCTGCTTTTTCTATTTTTTTCTTTCGGCTTAAAAATATTTCCTCTATCTTCGTTGCTCATAGGTTGCACTTCCATAGCTTCGTCGATTGCGCTTTCCCATTTGGACTTTATCCCAGGTTTTACAACAAACGCAGCAGCATATTTTGCATCTCTCTTCTTAATTTCTGCAGTTATCGATTCTGATAATTTTTTAAAGTCTGCAATATTTGTGAACGGTATCATGGAATTTGAAGAGACCCAACTGTGACGACCTTTATCACCAAAGTATCGAACATGCATCATCAATGTCTGTGATCTGGCAGTGGCTAGTCAAAGAAACATTTCGTTTAAATTAAATCGCATTGGTTACATTAATTAAAATAAAAAGTACGTTTCACAGAAATCTTGAAACATATTAGGTATTACTAAGATCTTGTACTATTATATTTAAAATAACCTACAGAAATAAGAATGCTTTCGGTTTATTTGGAAAGTAAATATTCGTTTTGAAAGATATAATAGTTATGAAAATGAGAAATGGAATGCTATCTTGAAAATTCATCTGATAATAATTATTAGAAAACTACAGAAAAGACCATACCTCTTAATCTATGATACATCTTTAAAACCGGATCGAGCGTTATCACGCAAGGCCAAAAAGGGAAATTACCAACTCTGGCCCATGCTAATTGACCCAATACCCAATTACATTGGAAAGACGAACCAACCATCTGCGGAGAAGCTTCTTCCATAGTGCTCAAACTGATAGAAGAATCGCTTGTGTCGTCCACATCGTTGGTTACATTATTTTCGTCCGTGCTTTCGTTACTACTGTCGGACGAATTTTGATATTTTCGAGCCTTTGGCATTTTAGAATTCTGTAAGACACGTATATCAATATTATCATATTATGTAATCAGAAATTACTATAAGCCATCAATGAAACTACAGAAAAAAAGTATTATAAGAAAAACTGTATATAAGATACATCGTATAAATGAAATTATATGTTCAAATATTAAAGATTACTACATATAATTCAAATTTCTTAATAGCAGCGTCGAATTTTAATTGGAAATGTAGTAATCGATTTGAAGAGATGTAACATGCCTTTGGAGAACTGGCAATCTCATTCTTGGGAGACTTGGGCTTTATTGTTCTACCATAACGACTTCTACCAGGTGAAGTCCTGCTGGAATCGGCGCTGAAGATCTTTTTATCATTGTCAAAGCTGCTCGTTGCGTCGAAATTGTCGTCGAAATCACCGAATTTTGATTCAGTATTAGTGCCCACCTTACTGTTCACTCTGTTGATAGAGCTCATAGCTTGCCGATTAATTTAACATATTCGTTTATCGAAGCCGACAATGATTCGACGTTGTGAAACCTTGTATACTTTTCCAACGATCCACGCGATATAAACTCTTGATCTTCAGTATAAAAGGCTCACGCGTTGAAAACAATTTTCATTATCGCTGAAAATAGCTGCGGTGGCCGATTTTCAAGGGTTACTTTATTTCTCAGAAAATCAACACGCACCGTTGTTCGACACACAAAAATCAACACGTATTTTCTCTAAACTTTTCTAACAATAAATTTTACAACGGGTAAACAATTTTATTTATTTGTATTGAGGAATTGTAACTAAACCTCACGGGCCTTCAAGCAGGAACAGGACGCGTTTCCCGCGATTTTGGGTGATTCTCATAACCATGCTCAGTTTGATTTTTCACTATGTGTAATAGCCTTTGGTGATTTTTGTTTTATTGGTTATATCAACCATTTTTAGTAGTACACGAAGCTTTTCTCGAATAACGTTAATGATGCCCGATTTATTAACATTACGGACAAATTTAATGATAAACGAAAGATTTCTATGTATGTATTTACATTTTACTAAAAAATAAAACATAGATTCGCCGCTGTATGTGCATAGCCAAGTAGTCGAGCGAAATGTAACAATATACTTGCGTATTCTTGTAGCGATTTTATTTTATATTAATACAGAAACCAATTTTTATATACGTATGTCTGATCTTTATTAAAATTACTTGGAATTTTACTTGGATTTATTTTCTGACTATCTTTTACTATTATACATACTGAAAATGATGAAAATGTTTTACTCTCAAGTATAGATATTTTAGGAATAGAATTTTTAGGAAATTGTGGAATAGTAAATAGGAATTCAGAATATATTTACTTCATTTAACACTTAACATTTGGAAAATTTAGCAATATGTTTCTTAGTATTTATATCGCAGATCTCATAGAGTCCATTTCTTTTTGCGGTATCTTTTAATTCCTTTATAAAATTTTGTAGATCTTCCTCTCGCAGTTGTACAAGATACTTTGGTAACTCGATCAATACAATTGCTCCTTTCTTGAGTAACACGGTTAGATTAGATAATTGTTTTGTCATGTTATGCGCAACCCACAGAAAATCGAATTTGCTAGTATATTCTGTTTTATATTTTAGTGTCTCTAACGACGTCACAGGGTGAAAAATTACCTAAAAATACTTTAGAAATTATAGACAAAGTTTTCTGTTTTTAACGATTATTGCGTTTGACATTAATACCTTGTGATTTTTAATATCTACCCAGGAAATTTCATCTCTTTTGTACTTATTTTTTTCCCTTTTCCACGATTCTTGTTCCATTTTAGTGTCTGGCATTTCGGTTACCAGTACACCATTTAAGATGGAGGAATCTCTGTGCGATGCAACCAAATTTTCGCATAATGGTTCTTTTGTTCTAATTTCGTGTATAGAACGCATGACTTCTCGTTCAGCAATGTCCGTTGCTCTATATTTACTAAATTGCCAATTAAATGTTATAATAAAAAATATGTCGACACGGAATGTGCAAGTTGAACACATTTCTTACTCGTGATTATCCTTTGCTTCTTCCGAGGCCCATGCAAAGAAAGGACCATTCGAAATATCTCCTAAATAAGCATAATGTATAAATCCAGGTCCATGCTGTATAATATTACTCAATAAGGTCGGATTGCTTCTAATAGGTTCACCTTCTAACCAAACGAACGCAATTCCATTGTTTCTCCAAAATCTAGCTTTGGAATGAACAAGTTGCACTTGTAAATACATATCTGTACAATGTTTTAGTAAGTATAGTGCTCTCCGATTAACAAACGTACCTACCTATACTCTTGCACTGTCAGATTCGAGACGTTTCTAGACTTTAAAATCATATGATAATCCCAATCAAAAACACCATCGCGATAATCGTATCTTGTTTTTAATGATTTTCTAACTCTTTCGTCCCAATATTCCACAACAGAAATGTTCTCGCGTGCTGCACGCTCCCAAAATCTTAACGAAAAATAGTAACAGTAAATGTAAATGAAATCTAAATTTCAAGTTCTTTCTTTGATCGAACTCACTTAAAAATTCCTTCTAATCGATCTTTATCCTTGTGCTTTAATTTTTCCAAACTTAACCAAGGACAATCGATTGTGTTCGTTGGGATGTCTGCCAATTGATCAGAGTGTTTTACCAAGTACTTAGCTGTCGCTGGTCTTACAAGCGTATTCCCAAATATTTCTAAATAATATCGAGTCGTTTCTTGCAAGCCTTGAGTCATTTCATTTTTTAAACAAAGAGCATATTTTTAGCAGGGACAAATCACGATATAGACTTAAAAATTTGTTATACGTACCTAGGTTCCTCTGTAAACAAGTACTTAGCAATAGCATAGATCTAGCAACTTGTTCCAACGTTGATTCAATTACATGGTACGTAATAATACGATCGCGGTACAAATAAGATGATCCTAATGTCTTCACGATATGTCTTGCATCGCCAGCACCTACAATTAATACCTCGAGACATTCACTTAGAGAATTAGTTTCACTTTTATTAACTTCATGTTGTATGTCTAACGCGGGACTATATCCCCACCACATGTTGTCACGCTATCCTTTATATTTTAAACAACCGGATTACTCTTTTAAAACTGTACAAATACCGTCGAATAATAAATTGCTAGGCTTCGTTATTATCGTTGGTAAGTAAAGATTTGGGAATACGTTATCTCCATAGTAACACAAATGCACCTATGTATACTGTGTAAATTATACAATATACCTCCGCAGTTATGTAGTTTTTCTAATACCCTTCACGAATGCAAATGCATCTCTATATGAAAGTAGCGTAGTTATATGTATATACATATCTAGCATGTAAAAGATAAAAGAACATATCAACAAATAGAGGAATAAGAAGTATTATATTAAAATAAAAAGTCGTAGATACTTATAATAAAATTATGAACATGTTTAGTGACAGTCGTGTCATAGACTTATAAAACCATTTATTTTACTCCTATATGTAGATTCTGTGACACAGATAAAAATAACTCCCTCTCGAACCTTGTTTCAGCAAGGGTTCCTTATAAACGTGTTCATTTTATTCCAATGCGTACACTAACTCATTTGTCTCGCTTCTTTTGAGCCCGTTTGTTACCGCACCGTTGTAAAATATCTGTAATAGGTCCTTTATGTTGAAATATAGCAATAAGTTGCGTGCGCGCTTCATTCATTCCTTCACTAATTAAACTACTACGTTGCATATTTCCTTTGATTAATTCATTTACACGTTCAAGTCCATCGTCTTGTCTATTTTTGACGTTTTGTTGGGATTCGAGCATCGTCAATGTTGTTTTTAACTTTTCATGTACCTGTAAAAATCATCATTATAGTTTCACTATTCCTAAGAGTTACATGCAATTTCTAAACGTACTTGTTTCTCAAGATCAGCAATGTCTTCCATTTGCGCGGTAAGATGATATACTTTCCAACCATTTAACTTTTGCAGTACATGTTTCTGTTGTGCTATTTCTGCAACTGTGGGCCGTCTTTCCTCGCGAGGTCGAACCTCGCTTGGTCTTCTGTAATGGTGAAGTCTACCGCCCCATTTGTTTTTCCAGGACGGGCCTGCGAAAGTAGGAATTATTTTTTACGTTCGCATAACAATTGCGATTGTTTTCCTCTTACGAACCTAATAAACTAGGCGTAGGTCGCGTTCGTATCGCAACGATTGGTTGTTGCGTAGGAGATTTAATAATATCACGTTGCGTGTTTGAACTTTGTCTTTTATCGGACGATTTTTCTTTCGGTTCTTCCTTAAGCTCTTTCTTCATTCTTTCCTCTGTAATGAATTGCATTTCTTCTTCTGTACATCTTGATTCTGTTAATTCTACGCCAGTGAGTTGCTGTTTACGAGGCTTTTTCCTCGGTGACATCTCCACCGTTGGATTTATAGTAATTCTAGATTGTTCTGGTTCTTCATCGAGCCCTGGCGATGATGTTGCCGACACTGTGGTAGATCCAGAACTTTGACAACCTCCACCATCTTGATCACCTCTTGGCGAACAAGGTGGGCTGGATGTCGTAACAGGTGGTAAAGATGCAAGCACAGGAACTAAATTTTTTGCCACACCTGAAAGTATTACGATCAATCATCTATAAAAATTATCATATTTTATAAAACGATATACTCGACAAAACTAAATACGAATTTAATTTTTTAGTTTTTTACCTTTTACGGGTGAATTGTCATGGTCTCTTTTTCTAAGTATACTTGGTCTTGGAGATGCATTCAGTTTAGTATGCGGTTCGTCGTATCCTGGTTCCACGAGTAATCTTACTGGAGTTTGTCGATACTGAGAGTACGTTCCTACATATTAGAATGTAAGTAAATTCATATAATAAAATAACTGATGGTAGTAACGATCACGAATTACCTGTAGGTTCGAAAGAATAGTACGTAGCAGTATGTGGCGGATGCAAATATTGCCCTTGAACCGATTGAGCAGGTATCGTATTCGAATTATTATTTGTACTACTGGTTGAAGAGACTCGTAGTCCAGATTGTTGAGAAGGTTTAATCTGAACGGTTGATCCGACGTTTTGAGCTTGCACCGTTTTAACTGACGCCGATGTAGCTCTCGCGGGTGTTAAAGGTAACGGATGTAAAGACATTCCAGTAATTCTAGCAACTGTGGTGGGTGCTGGCTGTGGTATTCTTGTTGCACTTGATGTACTTGCCGCTGTAGTAATTACTCGAGACACTGTATTCAGATTTGATAAACAGGTTACTGTTTGAACAACGCGAGGTGTTGTTTGTGGTGGTGGTTGTTGTTGCTGTTGCTGCTGCTGCTGTTGTTGTTGTTGTTGCTGTTGTTGCTGCTGTACCTATTGCAAAATTAATTTTGTTTAATATTCATTGCATCAAGAAAATATTATTTTATTCAAACGTACATAGTAGAGTATTTTTATACCTACTTGCTGAGACGGGATCACAATTCGACTAACGGTACCAGTTGATGGGCCAGCCACTGTGTTAATCGATAATTGTCGTCCCACTGTTGGCTGAACACTTACCGAAGCTGTACCGCTTATTCTATTTGCAGTTCCAATCACAGGAGTTGATACAGCTATACGATTTACGGTACCTGTACCACTACTTAGAGGTCTATTTGATTGATTAGGCTATAATTTTAAGACACAATGATTCTAATCATTACGATAATAATATTTAGAGTTTTTATCGATATATTAAAAAGCCATAATAACCTACTTGAATAGTCTGAGTCAAAGTCCTGCTAGGTTGTGTAGTTTGCAATACGTTTGTCACTTGAGGAGTAGGTAGCCTACTTTGCGAGACTGGTAGTCTTGTAATACTATTGTTTGCTTGAAGGACAGGCGCTATTAATCTGGACGGAGTGCCAGGAACTCCAGCAACCATCGTCGCTTGTACAGATCTTCCTTGACCGGATGGTGTAATTAGACGAGGTTGTTGGCTGGTGTACACCGTGGATGGCGGTCTTGAAACTCGACCAACTGGAGGTACAGGATGCCTTTGAGGTTGTGCGTACACAACCGATGTTGTTTTAGGTTGCCATTGAGGATTTGAAATAGTTGTACTTATTCTAAAAGAACCGAAAAATATATTTATTTTGTCGTTTAGACACTAATAGGCATAAAATTGTTGTCTTACTTTTTATACGTATTAAATAAATTATATATACCCTGGCCTTGTAGTAGGAACAGTTTGTCCTGTATTTGCTCTAACGATAGGAGTAGCCACAGTTGATCTTGGAGCAGATATGTTAGCAACTGCAGCCGGTCCTCGTGGTACATGATACGTTGCTGGCATACTTGTTACCTGTTGCGTCTGTTGTAACAGTTGCTGAGCTTGCGGTTGATTTTGACGTTCCACCGTACTTAACATACCTGGAGATATTATCCTCACTGTAGAACCCACAGAACAAAGCTACAAAAAGATATATAATTTGCAGAATAACTTTTTCTATTTAATAATCCCAAAAATTTATGCTCCCTTTTCGAATCAATAGTCAGAAATTGTTACAACAAAGAATACAGAAGTTTCATTACCGTTGTAGTTATTTTATTAGTTTCTGAAGTCGACGTGGTACCAGATGGAACTACAGGTTTCATTAGCGGCAATTTTGGATTTGTATCCATTGATATAGATTTGCCTACAAGATTAGTAGGCGTTACAACAGATCCTGCTATAGCTTGCGTCGATTGAATACTTTGTATATTACTTTGCACAACACTTTGCACATTTTGCATACTCTGTATCGTAGTTAAATTTTGTGCTATACTTTGCACGGTTGTCTCTGGCACACGTTTATCACCGCCACTTTCGACTGAATTTATCGTTGTATTCATGTCTACTTCTCTGAAAATGATTTTTAAAGAAAAAAAAAAAAATATTATAATTGTTTACATGCATTCAAAAGGTTACATGATATAAGGAGTTTATCATTTTTTTTATTACTTTTAACTTTCTTGTTGATATGCTTTAATAATTTCTTTTACATTATAAATCTCACACAAATTAAATGTTACATTTCTATCATTCGAATGTTATTGTTTACAATAAACTGATCGAACATTTTGCCATAATAGATTTGAAAACCCTTCAAGGAATTTGGAGGTTACACGGTTTTATCGTAATTTTATTGGATGTTTAACAGTAACAGTCAGAATTCTCCACTGATTATAATATTAACAAATAAGGTATGATTTTGTATAACAAGAGGCACAGTACGTGTTTGTCTTTTAAACTGACAGCAATCGGTACATTTCGCAAATGCCCTGATAAAAGTATGCATACCTTCATAAAAATGCAACACTGTAAGACCATTACCGATTTACTTAAACATACACATGTAGCATTTCTAAAATATTTCTGTTTCATTGATGTTCCTTGAAAAAAACATTTTAGAAGTAGAAGAGCACCGTCTCTATAACCACAGAAGTTTATAGCGCCTAATGTAAGCACAGTGCAAGTACCATATATTATAATCGGACAAATAAATGTCCTAACCATTTATTACTACATCTCACTTTATAGGGACATTTAATCTTGATCTCCAAGTATTGTTACGATTCTCGTTTTTACTATAGCATGTTTTATGACTTTCGACTACATTTCACTACATACTGCATATCTTCGATCTTGTTCCTGTGTGAACATAGTTCGGTTACATTACGCAACCACGTTCATGCTTAATTCTGGAGGGAAAATGAAATTGTGTGGTCAGATTTGACATAATCGAGTGCGACGCTAATAATTACGAATTTCCTATAGCGCGTAACAGAGTAGTGGGACCAGCAGCATAACGGTTGAGTTATCACTACACTATTTTCTCATTGGTTATTTTTACGCGGCAAGAATACGTTGTAGCACAGTCGATTCTAGTACTAGTGCTCCGCTCACTTGAAGCCCCGCGGAAAGAATGCGGGAGAAGTAGAAGGGGCACACGTATTCCCACGCACACATTGGTCTCTAGCTCGCTATTCGTCGCGGCAGTTACACACACATGTGGACTGCCTGAGAGCAAGGGAGCGAGACAGATAAATGGGCGGTCCGACTCCCCTTGCCCCTGTGCCGTCTCGCGGGACTTCAAGTCAGCGGACCACAGTACTAGCCGTGCTGAAGGTAAAATGGCAACACCGCGGGAGTCCGGCTTCGATATACCTAGCCCAACCTACCGTAACAGCCTCCCACTACCCACCGGCCTCTGGGCTACATAGGCTCCATCTACCGGCCTTCCGGTCTCCCGCCTATCTTTCAAATGTTTCAAATATTAATGTACCGAAGTCCATTAAATGTGAGCAACGGATCAATAATCCAGGTGTTTCATTTATTTATATTAACTCTACAGATCCTGATTTTGGCGTGTAGCACACTTATTTAATATAATCTATAGCATTTTTGGACATTTTGTTTTATATACATTTTTTTTATAAATTTCACATATTCGTTAATAATGCCACGGCGTTGCTGTGTTCCCAATTGCAAGGGAAATTATGATAGTACCTTAAAAGATAATAATCACAATTCTATATTTTTATTCCCCAAAGATGAGGAATTGCGGGAGAAATGGAGGTTTGTTATTCCTCGTAAGAATTGGACACCATCAAAATATTCTGCCGTCCGTAATTTGCATTTTGCAGAAACTGATATTGAAAGGTACCACGGTATTCTATCGCCCAATGGTGTACTGGAGAATGTTTTGTTGAGATGTCCAAGGCTTATAAGGAACGTAGTACCCTCCATTTTACGACCGAAAAATTAGAAAAACGATTTGGAAATTATAGACTTTTATCTGATTGTAATTATCATGTGTCATATAACGAAATAATTCATGCAGAAAAAAAAATTAGATTAAAACATATATTTAGAAAATCGGCAAATTCGTTTTCTCTTACTGAAATCAAAAATAAATTTCGAATTTGTGATGACAATAATAACGATCTTCATGATCTTCCCACTGATGTGACTTGTTTCTCAGGAATCTTCGATAGCGAATACTTGTCCGATTGTGTTGTAGATGATTCCATTAATATTTATATTTCTGGTTATGGGTCCCATTCTGTTGCTAAAAAATTAAATTGCAATATATGTCGTTTATTAGTTGCGGAGGATAAAGGTAAAACTGTAGGCGATGTATATTTTGATCACTTACAAAGAGGGGGCCTTTCTGTCCCCACTGAAGAAGCGATAGCCTCATTTATTCATATGTATGCAATAATGGAAGAATAATGAAATAAACATATTTTATGTAAATTAACATATATTAGCATTCAATCAGACATACATTATTTAGCATTTTCAGATACATGCGTTTGTGGTAGAGCTTACCAAAGTATTTCGTTTAAATTATTATCAATTTTTTCAAATATTTTATTAAACGATTATGTGAAAACTGTAAATAATAGTCAGTCGGAAACACGTACAGACATCGCTTCTAAAAATCGTAAATTAAAAACTTTTAATAGGAACTAGATTTTCAATGATTTTTTTTAATTTCATCTTTCATAAAACATTAATTTTTATATATATTTAACTTATTCCTTTCAATATGTTTTAATAGATTAATAGAGTTTTATTTACTTGCTTAGTATATTTTTATTATGAATACTATTTCGCAAGATTCAAAGTTTTATTAGTTGTATTTCAAGAGAATTTCAAAGTATGTTTTGATATGTATTGTTATTAATATTATTCAAAATTATTTATTATTATTTCAAAATGTAATACTTTATTTCTTTAAGTATACAAAAAGTTATGTTTTTGTTATGTTCTATTTAAAAATATTAATTTTATTTTAGAAAATGGGATGATACGGCTATTGGCGAACCACCCATTATAATAAAAAAAAAAAAGAGGTAACGCGCCGTGGTAAATACCCCTAGGGTGGTGAGGAAATTTTTCACAATAATCATACTGTCCTCTAACACGATTTTATAATTAACTCCATAATTGTTCCTTTCAATAGCTAATTATGCTAACCTCTTTTTCCACGGGCACTTAACCTGTTTGGCTTCGTACCAATAATTTTGCCTATTTCAGGTCTCTATTAACTTATACATACCTTTATCAATTTTTAAACCCTTCAATTTGGTTCGAAGATGGTTTTAACTTGTTTCACACTTCTATTTTCTTGAAATCTCTGTAAATATTTCAAATATAATGCATCACAACACCAAACTATTCCGACAGCCCACAAAATATATACCACATTTATAAATATTAATGTACTTCTGTATTACTTCTACTTACTACAGTTATGATATTCATATATTCCTTATACATAATTAATATAAAATACTGTATATTAGTATAATTTTATATCGCAAAATAACGTTAATTATAATCCTGAACACAAAACTCCACTATTGAAAATAGGACTCCCGATCCGCACATGAGCGGCGTTGCCACGTTCCATAGCACGGCTAGTAGTACCTAGAGTCGGCTGTGGTTGTAGTCGTCATGCGCAGTAGATTATACGGCGGATTCTTAACGTACATAAAAACGTCTCTACATGTATTAATCATACAATTAGCGCTAACTAGAATTTAATAGATACATATGTAATCCATACATAAAAATCATCTGTTTTAAATAATATAAGTCGGTGGAATTCATTTTCAACGCTATAAAAATTTTAACTCTTATACGTTGGTAGGATTTTGAATTATTATCGAGTATACAACGAAGTTGGCTGCACCTCCGATTATCGGTGCTTCTTTCCGGTTCACACTGTCGGGGTGATTGTGTCTTGTTTAGTTTAGCTGTAATTAAATCTTTCTCCATCTTCCACTATGAAGATCTATAAGGATATTTTCACCGGTAAGTGAATGCATAATGTCGTTAAGAAATACGTCTGATCAATATTTTTTTAATTGACGATATACAAAGAAATAAAGAGTCCAGTTTCGTTCAAGTTTGATGCATAGTGACATTTCCTATTACAACAATGATATGACAATGATAACTCTATAAAGTCTCTCTATAATTATTTAAGTAATTTAGATTTACTATTATAACATAAAATACGTTTTCAAGGCGATTTAGTAATACGCAAATATTCTATATAAATATTTGAAATTCTTATTTATAACCTCTCCATATGTTCGAAATGACTCATTCCAATTGTAAATTACGAAGAACGGTCAACAATGATTAAAAAAAATTATGTCGATTACTAAAGTGTAAATTTATTTTTTAAGATATACATCACTAGAGTATCGATTTACACAGATTAAATAATTTTTTCATTCATTAATTTCTCTCCAGTAAATCAATCTTTGCATCAATTTTTGACATGTGTTAATAAGAAAATGAAATAAAAAATTATTTGTATTGATTTCTTATTACTACGAAATGTAAGCTCTCAAAGAATATGTTGTAAAATTATCTTAAAGTGAACGTGTAACATATCTATAATTTATTTTGATAATATTTTTTATATTGCAGGTGATGAGATGTTCTCAGATACCTACAAAGTAAAATTGATCGACGATGTTCTGTATGAAGTATATGGCAAGGTAAAGTTTTTAAATGCCAAAGATGTAATACTTATTAACTAATATTTATTTATTCTTTGCTACTAGTTGGTTTCTCGTAAAGCTGGGGAAATAGAAATTGCTGGATTTAACCCATCTGTGGAGGAAACTGACGAAGGCACGGATGAGTCTGTCGAAACTGGTGTCGATGTAGTTTTAAATCATCGACTGCAAGAAAGTTTTGCATTTCGGGACAAAAAATCTTATACTCTATACTTGAAAGATTACATGAAAAAGTAAATATCGAAGTAAATGTTATCATAACCTTTTATCGAATAATTTTTCTGATAATTGTTTGTTTTATCAGATTAGTCGCAAGATTGGAAGAGAAATCTCCTGATCAGGTGGAAGTATTCAAAACGAACACAAACAAAGTTATGAAAGACATATTAAGTCGTTTCAAAGACTTGCAATTTTTTACCGGTGAATCTATGGACATCGATGGCATTGTTGCATTGATGGAGTATCGTGATATTGATGGTGACTCTGTGCCTGTACTTATGTTATTCAAACATGGTCTTGAAGAAGAAAAGTTTTAAATAATTTTAGATATTCAACAAATTGCAAAAAAATATTGTGAGTTTCACTTTTATTATTTCCATATTTCTTTAGTATTTAGTAAATATATACATGGTAATTCATGCCATATACTATACCGAGTTGTATTTGGCATTGCACAAACATGTAAGATAAAAATGGTGAACAGATTCCCGCTATGGTGTTACTTTCTAGACATAGTGTCTATTTTAGCCAGACATAGAAATAAAAGATTTTAATCGCAACGCGCAATAAATATCAAATAAAGTGTTACATTAATCTTTTTTGTACGTTTTTTCAGATAAAATCGAATCAAGACTGTACACATGCTAGAAAGCTGTGAAATTTAGTTAAAAGGAAACACAATTCTACTTCCAATCTCATTTTATAATGCAATTTAACTTATTTCCTCTTCAAAATAGAAAGAAAAACATCTTAATGACAGATTTGAAGAAAATAATATTTGTACATATGGTGTGACTGAAAGGAAAATTTATATAAGACAATGATGTCCCTTCAACGTTTCTGTATTTGATTCACTGTAGCGATAGTAGTATAATTTTCTATTCCTTTTTTTTGTTTTTTTTATTCGATATTGTTGGAACGTTTTATTTATGAGTGAAACGAAATGGAAGATGGGGAAAGAACTTTGCAGCAATGGAAGTATTAAAGTATAATGTCTATAATTATTGTTAACATCAGGAAATCTCAGTGAATAATAAATATAGCAGGAATAACATACTCTGTATAATGTCCAGCACGAATAAAAGGTGTTTTCATAAGTACTGCCCATTACCAGTGTTTTTATTTCGAGGTATTTACGATTGTTAAGAAACTCAAAAAACACATTCTACAGCTCTCGCGTAAGTGGTACACAATTTCTTATATATTCTTCGTTAATCTCAACAAATAATATAATTTACAAACTTAAATTACCTTTAAGAAACATTAAATTTTACTGAGGATTTATTTAATCGATGAACTCTTATTAATGACTACCAGAGTTCAGGAGAGGGGGGGAAGGGAGAAAAAAAAAAAGAAAATGAAATCTACTGACCAAATACATACGTATTAATATATGTAAATTAAATGCAAGAACTATTTCTGCTTTTAAACCGCACAAACATGTTTAAATTTAAGAGACAAATACGGAATATAGTGAGTAAAACGAAGATACTTTTCGCTTCATAAAAATATTATATTCAGACAAGTCAGAATAGACGATTTATCTCTTGGCGCAAGATCGTACATCGTATTTCTTTAATCAAGGATTGATATTAATCATACTGCTTTACATGTACAATACATTCATAATATAATGACTTGTTCGCATATCCTCTAATATAACTCGCTTTCTCACTGTCACTCCCTCTTATACTCTTTCTCTTCTATATTTTTATAATTTATATATCCTTTATCGTTACGTATCCTTTCGTGAATATATTACTCTTACTTTTTATAAAACAGTTACCAACTGAATGTAGAATTCTTCGTACGATTCTCAATCATTTTTCATATCATTACCTGAAACAGTGTCATGTTTATACACACAAAAGCGCACCGCAATAGTAATAATTTACATGCGCGTGTATGCATCGATACATGTATACACATACTCAGTAAATAAAACTAAAATAGATACGCGGATTATTTTAATAAACGTAAAACGATAGTTACAGGTTGAAGATAGTAAAAGACGGGCTTAAAGGTGGTACACGGTCCATGTATGTATGTGTTACCGTGAATGACCGAAATTGGAGAATGTCAACTTTCACCGGTGAATGTCAACAGATACCAAATACGTCGGTGAAAGATCGAATATTTCATTACATTGTTGTACATTCGGACCCTCTCCGGTGTGTGTCGACAATCACAGATATGCTCTGCTGGAGGTCCAAAACAGAAGAGTCAAAAAACAAGCGACTGGCTCTCTCCTGCCAAATCCTTTGTTCTGCTCGGAGTCAATCAGCATTGTCAGTCTTATGCAAGCTTTGATAACGCGAGCAACGTTTTCTTAATGTTTTCCCCGATACCCTAATTTATACTAAATGGATACTGCAGTAAATCGTGATCTTTTTCTAACCCAGACCTAACCCAGACTTAATTCAGACTTATTCCAGACCTAACCCAGACCTAACCCCCGTTATCAGCGATGAATTGGTCTGGGTTAGGTCTGGAATAAGTCTGAATTAAGTCTGGGTTAGGTCTGGGTTAGGTCTGAATTAAGTCTGGGTTAGGTCTGGGTTAGGTCTGAATTAAGTCTGGGTTAGGTCTGGGTTAGGTCTGAATTAAGTCTGGGTTAGGTCTGGGTTAGGTCTGAATTAAGTCTGGGTTAGGTCTGGGTTAGGTCTGGGTTAGGTCTGGGTTAGGTCTGAATTAAGTCTGGGTTAGGTCTGGGTTAGGTCTGAATTAAGTCTGGGTTAGGTCTGGGTTAGGTCTGAATTAAGTCTGGGTTATGTCTGGGTTAGGTCTGGGTTAGGTCTGGAAGAAAAATTAGATTTTCTAATTAGCAAACTCGTCTTTTTAACAGTAAATTAAGACCTAACCCAGACCTAACACAGACTTAATTCAGACCTAACCCAGACTTATTCCAGACCTAACCCAGACCTAACCCAGAGCTAACTCAGATCTAATCCAGACCTAACCCAGACCAAACCCAGATCTAATTCAGATCTAATCCAGACCTAACCCAGAGCTAACTCAGATCTAATCCAGACCTAACCCAGACCTAACCCAGACCTAACCCAGATCTAATTCAGATCTAATCCAGACCTAACCCAGAGCTAACTCAGATCTAATCCAGACCTAACCCAGACCTAACCCAGATCTAATCCAGACCTAACCCAGACCTAACTCAAATCTAATCCAGACCTAACCCAGACCTAACCCAGACCTAACTCAGATCTAACTCAGATCTAATCCAGACCTAACCCAGACCTAACCCAGACCTAACCCAGACCTAACCCAGACCTAACTCAGATCTAATCCAGACCTAACCCAGACCTAACTCAAATCTAATCCAGACCTAACCCAGACCTAACTCAAATCTAATCCAGACCTAACCCAGACCTAACCCAGACCTAACTCAGATCTAATCCAGACCTAACCCAAACCTAACCGAAATCTAATCCAGACCTAACCCAGACCTAACCCAAATCTAGGGTCTGGGTCAGGTCTGGGTTAGGTCTGGATTAGATTTCGGTTAGGTCTGGGTTAGATCTGGATTAGATCTCGGTTAGGTCTGGGTTAGATCTAGATTAGATCTGGGTTAGGTCTGGGTTAGATCTAGATTAGATCTGGGTTAGGTCTGGATTAGATCTAGACTAGATCTGGGTTAGGTCTGGGTTAGATCCTTTCAGAAAGAGAGGCGAAAAAGTTACGTCACCCTTGTGACGTTTTATAGCGACTAAATTACGGAGAAGAAAATATAAATCTCCAACATGTTCAACACTCACCATTAGTGCATGGTGAATGTCAACATTTACCGGTGTAAGTCAGAAATGAGGGTGTTTAGCAAATATTTCGGTCATACACTAAGCGACTATGTGAATGTTGACATTCACCGGTGAAAGTCGACATTCTCCAGATTTCGGTGTTTCACTGTAACATATGCACATACAATGTACATTTATATACAAATGCATATACACGCAGCAGACATCGTTTTAATTACTGAGCACAACCATGTATAGAGTTATTGTTTACTAAGGCAGCTTAAAATCAAGTAATATAAACTTAAGATCATCAAACGGATTAATATCAATTTGACATAGTAAACATTTGCATTTAGTATTACCCGATTCTTGATACAATGAATTAAAAATTAATAGAATATAAAGAAAACAAATTGATATTTACCAAAAAACACATTTAAGCTGTCAATACAACAATTATTTTTGGAATGGATTCAATTACTTATTTTTTCATAATGCCTTTACAATTACACACAAGCCTCGCGTAATGGTAATTAATTAATTCACAATCCATCTGTAAAAATCTACCGAATTAATTTTTTCCAACGCGAAGGAAGAAAGAGTGAAACGTGGAATATCAGATTGCGTTAATATTCCAAAACATAGTTAGTTGTAATGGCAGTTGTGTGAGTGATTTGTTATTAATATAGCGTTTATCGATACATAAAGTTTATGACATTTATACACATAGAAGGATTTAGTACTCTGGTTTTTAGCTTAATTAATTGAAGGTACAGTATTTAGTAGGACACCAGCTACTGTTTAAGTGGGACGTACCTTTACAAGTTTAGTAAAGTGAAACAATTACTTTAATCGTTATTACTATTAATATTTAACTTATTTGTACTGATCTATGCAGAATGGGCGCGTGAAACATTTTCGGTACCATTAGTATATAGAAATTTCATTTGCATTTCAAATTATTGGAATAACAGAATAAATTATAGAATATGTTGGTGATCATATTATTACAAGTCGAAATATTTCTACACGGATTAAGAAGGTGAAGAAAAGCAATAAATATAAAGTAAACTATTTTTCTTGTTTACTTTACTATGCATTACTGTACAGAAAGTTCACAACGCAGCCCATTCTTCCATTCTAGGACACTGTTGCTAAGTAAAACGTCACTACATACAATTTGAGCATCGTACCATTTCTGTGATAATTCAAAGAAGTATGGCAAAAGCATTGAGTTTACATCAATTATAATCGTAGACAGTTCATTGTTCTCGAATACTGCTCCTTACAGAAGCATGCTGTTGTTAAATAGGTTTTTAATACATTCCAATTATAATATTCACTCTGCCAAAATCTTTTTACCTTGATCAACGTCCGATCGTAGAACATTTCTTAATTCTGCTTTTATCTTTATCATTCTACTGACTATGGCTGAGGTTCTCATTATTATTTGTGAAAGAGTTTTGTCTATATATTCATATATTATATGTATATATAGATATAATCATTTTAACATTGATATATTTATATGAAACTTCATTCACAGGTAGCAAGCATTCACGCCCTCCATTCCTAATTGTTTTTCACTGCGTATTTTCTTCTATTATTACACATATTGAGGAATTAGACGAGGTGATCGCAAAATGCGTTTTGCTCGGAGGTAATAATTTTGGTCAAGATGTATTTTTCGGAGTGAACACAAAGAAAACGGAACATTATGACGAAGGAAATCGTTTACACAATTCTGATACAGCTTTCTCGTTATTTTATAAATATATACATAAATTCTGTTATTTGGCTTGCATTTATTGCAAATAATGAAATTAATGGTAATCGAACAAAGAAAAGTAAACTTTGAATTATTGTTCTTGTTAGGTGAGAATATTAAAATATAATATAGCAGGCGTTTTAAATGAACAGCAACTCCAGTAATGTTACAAAAAAAAAAAATCGAAAATTTAATATTGTGTTTCTCTCGTGGTATGCATAACATTAAAAACTCTCATCAAATAGATAACAATAACCAACAACTAACGATCGTAAGCATTCACGCAAAAATAGAAATATGTTTAATAATATTTAATATTATCATAATTTATATTATCGAAGTAAGCATTATCATTCATTTCTTACAATTTCTAGGGTATTATAGTAATTTATGTAAATGACTAGAACTGAAGGACATTAAGAAGATAAACGTTTCTATATAACATTTACAATCGAAATATAATAAAGATAAATATCTTTCGAAATATTTTATAAAAATATGTATAAATAAATTTTTTAATGCACTAAAAATCAGTATAAGTTTATAATATAGATATTCCACTAATTTCATATTCTTAAACTAAAATTTATAAAGCGCGGGGATAAAAATATAAATTTGGAATTTATTGCAACGTATCAAGATCGACAACTATCTACATAATTAAAAATATAAAAAAACAATATAATAAAAGATATAAAAGTAAACTTAAAATGAATGCAATCTATGCATAAAATTATTATTTTCTTACATCCTTCAGCTCAGATCATAGAAGAGTTCTATAAATCGCTAACAATGATAGTAAAGTTTCTATTTTAGTTCTGTCCTGGATCAGTTAATTCCTATTCCTAGATTTAGAGGATAATCATACATTTTGCAACTGTCTCTTTGAAGTTTCGAGAGCTCTTGTATCTCGTTACGCATTGAACATTTCCGAAGAAAAATAAAATATTTGCGTCGGCCAATAAACAATTGAGAAACATTTACACCTTATTCGCTATGTAATAGTGTATAATTATAATGGGCACAAAAGACAGAAAATTATGTATCTAATGAAAATTTTCATGCAATTTGCTGACTCGAAAATAAACAATCACCCACGATGTGAACATTTGTTACATTCAAATATCTAAACAACGTGCCAAGGGATTCCTGGCGCGTTGATGATAATTATTTTTCGTTTATATATTCTCCAAACTGTACCGTTGTGGTTTTGATATTTTATTACAGACGTAATATATTTAATATATATTTTATTTTAATATATTTAATTAATAATGAATTAGTAAGTTTATCTCTTTCTATATTCTAAAATACAAAACAATAAATTATCGTAGTGCACACGTGTAAAACGCTTTCATTTATGCAAATATGTATGTATATTATCTATATGCAATCGTGGCTCTTCCAAGTGACGATTCGAATCGAGGCAGAGTTGGAATGTAAAAATACTCAAAGAAGTTATAACGCGTAGATCGCGCCTACGTCGAATACCGTGCAAAAGAGAATCGTCGGGCGGTTCGTAAAACTATTTTGAAAGACTTGTGAAGCAAAGAGACTGACTCATCGATGGAGGGATAATATTTAAAGACAACAAGAAACGAAACGTGAGTGTCTTAGGAACTTCCATGGCTGCTGGGAGCGCAGAGGAATCGACATAAGCACGATCGGAGCTCGTGCATACTGAAAATCGGATAACCCAGTGACCAAGTGACGCATCTACGGGGGAACTTTGCTCGAACTAACACATTCCAATGCTAACAAGCAGAGAACGAGACCTTTGTGGTAATCGAAACTTTGTACATACACTGTGTTACATTTCGACACTCTTTACGAAAATATACCATTTTATTGGGCCAGAAATTCAATATTTTTCAAGTTACTTGTGTTTAAAGTTTCTTAATACCTTTAAACACTTTGTCCATTTAAATAATATCCTCGCTTAATAATAACGAACCAAAATGGTCGTACAAAATCTTTTTAAAAACAATTATACGTGCACGATTAGAATACTTGTACCAAACAATGCACACCATTTATACAATTTTGCAACGTTTACTTTTATCGTCAAACAACAACAAATTCTATCATGAAAAGATATAAAAAAATTCGATTTAATACATCGCCAATTACGTGCACTCAATATTTATGCTAGTGTTGAGACATGCATAGTATGGAGCAGCAAAATTCTGCAACCAAAATGAAGAAGAATATAAATGGTTGTGTAATGAAACTGCATTGATTGTTTTTACGATAAATGCAATAATAATTAATCCCTTATAATTCCTGTATTTATTTTCTTCTACATTTCGCTCATTTCAATAAAAAAAATAGCAATCTTCCATCGAAAATAAATTTAAAGCATACACACAGAAATATATTTGCAATAAAATTCATTTAACATCAACATATAGATGTTTTCATGCGCAGTTTAATAAAAAAATATTTCTAGCCCGACCAGAAGAGAAAATACGAGGTCGCGTCATAGTACCTTGGGTTCAATGTTCTTAACAATATTGCAAAACTTTAAATACGAGTGATTAAAAAAATATTTAGATCCTGGCCTTGTAATGGCGTGGAAATCTACCCGTGTACAAAGTTTCAGTTAAATCGACGAATGTTCTGCACTCTCGTTGCAACGCCACCGTTTTCTCGATCCGAGTACATCGTTGCTTGCGTTTTCCGTCATGCTCTCGATACGAATCGAACAAGAGACCGCCTCTTTACGTCGGACACGAAGCGTTAACAAAGTCATAAATAAAAAGATAAGAAGGGAAAATAAGTAAATTTTATCTCGCTGCTGCTCGACGTGAGAAATACCTTTTCTAGAGGCGTCCAGTGTCGGCAAGGATCGTTTAGTTTACGTGTATCTTGAATATTGTATTTTTGTCGTTTTTTCTTTTCTCATTTTTTTTTCTTTTATGGATAGATATTGTTGTTCTCTCAGAGATCGGTGTGCCCCAGAACGTGGCACACCTTTTGCTCCTAAGGGTCTGATCGCGATTCCAACATCTCCACGAGGAAATCGTCGATCGGCACGTCGCCGATCATCTTGAAGAAGAACAGGTGCTCCAAACATTTCAATCCAATCGACCGGATAGCGGGCAAACGCAACAATAATTTTGCAAATCGACCCGCGTCGTCTGGCCATGCCACGCGACAGTATCCTTCCAAGGCTGCGTAGATTTTCTCGCGTAGCATAGTCACCTCTTGGATGGACTTCAGTCCTCGAACCTCGGGATTGAACAGAATTATAGACCTGCAAAGTATATAATCAATCATTTACTAAATGGAAATTAAACATTGTACAAATATAAGATTATTTTAACTTTTTAAACGATATACATTGCATTGTTTTTTATATTTCTACTGTTTTATAATAACAACAGTTACTCACAAAATTAATCGTACACCTATGTAGTTAATAAAAAACTGGCGGGAAAATGAACATAAACGTTCATATTCAAAAGTAAAAATATAATATTTATTTTGTTCATATATTTTGACGATAAAACAAGCATACTTTTGCAGTTTTTGTTAAACACAGATGAACAATCAATATTGTTTAAAAATTTCTTGACGCATTATCTGCTGAACTGTACGAGTAGACCTTGGAGTAAACCTTGGAGTAAAGTTGACCTTCTAAACCAGAAGAACAGCCCCAGTTCGTTACTAGGAGAATTGAGTAAAAATTAAATGGTATAATGAACTACTAACCTCAGACAGCCAAGCTCAGTCCTGTCCATTTTCATTTCGCGCATTTTTGACACTAGCTCTGAAAGCACCCTGTCGAATATCGTACCCACGCCAGCCTGTTGCGCCGAATTTCGATGAACAGTGATTCCTGTCGCCAAGACGATACCGTCCTTCACGTCGATGGAACGATGGGAAAACGAGGCTATCAACAGCTCGTTCCATCCAGCCCTGAGCAGAAGTACCTGATCCTCCAGTGGCAACGACGTAAAATGTGGGATGTGTTTTGCCCATGCCACCAGCTGGAACAGCTGTTTGTTCGTGGCGTTGCAAATGTGCGACACTGCGTTCTGTGTTAGAAGAAACGTCGAATTAATCGAGGGAGCACTCCGTGGAACATGTAGTATAAGAGCATATCTATATAAACAATCACCGAGTTTCCTATACATCATTTTTTATTATTATTAACCCCTATATTAATGTTACCCCTTGGATGTATTCTAGTTTAAAAATTAAAAAAAAAATCTGTGGCGTCGCCTCCCATGCTCGCCACCAGAGGGCGAGCGCTCTCACAAGCGCTCTCACGACCCCTCGGTTGCTATATATATGTTACCGTGAATGACCGAAATTGGAGAATGTCAACTTTCACCGGTGAATGTCAACAGATACCAAATACGTCGGTGAAAGATCGAATATTTCATTACATTGTTGTACATTCGGACCCTCTCCGGTGTGTGTCGACAATCACAGATATGCTCTGGTGGAGGTCCAAAACAGAAGAGTCAAAAAAACAAGCGACTGGCTCTCTCCTGCCAAATCCTTTGTTCTGCTCGGAGTCAATCAGCTTTGTCAGTCTTATGCAAGCTTTGATAACGCGAGCAACGTTTTCTTAATTTTTTTTCCGATACCCTGATTTATACTAAATGGATACTGCAGTAAATCGTGATCTTTTTCTAACCCAGACCTAACCCAGACTTAATTCAGACTTATTCCAGACCTAAACCAGACCTAACCCCCGTTATCAGCGATGAATTGGTCTGGGTTAGGTCTGGAATAAGTCTGAATTAAGTCTGGGTTAGGTCTGGGTTAGGTCTGAATTAAGTCTGGGTTAGGTCTGGGTTAGGTCTGGGTTAGGTCTGAATTAAGTCTGGGTTAGGTCTGGGTTAGGTCTGAATTAAGTCTGGGTTAGGTCTGGGTTAGGTCTGAATTAAGTCTGGGTTAGGTCTGGGTTAGGTCTGAATTAAGTCTGGGTTAGGTCTGGGTTAGGTCTGAATTAAGTCTGGGTTAGATCTGGGTTAGGTCTGGGTTAGGTCTGAATTAAGTCTGGGTTAGGTCTGGGTTAGGTCTGAATTAAGTCTGGGTTAGGTCTGGGTTAGGTCTGGGTTAGGTCTGGAAGAAAAATTAGATTTCCTAATTAGCAAACTCGTCTTTTTAACAGTAAATTAAGACCTAACCCAGACTTATTCCAGACCTAACCCAGACCTAACCCAGAGCTAACTCAGATCTAATCCAGACCTAACCCAGACCAAACCCAGATCTAATTCAGATCTAATCCAGACCTAACCCAGAGCTAACTCAGATCTAATCCAGACCTAACCCAGACCTAACCCAGATCTAATCCAGACCTAACCCAGACCTAACCCAGATCTAATTCAGATCTAATCCAGACCTAACCCAGAGCTAACTCAGATCTAATCCAGACCTAACCCAGACCTAACCCAGATCTAATCCAGACCTAACCCAGACCTAACCCAGATCTAATTCAGATCTAATCCAGACCTAACTCAGATCTAATCCAGACCTAACCCAGACCTAACCCAGATCTAATCCAGACCTAACCCAGAGCTAACTCAGATCTAATCCAGACCTAACCCAGACCTAACTTAGATCTAATCCAGACCTAACCCAGACCTAACCCAGATCTAGGGTCGAAAATTACGAAATAATAACAAAATCTTAAAATCCCAAATGGCAGGTAAAAAATTGACCTGTAGGCTAGAACATGTACCCCGTTGAATCCAGGTGGAAGAAGACTGGTCCATTCGCTTCACTCGTTTACTCTAATTCGAATATTTACCTCGTAATTTCCTTGCTGTTCCAGCTTGCATTCGACTCGTTTCTCAGCCTCCAAGATACGTTCGATGGGCATGTCCGAATGCAAACTGCTCGTACTCTCCACCTCGCTCTGATCCCTCTCCTTGGTGCGCTGTCGTTCCTCCTGGACAGCCTCCCTTTTCATACCCATGGCCAGGCATTTCTGGTATCTGCAATACTGGCACCGATTTCTTTGCCTCTTGTCGATGATGCAGGACTTTTCCTCGCGACACGCGTACGACAGGTCCTTGCGGACGGTCCTCTTGAAGAATCCTTTGCAGCCTTCGCAACTAGAACAACGGTTCAACTTCGCTTAAAATATTAGTAAACAAAAACTCCTACAAATTAATACTCATAAAATTCTAAATAAGTTTAATTTCCAAGTGTTAAACGCGAGCTAGGGCGTTCTCGTTTTTAAAATTGGAACCACTCCAGGAATCTCACTGCTACCAGCGAACCGACGACATTCCACGAGGAACTTATTTTCGGTGCAGTCACTCCGCGTATTTCCACAATGGCGGATAATTGTATATACTTTTCTCCTGTTTTCACTCGTGCGACGACGACAACAACAACAACAACAACAAGCGCGAAAAAGAAGTGGAACGTTTCAGACTTTGTTAATATTGGCTGTTTTTGATTAAAATTGATATTGCAGATTTAGCGATATTTCAACACATTTCAGGGAGTTTTTAACACTAAATTTAGAAATGTTGCCCATTCTGGTCAACACACGTGCGTATATGCTACATTGGTAAAAATATTGCAAGGGATAAATCAATCACGAATGCGTCTGACACGGCGTGCTAGTCCAGACCCTGGTAATGGCCGTGATTGCTTAATTAGCTGCCACTGGAGCAAAGTGCCTGCACGACCAAGACAGTCTCTCTCTCTCTCCCACCCTAAGTAGGAACTACGGCTGGCTAGTCGTCCTAACCTCACGGGCCACAACTCGCACTAAATTCAAGGTTACTGGTGCTCTGATGCAACACGCACGAGGTATCATCGGTTGGACGGTTCTCTGCAAGCCAACGTGGAGATCAACCAATAACACTGTTCTACAAATTAAATTTTGTTTTCTGTTTTTCAATATTCACTAGGTAAATTCTTAAAGAGCTTCGTAATTCTTAAAAACAACAGACAGTTCCACTTAATCTTAAAAGATAGAGGAGAGATTCCTGAATATGCTAACATCGATAGTCATAATATTTTGTGCTTTTTGAACGGTTGTAAATGATCGCCAAAGTTTGAAAAAGTGTCGAAGTACGTACTTTACACACAATACTTTTGCATATTTACGAAAAGTTCTTTACCTGACACGAAATTTATACACAGGGTCTGATTCTGCAGACATTTCTGAAGAAGAAACTGCCCCAACAGAAGTGTAGAAGCCGTTCTCAATTGTCACAGGTCGAGAAAAAGTGTATTGGCAACACGTGCACGGCGTTTTACCGCCACGCGGCCATCGCTAGTCTAACTCGGCTCGGCAGTGCCGTAGCTACGCATAATGGATGCGACACCAATAATATCTTAGGCTCCCAATTCCTGTATATGTTTATCATGTAATAGGGGAGAGCGGGAGAGGAAAAACGGAAAATAAAGATACTGCGTGACTCGGAAGTGTCAGGACAAATAATAGGCGTGGTTTTACTATGGTTCTGCACTGTTCAGAAGTTCCAATACACGACTGCTCCTGATTCAACGCACGCTCGCTTTCGCGGGTTCGCTCATCGGCGTCTCAAAAGACGCCGAACCCTACAATGTTTTCGAAACATTCGCTTTTATCAGCCGCGGTCTGCGGCGATCATCTTACACTCGAAGAGCCGCGCTCTACGATGATCGCCGACAGACACGGTCCCTATTTACAATGTCTGTATAAATCGTCGGCTCTTACAATCATTTCTTATTTTTTAATCTGTTTGTGGATTTGTACAAAACATTTCTCGATCATTTCCATTTCTAAACAATTTCGATGTTCATTGTATGTATATGAATGGTTTTTTTAAATATAAAGCCGTAAAAAAATAAACAACATTTTATTGTTGGGTTTGCCTCACAGAATAGGAATGATATTCCTAAGAGCGAAGTGTGAATAGCAAGGATTTACCCCAGATCTTTCTAAGAAAAGCGTACATGTTCGAGCGATTCCATTGATAAGTTTGCATGGATTTTGAAAATATTATTCAGTGATTAGTATCCTAGAGTATACAAATATATTAAGCAATAAAAGTTACAAAAAAAATCAAACATACTATACAGGGTGTTCGGCCACCTCTGGGAAAAATTTTAATGGGAGATTCTTGAGGGCAAAATAAAACAAAAATCAAGAACACCAATTTGTTGATGGAGGCTTCGTTAAAAAGTTATTAACGTTTAAAGTTCCGCCTGTACTGAATTTTTTTCTCAAAAATGCACAGGATTTCGAGGGTATGTCTATTCACCAAAAATGATTGTAATTGATCCCCGTAATCGAAAATAATTTTTCCAGAACGATTTGAAATTATTATTTTACGTCGAAAAATTTCACACATTCTCGAATTTTTTTCTAGAAAGTGGGTAGGATTTTGAGGGTATGTCTATTCACCAAAAATGATTATAATTGACCCTGCAACCTAAAATAATTTTTTCAGAACGATTTGAAATTTTTTAATTTTGTCGAAAAATTTCACACCTTCTCGAATTTTTTTCTCAAAACTGGGTAGGATTTTGAGGGTATGTCTAATGATAAAAAATGATTGTAATTGATCCCTGCAAATAAAAATAATTATTCCAGACCGATTTGAAATGTTTTTTTTTTCGTCGAAAAATTTAGGCACTTTGGTCTGGGTTAGGTCTGGATTAGGTCTGGATTAGGTCTGGGTTAGGTTTGGGTCAGGTCTGGGTCAGGTCTGGGTTAGGTTTGGGTCAGGTCTGGGTTAGGTCTGGATTAGATTTGGGTTAGGTCTGGGTTAGGTCTGGGTTAGATTTGGGTTAGGTCTGGGTTAGGTCTGGGTTAGATCTGGGTTAGGTCTGGGTTAGGTTTGGGTCAGGTCTGGGTTAGGTCTGGGTTAGGTCTGAGTTAGCTCTGGGTTAGGTCTGGATTAGATCTGAATTAGATCTGGGTTAGGTCTGGGTTAGGTTTGGGTCAGGTCTGGGTTAGGTCTGGGTTAGGTCTGCATTAGATTTGGGTCAGGTCTATATAATTTTTCCAGAACGATTTGAAATTTTTGAATTTAATTGTTAATAACTTTTTAACGAAGCCTCCATCAACAAATTAATATTCTTAATTTTCGTCTTATTTTGGCCTCTAGAATCCCCCACTAAAATTTTTCCCAAGGGTGGCCGAACACCCTGTATACAGAGTGCATACCCTATTGCACCATTATACCAGTTTCGCTTGTAGGTAGCTACGGCACTGCCGCGCCGAGATAGACTAGCGATGGCCGCGTGGCGGTCAAACGTCGTGTACGCGTTGCCAACACACATTTTCTCGACCTGTGACATTTGAGAACGGCTTCTGCACTTCTGTTGGGACAGTTTCTTCTTCAGAACTGTCTGCAGAATCAGATCCTGTGTATAAATTTCGTGCCAGGTAAAGAACTTTTCGTAAATATGCAAAAGTATTGTGTATAAAGTACGTACTTCGACACTTTTTCAAACTTTGGCGATCATTTACAACCGTTCAAAAAGCACAGAATATTATAACTATCGATGTTAGCATATTCAGGAATCTCTCCTCTATCTTTTAAGATTAAGTGGAACTGTCTGATGTTTTTAATTTCCGCGTAATACCTCGTTTTTGCCCAAAATTGGACGTTTTCACAAAAACTCGTGTTTTTCGAAAACTGGGGGCGATACAGCAATTCCGTTTTCGCATTCGTGTTTAGGAAACAGAGCTCTACAAAAATCACCTAGTGGGTACGGAAAAACAAAATTTGTGTTGAACAGTGTAATCACGCAAGACAAACACTGGACTTTTCATTTGGAACAAAATTAATTTCGAAAATAGTCTCCAAGATAAAAGATAGACTAGTGTCTTTTCTAAAATCTTGATAACTGGTCAAGTATCTTCCCCTCGTCACCTGATTCCACAACGTGACCCATCCCATTTTCTGTTTGCTTTTTGTAATGTTATTTAAAAATCTATTAGTTGTTTTCGTACATGGATTTCATCTATTCATTAGTTTTTCCGTGAAACACAAACTTTTAATGCTTCAGGATGAGAAAGTACATTTTCATTAAGCGTTGTCCTGTTCTTACACATTTTTATTCCGCTATTCTTCTCGCAATTTCGTACCGATCTATCTCAGCAAATTAGACTCGGTATAACTTGGACCATGCGCGAGATATCGAATAAATCCTTGGCGGAACACTCGTGAAACTTTTAAGAAGACGCGAAGATCCATCGCCACCTTCCTACTTTCGTCATTATAGTCCGGAGAATTCACACAAAATTGGAAATTAGTCTTTGGAAGTTTTAATTGGATAAGTTGGTCGTTTGGAAACACGAATGATTCTTCGCTCGAGACACGTTCGTTGGACGAAAAATACTAACGAGTCTGTAATCCATTCCAGAGACGAAGAAAATGACATTGTAAAAATTGTATTTAATTTTTCTACTTAACAAATAAGCTTGATATCTTAATTTTATTGCTTCCCTTATACGTTGTTTTATCTTTCTGTTCGGGAATGCTTTTTGTTTATTGTGTTCTTGGAGGGTAGCATACCCAAAGGGTGGCATAATTTCTAGCTTCGTCACTGTAGACAACGCCCCAAGTTCAAGGTTTTGTAACTCTGCGAAAAAGTGCCGGCTTAAAGCCTTTACCACTTCATAATAAAACAAATAGTGCCAGAAACTTTAACAAATCCGTATTTTCACGAGAACAAGGGCTCAACATGTTCGACAACTCCAACGAAACGTTCTGTTTTCACAGATCGATGTAATGTCATACCTATAGGATTTACTATCCAAGCCTTAATCGATTAAGAAATCGTAATCGATGTTTCCACGTAATAGACGTCATCGACCGATTAAGTGTTGCACACTGCACACAAGTTATTTGAAGAACTTCATCATCGTACGTTTGATGCAACGAATAGTAGGAAAACAGTTTTGAAAATCATACTTTTTTGCTGTGCCATACTTAAGTTTAACGAACGTAAAATCTAATGACAACAACTTGTTCAAATTTGAAATCGTGTTGGGAATCTATGTTTACCTAGAAACAGTTGAATTACACATTTATTCTAAAATAAATGAGTTCGTTACTGTTTCAGAATTATATGTATATAGAGAGCCAAGCAATTTCGTTGCAATTAAGCGCGAGAGAAGAAGAAGAAAAATAATTCATAATTCTAGCATGGACTTTCTGCAATGCATATTTCACGTCGATCGTCTGCCGCGCCAGTTGGTTCGACAACATTTTTATTATTCCTTCTGAGCAGGTTCGACGCACGACGATTATGCAAACGCAGCGTTGTTGCACGTGTTCGCAGATGCTTCTTTCTCGCATGCGTGTGACAAACTTATCAGACAATGTTTAGACAGCAGCTTAGTGGGAGTAGGGACGGTGTCGATGGAGAAATTTACGATTCTGCGACGAATTTCTACGACGCGGACGAACTGTTGCTAAATGCATGTAGCGTTTGATCGACGATTGCGTATTTTACTCTTCCTTCGACCAATAAGATCTACGTAACCTGCTACTCTTTAGATCGCTGTCATTTTTCCATTCAAAACATGACATATATTTTTTTTTTTTTTAATTTGTATGTTTATTCAGTTTATTGCAATAGTTACTTTTTTTTTAACCCTTTTAGTGCCGAGCGAAAAACGGCTGCCTATGCGAACAATACCGAGCCAATTTCACGAGTTTGTTATGGTTAGAGAAAAAGCTCATAAAAAGCAAACTAAGAATGATATTTACAAAATTCAGAAAGCAGCATATTACGAAATAAAGAAAGAATAAAGTAATGGCAATTGCATTTCAATATTTATTCCAAATCATATAAATAACATAATTATAAAATATGATAAAAAGCATAGAAACAAGTTTCTACTTCTACAAACAATATTTACACAGAAGAATAATCATTGTTTGATCACAGTTTTATGTAGGTCATGTAGCAGAAAGTATAAGTATTTGATTTTCAATGATTTTCTAATAAATACTCGATTCAACATTTGATGAGGCTTTGTTAAAAAGTTATTAACGTTTAAAGTGGAGCCTGTACTGAATTTTTTTCTCGAAAACGCGCAGGATTTCGAGGATATGTCTATTCACCAAAAATGATTGTAATTGACCCCCAAAACCGAAAATAATTTTTCCAGAACGATTTGAAATTTTTTTTTTCGTCGAAAAATTTAGGCACCTTGGTCTGGGTTAGGTTTGGGTCAGGTCTGGGTTAGGTCTGGATTAGGTCTGGGTTAGGTCTGGATTAGTTTTGGGTCAGGTCTAGGTTAGGTCTGGGTTAGGTTTGGGTCAGGTCTGGGTTAGGTTTGGGTCAGGTCTGGGTTAGGTTTGGATTAGTTTTGGGTCAGGTCTAGGTTAGGTCTGGGTTAGGTTTGGGTCAGGTCTGGGTTAGGTTTGGGTCTGGTCTGGGTTAGGTTTGGGTCAGGTCTGGGTTAGGTTTGGGTCAGGTCTGGGTTAGGTTTGGGTCAGGTCTGGGTCAGGTCTGGGTTAGGTCTGGATTAGGTTTGGGTCAGGTCTGGGTTAGGTCTGGATTAGGTCTGGATTAGGTCTGGATTAGTTTTGGGTCAGGTCTGGGTTAGGTCTGGATTAGGTTTGGGTCAGGTCTGGGTTAGGTCTGGATTAGGTCTGGGTTAGGTCTGGATTAGTTTTGGGTCAGGTCTAGGTTAGGTCTGGGTTAGGTTTGGGTCAGGTCTGGGTTAGGTTTGGGTCAGGTCTGGGTTAGGTTTGGGTCAGGTCTGGGTTAGGTTTGGATTAGTTTTGGGTCAGGTCTAGGTTAGGTCTGGGTTAGGTTTGGGTCAGGTCTGGGTCAGGTCTGGGTTAGGTCTGGGTTAGGTCTGGATTAGGTTTGGGTCAGGTCTGGGTTAGGTCTGGGTTAGGTCTGGATTAGTTTTGGGTCAGGTCTGGGTTAGGTCTGGATTAGGTTTGGGTCAGGTCTGGGTTAGGTCTGGATTACACCCAAAACTAATCCAGACCTAACCCAGACCTAACCCAGACCTGACACAGACCTAACCCAGACCTAATCCAGACTTAACCCAGACCTGACCCAAACCTAATCTAGACCTAACCCAGACCTGACCCAAAACTAATCCAGACCTAACCCAGACCTAACCCAAACCTAATTCAGACCTAACCCAGACCTGACCCAACAAAAAAAGGTTTGGGTTAGGTCTGGATTAGGTTTGGGTCAGGTCTGGGTTAGGTCTGGAAGAAAAATTAGATTTTCGGTAAGAAATTTTTTCTCGAAAATGTGTAGGATTTCGGGGGTATGTGTAATGATAGAAAATGATTTTAATTGGCCCCTGCAATCGAAGATAATTTTTCCAGAACGGTTTGAAATTTTTTCATTTAATTGTTAATAACTTTTTAACGAGGCCTTAGTCAAGAAATTGATATTCTTCATTTTCGTCTTATTTTGGCCTCTAGAATCTCCTATTTAAATTTGTTCCCAGGGTTGGCCGAACACCCTGTATAACATGACTTCAGAATATACGTTTCCGCCAGAAAGTAGTGTCGAGTTCCTGGTTCGCCCGAGCGAAAAGGGCTTCTAGGGCAAAGGGTTAAACCGAAAAATAATTTTTTAAATGCTTTTGCAATAAAATTTGACCCTTTATAATGTTTTAGAAATTTTTTTTGAGACAGATCTTTCTCCTAATGCGAAGAATAAGACACCACCGCATACGCAACGATATATCGTCGTTGGCACTTTTCGCAAGTGTAGGATTAAATACTTTACTATTGATCTCGAGCGACCAATTCTTTGTCTCGTAATTCGTTTCATATTATTTAAAATTTTAACCAACTTAAAACTTTATTAAAAATAAAGAATAATCAACGATAACTGACGAATCCTTTGTAGAAATTATTTATCTTTTACACGACACGTCTTTATCGTCCTGGAACCTTTTTTATTCTTTATACGGCTTTTCTATTTGTATTTTTCTTTTTTTCACGTTCTGATATCTAGACAACCGTCTCGACTACATTTTGATGACATTCTTCGCATCGATCAAAGCTAACATAATTTTCTAACGCGTAAAATGAGTTTTCGCTATGCTCTAAACGGCCAACTACTGGCACAGTTATCCTCGGTTACGACACCAGTGTTGGAAAAGTTTTTAAAACGAGTGATTTACTGTTAGAGAATCGATGATGGCCGTTATCGATACGAACATATTGTTTTGTTTTTCTGTTGTTGTTCAGTCCAAATATGTCTCCCCGAGAGTACGCATCGCTTTTGTATGCACACGTGTTTAATTTACTTCTAAATATACGTTTATATCGAACAGTTATATCGAATGTGTCAGCTCATTACAAAACCCCATCATTTACAATGAAAAAATCATTGACTTACCTATAGACGCCGTAATGTTTGCCGCTGGCACGGTCCCCGCAGATCGAGCAAAGGTGTTTGCTGCCGGAAAGAGGGTGGTTCGGCGGGTAAGGTGCCACTGCTTTGTTCTGGCCACTCGGCGACGTGCTCAGGAGGTTGCTGTGACAACCAGCGTTGAAGGATCTTACATGCAAAGAAGAGCGTAACAAAAACTCAACCTACGACAACTACTGCCCTGAATCGGACAAAATGCTGTCTACAAGTCTCGCGAGTTTAACTGGAACCAGAACTCTAGCTATAGGCTTGAAAAATATTTCATTACAATCAATAATAAAGACAAAGGAGCTAATTATAACAAAATTTCTTCACTCTAAAAGATCGATAGAAGAAAATTCTAAAAAGAAGTTTCAAAGATTAAAGATATCTCTCTTTATACGAATAAATCATGTACTTTTATTTTCTTATTATTTATAAGAAATAATTGATATTGTATAAAACAAAGGGAGAAATATTTTTTCCAACGATGGACGGATGGTCTGTCGTAAAAACCAAACGACAGAGTATTTCCGTACTTGTTAGATATGTTAGATTTATATTCAATACATACACTTTGATCGATAAAACTGAAAGGTGCTTTTAGTAGCTATTTTTTTTAGTATTTTGCCCAATTTCTCCGAAGGCGTGACTAATCTAAAATTATACCCTCGATTTATGACGTGTGTCAGTAAATTTCCGCGTCGTCCAATACACTGTTCGTCTACTTAATTTTTGTTTATGGAATATTTAGTGTACTGCAGCGATACTTACCCGGGACTATTGGGGCCGGAAGGACTGAAGTTTCCTGGATTGATAAGGGTCGCTGTATCGGGCTTCATGTCGAGAGGACTCTGTGGGCCCACCGAAGACATCGACATATTGCTGTTGTCCAGACTCAACCCTGAAACACGAAATATTGTTCCATGACAGAGAAAACAATCGAGAACAGCAGAAGCTTTAGGAGGGCATGTTCTGTAAACCGTCAAAAATTTCGATTTTTTTTTTTTTTGCGTATTACTCAAAACAATCTTTTCCGAACTGACTTTCATGATATCAAGTCAAAATCATTATTTTTCCTATTTTTTTTTTTAGCCTACTAAAGTTAAGAAAACAACAAGAAAAATCGATATTTTCGATCGATGGCGAAGGAGGCGGTGTTTCGGAGATTTGAAGAACAACTTTGCTTTTTTAAATGAAATACTATATTTTTTATACAAAAATATGTAGGAATATGAAATTCTGAGTAAAAAGGTATTGGATCTGTATTATCCCTAAACCTAACAACTAATGAGCAATTTCATTTTATTTCTTGATAATTTTCTTCGCGTAATATCAAATTGATGACACAATCTTATCATAGATTGCCAAGAAGTAAAGTGAAGTTACTCATTAGTTATTAGGTTTAGGGTTAATCCTTTTAGTGCCGAACGACGATATATCGTTGCGTATGCGATGGTGCCTTATTCTTCGCATTAGGAGAAAGATTTCTAAAACATTATAAAGGGTCTAATTTTATTGCAAATCTAATTTTTCTTCCAGACCTAACCCAGACCTGACCCAAACCTAACCCAGACTTGACCCAAAACTAATCCAGACCTAATCCAGACCTGACCCAAAACTAATCCAGACCTAATCCAGACCTAACCCAGACCTAACCCAGACCTAATCCAGACCAAGGTGCCTAAATTTTTCGACGAAAAAAAAACATTTCAAATCGGTCTGGAATAATTATTTTTATTTGCAGGGAACAATTACAATCATTTTTTATCATTAGACATACCCTCAAAATCCTACCCACTTTTGAGAAAAAAATTCGAGAAGGTGTGAAATTTTTCGACAAAATTAAAAAATTTCAGATCGTTCTAAAAAAATTATTTTTGATTGCAGGGGTCAATTATAATCATTTTTGGTCAATATACATACCCTCGAAATCCTACGCACTTTCGAGAAAAAAATTCTTTACCGAAAATCTAATGTGAGGCCAGAATGCTTCCTTGAAATTTCATGCGAATCTTTAAAATGTCATAACATTTGAACGGATGGGAGGATTTTAATGTTTCAAAAGGCAAACAGCGCGTATTTGAGTGAAGAATATGTTGAAATTGTAAAAATGTTCGAAAACTTATACCTTAACCCCGTAAAATGAGAAAAACCTCATAAAACTGGCCCAATCTTCAAACGTCCATAACTTCTATAATAGTGAATGTATTCCATTGAAATTTAGTATGGAAGTGGAGCTCATGGATACCTACAAAAATGTACTAAACAAAATTTCCGTAGGACGTTAAACAAATTTATTAAAAATGGAAAACGAAATTTTAAGAAAAATCGACTTAATTTTTCAGGGAAAATGAGAGGTTTCAAATCATTCTGGAAAAAATATTTTCAGTTGCAGGGGTCAGTTACAATCATTTTTGGTTAATAAACGTACCCCCAAAATCCTAACCATTTTCGAGAAAAAAATTCGAGAAGGTATGAAATTTTTCGACAAAATTCAAAAATTTCGAATCGTTCTGAAAAAATTATTTTCGGTTTCGGGGGTCAATTACAATCATTTTTGGCGAATACACATACCCCTGAATTCCTACTCACTTTCTAGAAAAAAATTCAAGAAGGTGTGAAATGTTTCAACGGGGGAAAAAAAATTTCAAATTGTTCTGGAAAAATTATTTTCGGTTGTGGGAGTGAATCGCAATCATTTTTGGTGAATAGACATACCCTCGAAATCCTGCGCGTTTTCGAGAAAAAAATTCAGTACAGGCTCCACTTTAAACGTTAATAACTTTTTAACAAAGCCTGATCAAATTTCGAATCGAGTATTTATTAAAAAATCATTGAAAATCAAATACTTATACTTACTGCTACGTGACCTACATAAAACTGTGATCAAACAATGATTATTCTTACGTGTAAATATTGTTTGTAGAAGAGAAACTTGTTTCTATGCTTTTTATCATATTTTATAATTATGTTATTTATACGATTTGCAATAAATATTGAAATGCAATTGCCATTACTTTATTCTTTCTTTATTTCGTAATATGGTGCTTTTTGAATTTTGTAAATATCATTGTTAGTTTGGTTTTTATGACCTTTTTCTCTAACCATAACAAACTCGTGAAATTGGCTCGGTATTGTTCGTAAAAGGGTTAATATAGATCAACCCTTTTTTCCTCAGAATTCGATATTCTCCCATATTTTGGTATAAAAGGTACAGTATTTTATTTAAAAAAAAAGATAAAGTTGATATTCTTATCTCTGAAACTCCTTCGCCCATATAAAAGACATACGCACTATATGGTGTACCTCTTGAAACAATACAACATTTTTATACAAAATGTTTTTTTATTTACTCTTGTATTTCCGTACCGATTCCATTGTAAGTGGTATGTTCGGTGCAACATTGTCATCGAAACAAGAAAATTAATTTTATTTGCGCGGCATTAGATAACCGCCGATACCGTGCGACTGGTCAGAATAATTAAAACGAGTCCAAGCTCGCGCGAATGTAATCGTTCCTGAAAAGGTTAAACGATACGTGGCACGATGACATCGAGCGTTCATCAGCCGTGGTTTTTTTTTTTTTTTTGCCCGCGCAACATATGATTACGTCGAGGCCGCCACTCTACCGACCAGCGACTTCTATTTCGAGTGTTAGGGCCGCCGATTGCGTGTTTCTCATCGCCGCCGTTTATTAAGCGTTGCGCCGCCGCTTTAATTACGCAACGAGTGTGCAAAGTGGACCGAAGGTCGTCGACAGACTGCAAAAGGCTTTTGTATCTGCAGCGGCGAGCGCCAAAACGCGACGCGTCTTCGATAAACATCCTTTCCTAGATCCGGTCAAACAGCCATTCCAACGGGGGGAAAAAGGACTGTTCTACTTGCAATCGTGGTCATTTTTCCCCCAACGAACTATATATCTTTTTTTAATCGAATTACTTTATACATATGTGATTGATGCTTGTGAAATATGTACAAATTGTTTTAGAGTAAAATATGTACATGTAGCATTTCTAGATTCTTAATTAGGATGAGTTTCACTACAACAGGAACTGAAATAAAAATAAAAAGCCAATAACTACAAAAATGGTAACACTTTCGAGTATAATTATTAATTTTATCACATTTGTTGACTAAAAAAATACCGAAGAAATAAAATATTCAATTTTACTAAAAACTATAATGGTGTAGATGTTTGTACTAATCAGTTAAGTAGATGTTGTGATATCATGGTACCAGTTAAAACAACATAGTTTTGAGGAGAATCGTAAACTTTTTTATTATTATGATTATGTTCTTATCGACTAAAAAAATATGAAAGTATCAGGAACTATGAAGTTATGGATAAATGATTCTGTTCACTAAACAATTATTATAGAATTATTAACACCAAGGGGAAATGCAGCCAAACAATTCAAATAATATTGTTCAAATATTGACTGTTCCAAGAAATCTATATTCCAAGAATACTAAAAATTCTACCAGCACGTGATAAATATTGTAAATTACTCTGAATAAAAATTTCGAAGCATACACGTGGCCATAATTTCTCAGAAGCCACGATCCCCACCGACACTCAACTTATGCGGTAATCTAGAGTCCGACGTACGCGGAAATGGGCGTCTATATGTATAAATAGCCACGTGTAGAGATCGTCGTTGGGTTAAATCTGCTGTTCGGGAGTTTCGTAGGAAGGCGATCGAGGCGGAGTTGTGAACACGGCTTTAACCGTATTAAAAGGGGGGCGGGAGGCGATGGGACGAGGACGCGAGAGTGGCTGCAAGGCCAAGTCCGGTGACGGTATATTATGCTAGCAGTGTCGGGCGCCTTGACCAGCCAGGCGGTGCAACACGCCGCGCCGGTGCAACGTTCGAAACTCTCCGTACACAACTATGTACAATATACCGAACTATTGCTCGCCAAACTATTCCTCCAGTCTGCATTACCAATATTGACAGTTGCAGTATCCTGAAATCTAGCGTTAGCTACTCCAAAGCGTAGGGCAAATGTGCAAGTAGTTGGCCCTTAATCGGCGTAGTAGTCAGCCTCTTACAAAGTAGACGTCTGATAATTAGCAAGTAATAACAAAATCGCATAAAATAAAATATGCTAGTGGTCTATATGTAGTTTCATGCTGCTAGTGGTGATACTGTAAACTAGAAAAACTCTTGTAACTCCATTTTTCAATTTTTTCCGGTTACCATGGTTACATGTACAACTCCATGATATTTATCAGTAAAGCATTTCAGGTTGCTTATATTCCGAGCAAACACGATCATTCTTGACACATAAGTTTTCAGAGTTAGTTCAATAATTGAACCGTGTAGTTTGAAAGTGGCCTAACTCCATTTATACTTGAATCAAGATATTTAATGTTTACATGTACGTTTGGGATGAAACTATTGCATCCAGAGGTGTTCAAGAAATTGTTTCATGCATCCTAAAACATGTTAAAAATTTCAGAAGTGAAAGACACATTATAGCTCACAGTGACATGTGCGCCCGGCAAAATAGAAACATTAAAGTAGCTTTAATGTGGTTAAAAATTGTCCAAACTTTGGAAAATAATGTGGAAATCATAGATCACAAATTTTTAATATCAGGACATTCGTTTTTACCAAATGATAGAGATTTTCGCGTGGTAGAAATGTCATTGAAAAAAAATAATTTACTGTTCGTTCCCCGAGATTATTACAAGATTATTAAAAAGTGTCGGAAAGGTAATAATTTTATTGCAAATGAAACGAGACAAGAAGATTTTGTATCAACAAAATTATTCGAAGACGCAATTTTTAAAAGGGGTAAAGAATTCTGATGGAGAATCAATAAACTGGTTAAAAATATGTTGGATGCGTTTTGTCAGAAATGAACCGTATAAAATTTTCTATAAGACATCGATGA